TGAGGAGGTGGCTTCAGGCCACCACTCATTCCAACCTGCAAAGTCCTGATACGAATACCAGTCCCAGGAATCCCACGAGGAATCCCAAAGTGAGTCATCCCATGACTCCCAACTCTCATCGAAAAGTGCTCCGACTGTCCACTCAGACCAGTCGTCCCAAGGGGCCTCACCAAAGTAAGACTCTTCTTCCTGGAGACCGTAAAGTTCACTCTCTTCTCCCTCAACAGCATTCACTCTGTTCAGCGGACACTTGCTAGCAAAGTGACCTGACTTACCACATGTCCAGCACAAGGCACTCGACGATGCCGAAGCACCCGACGACGAACCAAAGTTCTTTCCTTTGCCTTTGCTCTTTCCTTTCAAACTTCCGAAAAAGTTCCAGTGGGGGCCTTTCTTGCCTTTTCCTTTGCCTTTCATGGGACCAAAGTCCTTTCCTTTTCCTTTCTTTCCTTTGCCCTTTCCTTTTCCTTTTCCTTTCTTTCCTTTGCCCTTTCCTAGATACCCAATGTCCATGGGCGCTTGTCCGCCTCCTGCGAAAGTGGTCGAGGCAGAGGTCTGCGCTAACGGATTCACCAAAAGTCTAGACCTGTAGTACTCCAAGATGACCTCGCGAACCTGCTCATACGTTTGCAAAGTTTTGGCGTTCAAGCGAAGATGCTGCTGCAAAGCTCCTGTTGTCTTGTTCAGCAAAGTAGCTACCAAAACACCATCTGGCAAAGCTTGACCTGCCTGTTTCTCGTACTTCACCTTGATTGTTTCCCAAACGTTAAAGTCCTGCTCAAACGTGTTTGGACCAAACCTGAAATCCAAAAGTTGCGTGAGCAAAGCTGTCGACCTGGTTGCATCAGGCAAGGCAAACTTGTTGAAAAGTCTTCTCCAGGTCTCAAAGCCATTCGACCCGACGTTCTGACGAACGACAAGTTTCGCCGAATCCTTCACAAGCTGGGAAAGTAGATAGTGCAACTTGCGACTGAAAAGTACACGACTACGCGTTGCATCAACATCCACATCACCTGTGTCCAAAGTTACTTCAAGGTGTGCATCTGTGAACTCGGTTGTCAAAGCTTCGGCATTGTCGAGCAAAGTCACTGCGCCTGCTTCGAACATCGAAATGTACGCTTTAAAGTTCCATGACCATTCTTCCCAGTCTGCAGGCTGACCGGAAAAGTTGTCTGGGAGAGGAAGCCTAAGCTTTCCTGCAAAGTCACCATCTTCTCCTAAAGCTGCCATTCTACCAAAGTCCTAGAGCTTTCAGCTCCGCTACCATGCGAAATTGCGAGGTAGCCAAAGTCTACACAAACAACCCTAAAGTGATCGTGCAACCTCAGCCAACCTCAACACTCAAAGTTCCTATGATGCCTCGGCCTTTTCTCTCTGGGCAAAGTTGTGCTTGAGCCACCAAAGTGGCAGATCATGAGTAGGGCTCATCTGGGGAGGAAAAGTGTGATTATAATTTCACACAAACAAACAAACAAACAAACAAACAAACAAACAAACAAGCAACCAACCAAACAAACAAACAAACGAAGCAAACAAACACACAAAACAAACCAACACAAAACACAACACAACAAAAACAAGAGAACAACCAACAGCACGCACGTTCAACAACAAATATTAGACAACACAGGCTAAATCATCGTCTAAATCACCATAGAGCGCACGGCGCCTCTATTGATGAGTAGGTTCACAGCAGATGACCAGTAACCTCCTTGCCTCCCTAAACCCTAAACCCCCTAAACCCTAAACCCTAAACCCTGCTGCCAGGGGCGGCTCAAACATTTACAGGAGGACACGCGTGGTCAGCGCCCCAAGCGCTGACTCCCAACCAACCTTCTAAATGAAGCAGCAGTGCTCGGGCCAGAGATGCGGTGGGTTTAGGGTTTAGGGTTTAGGGTTTAGTAATTTAGGGTTGAGGGTTGAGGGTTGAGGGTTTAGGGTTAGGAACCCTATAAACCCCATAAACCCGAAAAGAAAGTCTGAGGCCGCCTCAGACCTCGGTCTTTTTCTGACTCCTTACTGTTGCACGATTGCCTGGTACCCACCCATCCGGGCCATTTTTCACAGGTGTCGGGATAGGTTCGGGTTTCAAGGTTTAAGTTTAGGTTTGGGGGGTTTCTAGGGTTCACTTCCTTGTAGCATCTTGAATTCCCCAATCATGCGAGACGCAGAACCCCAATGCTTAAAAAGCCGCGAGCCGAATTGCACGAAGCCATTACGCAAAGAGTGCACCCTCCAATCCAAGGATTTGCCTTAGAGGGTCTAGAACTGTAACTGCAGGCCCATCAATCAAACTGGGTGGAAAGGCACTGCTGAGGATGCTGGGCAAACACATATGTACATGTATGGACTCTCAAATTGCTGAATGAACCCATCATCCCCTACTGCATGACTCGCAGAGGCACAAGCCCCGAGCACCCGGCTGCTTCTAGGATAAAGGAAGGAAGGCTCAGGAAGGCTACGAAAGCACCTGTCAGTCAACGGACCGAGCACCTGAACGTTGTGTGTATACATATAATATATGTATATGTATGTATATATATATACATAGAAATATATATATATATCTATAATATTAAACATATATTTATGAATGAAGTCACCGTCACCCTCCAGTCTATTTAGCCAGCTCTCGGGGTTTCATCCCCTTGTTATTGTGATGGGGCTATTGGAGTGTCATAGGCTAATAGGGGAAGGGCATTGTACATAGACTTTTCCCTGGGTGCGTCCACCCCGCACCCCGAAAGATTTACATCTCCGCCGACGATGCAAACCCCACAACAATAATCATTTGAAGAACCCTCTGCGGACGACATTTTTGGGCGTTTCGCGGACGCCATTCTTCCCGGACAATTGTGTTGCTTGTGCTTCTGGATCGTTTTCCTTGAGCTGCTAAACTGCTATTTGCTTAACCCATCCCCCCCTCCTTCAGGGAGGGGGGTTCATGTCAAGGGGGGGTATGTAAACCCCGATTCCCTAATGCTTCCCCTCGTGTTCCCTAAGGCTGCGGAAGGTTCCTTACCGCAAACCCTAAACCCTAAACCCTGAACCCCCCCTCCCTTAAGGACCCTAGAAATTACTTTGGGCCTGGGGTCGAGGAGGCCTAGGCCTGACCGGCTGGTGCTGAGATGTGTAGGGTTCTCGGAACTTCTGTGGTGCTCTTGTCATTGCTCAACAGAAGGAATCTTTGTGTGAGGAGGTGCTTGGTCAATTTCTGAGTCTGTGGGCTTTGCCCACAAATAAGGCTAATCCATTTACCAGCAAACATGCCGTGGCGCCACTTCGGAAGACTTTTAACAAGCGTTCTCTCTGCCAAAGAGGACTCCTTTCAAACCCTAAACCCTAAACCCTAAACCCTAAACCCTAAACCCTAAACCCTTAAAACCCAGAGCGCCGTGTTAAAAGTGCCCTCCCGAACGCGCCACAGGCCACAGCAGGATCTCCTCGCTGTGGTCCGGCCATCAACCTTTGAAGCTTGCATGTTCCAGCAGCCACGCCGAACATCACGGTTTAGGGTTTAGGGTTTAGGGTTTAGGGTTTAGGGTTTAGGGTTTAGGGTTTAGGGTTTAGGGTTTAGGGTTTAGGGTTTAGGGTTTAGGGTTTAGTATGCATGTTCCAGCAGCCACACCGAAGATCACCTAATATAGGGGGCCTGAATAAGTAGAATAGGGTTTTGGGGGTAAGTATAGTATACATATAAAGGGGCCATGAGGGAATACCATGAGTAATTATTCGACTTCGATAGTAAGGACTTCTTCCCAGACAATTGCAGGCAGTCTGTCGAAGGTCGTGCCCCATCCTGTATCCCTGTAAACTTACCCTTAACCAACCCCATAACTTGGGATGCTCCCGCTTATACTAACGTACAGTCCTCGGTAGGGATTATCGATTAAGGACTGTTAGCACCTTGCAAAACAAGGCCGCACACAAGGCAGCCGCGGCGCTAGGACAGCAAGCCATGCCCCTCGCTTCCTCAAGGCAAACTGAATGGCTCTATTCAACGCATCTTACCGCTGAGCGGCCAAAAAGCTGGAAGGCCAGAGCAGTCTCAGACGGCGCACGAATTCTGGCAAAACTTTTGAGTCCCTCTAGTTTATATCCCTTACCGGACTCCACTCAGGGGTCAAACATTGCTTTGTGAAGCTACATTGCCGGAGCTTCACAGTTGTCGTGTGCCGTATGCGCCGTCTGCTTTGCGGGTCGTGGGTGCTCTTGCATTGCGGCGCTACTTGCTTAGTTATAACCCTATATCCTTCCAGAACCTAGTTTGTTAGGTTACTACAACCCTCTTGAACATGCCATAATTAATATGTCCCAGAAACCTACCAGCTATGCTGCGTACATGCCCCCAACCTGCCTATGCCACGCGCCCCAGAAGTTGCTGTACATGGACCTACTCCTCTACTGACGAGGCGTAGCCTTCTGCACACTCCCCAGTCAGGGTTTAGGGTTTAGGAGTCCGGGAAGAATCCAGCATAGTAGCAGCCTCACCTTCGCGCGTCCTGCCAGTGTCTTGATTCGAGCGCTAGGTCAAACTTGTGCTCTCTACCTGGCCCAAACTGCCTGGAGATCACCGAACATATCTCAGAATCATCATAATAGAAATAATACTAATGGTCCTGCTCCGCAACTCGTTTAGGTCTATAAACAATACAGCTTCAGTTTGGGCGGTGTATACTTCAGGCCCGGGCACCGCCAGCGCATGCCGCTTTAAGAAAAAGCCAACTCCTTAGGGTTTAGGGTTTATGGCAATTCAAATACCTGAATCATCGAGCCCGAAAGCACCTGAACTCTCACCGGCACCCGGAAAGCCCAAGGCTCTCCTGCACGTTCTAGACCCTCTGACACCCTAAGTCCCTAAACCCTAAACCCTAAACCCTAAACCCTAAACCCTAAACCCTAAACCCTAAACCCTAAACCCTAACCCCCCTCACATCTAAAGCCCTTGAGACCCGGAGCCCAAATTGCCTGCCAGGCTACAGGTCGCGCGGAACTGATCCTCACCGGGGCGTTCCTGGAAGAATTTCTTTCGAACCCGACAAGGAACCCTAAACCCTAAACCCTAAACCCTATAAACCCTATAAACCCTAAACCCTATAAACCCGAAACCCTATAAACCCTGAATCCTAAACCCTTAACCCTAGGTAGGCGTTAAGTTGAGGCTTTGCTCGCCACAAACAAAGTTTAGGGAAACGAGGTGTTTGAAACACCTCGACGTACTGAACCAATATCGGGGCCTTAAAAACGAAAAGAGTAACCCAAGGCTCCCGAACACTCCCGCTACTGCTCCCTAAGCTTCCAAAAGTTCCCTAGTACCTACCCCCCTTAAGGACCCTAAACCTAAACCCTAGACTGTACCCTAAACCCTAGACCCTAAGGTTTGCAGACGCGCATCGGGCTCGGGGCGTAGCTGCGCCTCAGTAGCGTTTGGAAGTTGCGAGACCAGAAGCAAACCACCATTCGGGAACCCCCCACATGTGGGCAAGTCCTAAACATCCCAAACCTTCCCCAAACCCTAAACCATCATAAACTCAAACCTGCAACATGCGCAGACTGAAAGGCCGAGAAGGGAAAAAATCGTGATGGGAGTTTGGGAGAGTTCCGCTCCTTCCACAAGCCCGCCCTTCAACAGGGTAAATGAACTAGTCGCTGACCCTAAAGATCCATGTGCAGATATAGTCTATAGTGACTTACCCTTTGAAGTGTTAAAAAAAGGCTTCCCATATAGTAGCTTTAGGGCCCAAGTATATTAAGTATATATCATATATGCACGTGGATTTCTAGGGGAAGCAGTCTGTCATTCAAGGCATAATCATGTTGCAGGCTGCCGTTGGATAATGCAAATGCAGTGTCATCGAGTTGCTGCCGGCCGCCCCACACTGGGAAAAAAACAAAGAAACACGCGAGCCACAAACGGCGAATTGCAAAAAACATATAATAAAATCACCCTTTTTGGCATCTGGACTGCGGGAGCCAATCAGCCAGAATACTTGTAGCACTGCCGACCCTCAGCTCTCCTGGCTAAGAGCCCACACTGCCTCAAGCCACGAGTCTTTCACAATCTCCACTAAGACAACTTGTGAATCCTGCAAGAAGGAGTGCCAAAACCGTAGATTCTGCTCCGCACACTCATCCGAGACCATCAGTTGCAAACAACAAAAGGAGCGTAACATGCGCAGATGACGAATGAAATGCTGCATCCTAAACCCTACAAACGCCTTAAACCTTAAACACTAAAACCTTAAACAACAATCAGGGGCAGCCCAAAACTCAGACTGTGTACCCGCAGCTTGAGTTGCGCATGATTTCCCCTGGTAAGACGGGGGGATCTGCCTGTGCAAGGAGCATGACTGGTAGGGTTTAGGGTTTAGGGTTCAGGGTTCAGGGTTCAGGGTTCAGGGATTAGGGTTTAGGGTTTAGGGTTTAGGGACCCTCAACCCCACAGGCTTTAAACATCATCAAAAAAGTTTAGGGTGTATGAGAGTTTAGGGCTTAGGGCCCGAAAAACTCGACCCACAACCCAGAAATATCCTGAGCTGTGCCATCAACCCAGCCAAGGCACCTGGAACCTTCCGCCGACAGAGTTCCTGGAAAGGCTTAGGGTTTGGGGTTTAGGGTTTACGCTTTGGGGTTTATAGGGTTACCATTGTGAGTGATGTGTGGATGTTGGAAGCCGGTTTGGGAATCCGGGGTTGTTTGGGGGCTTTCCAAGGTTTACAGGATGGGACTTTGACGGGTTTCGGGATTTAGGGTTTGGGGTTGTTAAACCCTAAGCCCTAAGCCCTAAACCCTAAATTCGGGTTTAGGGCTTTTCTGGGGCTTGAGCGAGGCCCGCTTCTGCCAGAATCGAGGCATGGTTTTTTCAAATCATTCGTCCTCGCCTTGCCTCACGCACCGGCAGGTACCGCAAAGACACGTGATGTCACAATTCTACGACGTTGTATATTCCGTTCTGTTGATCTTTATAGTTTCAGTTTTATTTCTTCTGTTCTATTCTATTCTCTTAGAATGTGAAGATAGCCGAACATGGAACTAGCTCTGCTGTGCTCTGCTTGCGACAGGATCCGACAATCGCAAGTACGCTTCCAGCGTTAAGAGCGTGGACAACAACAAGGAGATGACACGCTTTCGACCGTTATTCGCCGTGTCGGGCCAATTTGTTCACTGGGCGGTCTTGTCTGCTTAAGCACACATCGAAGTGTTGTGGCCAAGCAAACGCTTCTCGCAGCCATTTTCAGGTACGTCGCACCACCATGGTTTTATCCTGTGCATGACCACGTCCATCACATGCTGAAAAACAACTGCTAATGTCGGATTGGTGATAACTTACTGGTGCCACAGCGACCTTCCAAGCTTGCTCTTGCCTAGATATGCCTGGATCCTCCGTGTCAAAAAACTCCGGGACAGCACAAGGCATGCGAAGTATATGCCCTACGTAAACGAGTCAATGTTTTGTCGCGCATTGCACCTTGCTTGGCCTTGCACTAAGGCCAGGACAGTGCAGCAGAAAAGTCGTTTCATGTTCTTCGAAATGTAATTCTCTGGTGGCGCTTGCGTCAATGCTGCTTGCTATGAGTTACGCAAGATCTCGGCATGGGTTTCCCTGCAACCCCTCTATACTACCCCCCCTAGGTTCTCCCCTCGAATAACCTTAATTAGGCTAAATTCTCCCTAAATAGCCTTCATTATGGGGGGAACCTAGGGGAAGGTAGTAAAGAGGGGGATAGTGCCCCCAAACCCGAAACGCTGAACCCTAAACCTTACAGGGGTAATTAGTAAGGGAACCCTAAACCCTAAACCCTAAACCCTAAACCCCTAATCCCATGATGCTTGAGTGCACGCCAAGGATCACTTCTTTTTCGGCCGGCAGGGTCGAAGGAGTGGCCCACGCTGTTCACGCTGCTCGCGCCTCGGCGTAGGGCCCCAGGTCTATGAGGGCTAGGGTTTAGGGTTTAGGGTTTAGGGTTTAGGGTTTATAGGGTTTAGGGTTTAGGGTTTAGGATTTAGGGTCTAGGGTTTGGCCCCGGCATAGGATGGATCCGCAAAGCGCAGGGCCCTCTTAAACCCCAGCACCTATAGTCCGAATCCTCTTGGCCACACACCAAAAAGAACTACATCTAAGTCCCTAAACCCTAAACCCTAAACCCTAAACCCTAAACCCTAAACCCCAAACCCTAAACCCCACAGGAGGCCAAAAACCAGCATGCTTTGCTCGGGGCCCAAATGAGCCCTAAAATTGGGGTCTCCATAGCCCAAAACTACGATGGTTCCCATTAAGGTATGAACCCAAAACGTCTCTCAGTGCCTTCAATTTAAGTCCCCAAGGACAGAAGCGAAGACGCCGGCTCTCGGGTTGCGGGGTTTAGGGTTTATAGGGCTATTTAGGGCTTAGGGTTATTTAGGGTTTAGGGTTTAGGGCTATTTAGGGTTTAGGTTTAGGGTTTAGGGCTATTTAGGGTTTAGGGCTGTTTAGGGTTTAGGGTTTAGGGCTATTTAGGGTTTAGGGATTAGGGCTATTTAGGGTTTAGGGATTCGGCCGGGGTGCACCCGAAGGGAGACCGGGCCGCGCGTGCTGGCGACGTCCTGAAGCTTCGCGGTTTGGGGACGTGGCCCTTTGGGTTTAGGGTTTAGGGATGAGGGTTTAGGGTTTAGGGTTTAGGGTTTAGGGTTTAGGGTTTAGGGTTTAGGGTTTAGGGTTTAGGGTTTAGGGTTTAGGGTTTAGGGTTTAGGGTTTAGGGTTTAGGGTTTAGGGTTTAGGGTTTAGGGTTTAGGGTTTAGGGTTTAGGGTTCCCGGAACTCTATTTGCCTGCAGTTTAGTAATTAACTACCCCTTAGTTGGTAGGTGCAACCCATTAAGCTGTAGGTAAAGAAAATCCCAGGTTTACCTTTTTTAAAACCTACCTTTCTGTAGGTTCTTATATGCAGCCCCATGTTTAGCGTTCTTGGAGAACCTGCAAAAAAGATCGGTTTTGGTTCTTAGGGTAGGGTTTCGGGTTTATGGGGTTTAGGGTTGAGGGTTTACGGGTTAGGGTCTAGGGCTTAGGGGTTAACGCTGCAAAGCCAAAATTCCACAGAGGGCGCTCAAGGGCTGGGTTGCCATGTGTACTGTTCGAGTGGGGGCTGTGGGAGTGCATCTTCACTCCTCAAAATTATCATCTTGATAATCTTAGCAACTGCTTGGATAGCCCCCTAGTTTTGATTCAAGACGCGCAGCTCCCCCAGTCTCCCGTTCTGCAGATTGTCAAACCCTGCATACTGAGGACGATACTCAGTCTGCATAATATAAATAACGATAACCCTAAACCTTTGCGAAGAACCGATGGTAAGTCGTGCTGAGCAGAAAAGATCCAAAGCCTGATCCCACACCTCTGCCTATTAACGAGGATCGTTGTTGAAGAAGAGATGTATAAGAGGACCCGCACCTAGAACCCTGCAAATGCCATACCCTCCAGTCCCTGGTTCGAGGCAAGCGTCAAGGTCGCTAAGCCAGCAGCCACGGGGGATTTGCAGCTGTTGGGCACCAGACCTTGCTGCATGATGAATGCAAATGCCGACCACGAGCCTAGATTCTAGCCCTGCAACCCCTCCGAAACCCTTTTCGACTTAGTAGCCCAGGAACCATATTATCGTAAGGGTACCACTTTTGGGGTTTGGTTACTTTAGACTGTAACCCAGAACCAAAAACAGGGCAAAAAGGGCACCACTGGGCTACCAAGCTGAGGTCTCGAGGTCGGACAGCCTGTTGATGCAACTTGATAGGGGAGAGGATGAGGGGACCCTCGGGGATATAGACCCTCTGAATGAGGTCCCTGTTTAAGAGAGCCAGAAGAGGGTTAAGAAGGGTTCCCCTTTAAGGGTCCCCCCTATCCTACCTAGGACATGAGCTTACAGCCCCACAAGAGCCGCGACCAAAGCGATTTTGCTGGAACACCTCTTACGGAAAAGGCCCATCTGTACCGCGTGAAAAGAGTTTCGAGCCATGAAGCTCTTTAGCATTTGAAAGCAGCACGAAGCGGCGCTCGCTCTCGCGCACGCTCTCGCGCACGCTCACGCGCACGCGCACGCTCACGCTCACGCTTGGCTCTGGCTTGGCTCTGGCTCTCGCGCTCTCTTGCTCTCTCGCTGGCTCTCTGTCTCGCTGGCTCTCTCTCTGGCTCTCTCTGGCTCTCTCTGGCTCTCTCTCCCGCTCTCTCTCTCTCTCTCTCTCTCTCTCTCTCTCTCTCTCTCTAGCTAGGGTTCAAGGTTCAGGGCCTCGGGTTTGAAACAGGCATGGCCAACATATTGTTTGCCCAAGCCATATGTTCCCACAGGCAAGCCTGTTCGAACCCCTAAACTCAACCCAAGCGGACGACCCAAACCCAGCGAAGCCGCTACCTGCAACCCGGGCTACATGTGTCATCCGGAGACAGAAGAGCTGGCTCCAGGGCAGCCTGAAGTTTAGGGTTTAGGGTTTAGAGTGTGCCATGGAAGGGGGGTGTGGCATTCCCGAGAAAAGGGGTGGGGTGATAGAATGAGGAATCAGGAACACATGGTGGCTTTGCAGGCTGGTTCTTAGTAGGGAATGAGGGAATGAGGTACCCTCTATACTCCCTAAAAGGGTATATATATATATACGTACATATCTGTACATATATATGTAAGGCCCGAAATCCCTCATTCCCAACCCTAAACCCTAAACCCTAAACCCTAAACCCTAAACCCTAAACCGCAGAACCAGGAAGCTTTGACCCTGCTCTGATCTGCTGGAGAGTGGCCTTCAGCTGCCTGACGTCCTGCCGGACGGCCGTCATCCTTGGGCTGCCCTAAACCCTAAACCCTAAACCCTAAACCCTAAACCCTAAACCCTAAACCCTACACCCTAAACCCTAAACCCTAAACCCTAAACCCTAAACCCTAAACCCTAAACCCTTTTCTGGGCTGCGAAAAGCTTCTTTCCCAAAACCCTTGTCTAGACTCCCTTTCGAACCTCAAATTTAAAAGTATGTTTAATATTCCATTCGGCTTTCTATAAGTAAAAAAAAAATATATATATATATATAAAAATGAAAAATCAATTCCTAAAGGGGCTATAGTTGCACTTTTATCCCAGACTCTCGATGTCAGCTGGCACGACGGTGCTTCCATCACAAACTGTACAAATCCATAGTTCCTATAACTTAACCCCAAAACCTGAGGAGGCTCCCTAAACCCTCAACCATATTTATAAACCCTAAATCCTAAACCCTAAACCCAGCAAAGCTGCATCTTCGCGCTGAACCCAACCTACAGGCTTTTGTGCAGTACCTTTCTAGGGTAGTATATTAAACTCCCCTGTAGCTAGCCCCGAAAGGCCAGAAGGAACTACACGAGGAGCCTTCAGGTAAAACCCAGGTATAACTACCTCTGGACTCACCAACGCAAAAGCGCTTAAGAATCTGGTTTAGGGTTAAGGGCTTGGGGCTTCGGGTTTCCTAAAACTCTTTCAGGTGTTTTGAGCAGCATGTGATGCGGCCGTGGCTTCGAGATCACGCGCTCCTCCTCCTCCTGGGCGATGCGCCCCTTCAGTGTCTGAAGCACCTCGAGGGGAGGACTGGGTTGCTGCTAGAAGAAAGCAGATGCCTTTGGGATGTTGCCCCCTTAGACTAACAGTCCTTAGTAGGGAGTATAAAAGGGGGGGGGGGTACTGCAATCCCGCTTCTGGGTTGTCATTGTCAGTACAGGGGGAAACATCCCAACAGATGCCCCATAAATCTTTCTTAGAAGCTCTTAGAAGCCCTTGATTTCGCCCCAACCCCGGCTGGCCCCTTCTTCCTTGGGAAAAAGTCTTTGGGAACATTAAAGACCTGTGGTTAGCATGGGGGCTGGGGGGGCTTGTGCCTTCTGCAGTATTGTTGTTGCCGTGCCAAACCAGCTTCTCATGAAGTTTGTTGGGGCCATGACAAGAGCCTCATGTGAGCCCAAATGCAAGCAACTGTTCAGGGGCATAAGGAGGGACCCCTAGAAGGGACCTTGAGTCTCATTCCCCTATATGACCCCTATTCTGTAGTCCCTAAATACCTAAGTAGCCCCTAAAAAACCCCCAAGGAACCCCTAAGGTCCCTGAGAGGGGTGCCTCACTGTAGTCCCTGAAACTGAAATCGAGCCCGGATGCTGCGTCACATTCCGAGCTCGTGAAGTCACGCAGCCTCGGTGCACTGAGGACCAAGCACTTCTTGCTGCCCTCCTGTCATTACCAACAGCTGTCGCAACAGATCCCGAGTTTCTGCTGGAGACCCTAAACCCTAAACCCTAAACCCTAAACCCTAAACCCTAAACCCTCAACCCTAAACCCTAAACCCTAAACCCGGTTCAGGCTGGCGGCTGCTTGTCTAGCTCGGCGATGCTCGCTTTGTCGAAAGCCCGACTTCTGGCGACGTCCTGATGGCATCTCAGACTATGCATGGGTTCCCCTGCTACCCTTTTGGGGTTGGGGGTTGAGGGTTCCACTATACTACCCCCCTCTATACTACCTGCCCTAAATTAAGGCTATTCAGGGAATATTAGGCTTTAATAAGGTTACGTAAGGGGGACTATTCGGCTTTTCTTAGGGACTATGAACCCGAAAAGGGTTTATGGTTCCTATACCTTACTCGGAATTATCGTGGTATAGTATGGCGTACTTGGAGGTTCATGGGTACTTTTAATCCGAATGAAAAGTCTACCTATAATCACTATCATCTGCTTAGAGATTACCGGCCTTATAAGTACAGTCATAATTGGGGTTTAGGCTTCATTTTGGTCCCCAGGGATCAGAGAGGGTATAGTACCCTAAGGGTCCATGCACCTGTATAGCATATGCCTGGGCCTTACCGACACTCTATGTGCAGGAAAACAAGGGACCCCCCAATATAGATCCCCTAATACTAGGATCCCCTTAAAAGGACCCCAAAAAGTTACCCCTAATTTCGGAAACCCTCGTAGATATAAAAAAATATATATATATGTATATACACACATATATATATATTTCCAACTATATGTTATAAATGAACCCATCCTACAAATCGACCCTGCCCTTTCTAAACCCGTAATGCCCTAACCCCAAAAACCCCAAAACCGGAAGCCCTTGGTGCGGCCCAGGATGCCATTGCCAGCTTCCTTGCGCGCGCGCATATCAGCTTCCCACACGAAACTATGGCCCTCCCCCTACAACCCTAAACCCTAAACCCTAAACCCTAAACCCCATATTTGGCTCCCTAGGTTCCATCATCAACCCTCTGAGGGCCTTCTCAAAGGGGTTAGAGGGCGCAATGGCCCATCTTAGGACGAACAAGGCTGCCTCAAGGGGTTTAGGGTTTAGGGTTTAGGGTCTAGGGTCTAGGGTCTAGGGTTTAGGGTTTAGGGTTTAGGGTTTAGGGTTTAGGGTTTAGGGTTTAAGGTTTAAGGTTTAGGGTTTAGGGTCAAGGGGACAAAGGGAATCCGGGCACTATTGGGGGCATCCCAGCTCTTCCTAGGATGGGCTCTCTGGCCCTCGAATTTCCATCATGAACCCTTAGGGGTTTCGAGTTTACTACTCTTTGCTCAAGAACCCCAAAATAGTAAAAACCTACATTACCCTTATAAGAGTTTTTTTAGGTTTATATATATATATATATATTTGTGTTTTTTTTTTTTGGGGGGGGGGGGTTCTTAAGCAATTCGTAGTTTAGGGTTACCTAGAGGGCCTAGGGGCCCATCCTGGTCTCGCTCCCCTCTTCGGCCGCCTCCTCTCAGATGTCATTCCGATTTGCATCTCCATAGGGCTTGTGGAGCACGGGTTCAGGGAGGGTTTGCAAGGTTTGTAGGGATCAGGGCTGAGGCTCAGGGTTTAGGCTTAGGGCTTATAAGTAGGGTGTAGGGTTTTTAGGGTTTAGGGTCGTAGAATATCAGATCATGCCGCATGCAAATGGAGCGGTGCCAACCCATCGCAGACCCTTGTGCGTCCAAGACCTGCGCGTGGAACCATCCACGAACATGCCTAAACCTGTTCGGAGTTAGGGGTGGTGGCTGTCTGTTCACCGCTTCTAAAGACATGATGAGGTGCGTTGTTGCAATTGTGTCTGCTTTGGCTACCCCAATATACCGGACCATAAGTACTTTGGAGGGTACCCAAAACAGAACACTAAGTTAGGGAACCCGCAACGGGTGGTGACAGTAAGATGGTGCCGCCGGGACACTGCATGGAACTTTCGCCCCTTGGATGTTACGGCATGCACTTGCCGAGGGATAGTGTCTCATCATGCACTCACAGCTACACATAACTAGGGTCCCTTGATGCCTAACCTTTCTAAAGGGTTCTGAAGTATAATGCTGAATTATGTACATACAGTTACACATATTACAATATGTGTGTGAATTTTGTGCCTACGAGGGACCAGATGAATCCCAGGAGGGTTTATGGCTCGTGAGCCCTAAAAAGCAGTATAGGAGTGTAGCAGGGTATGTGACCCCAATTTTAAGGTTTAGGGGTTTGGGTTTTAGGGTTTTAAGGTATAGGATTGAGGGTTGAGGGTTAGAGTTTCGGGTTTAGGGTTTGGGGTTTAGGGGTTAGGGGGGGGGGGGGGGGGGCATACGTTGATGCTGGCCAGGATGCAAGCTCAACGCGTTCTCGACCTGTCAGGCTGTGTTTTTTGGGGCAAGGTTTTCGGGTTTAGGGCCCTTGTTATGGTCCCTTACCTTTCCTAAAGGGTTCTGAAGTGCGGGCCCTGGAGTTATTATACAGGTACACAAGGGTTTCAACTTACCAGCTAGGTCGGTCGACCGGCTGCGGTAAACAAGTGCCTGGTTCTCGCCACGGATATTTGCGGGTCCGCCTACTGATCGAATAGCGGACGTGTACCCAGATCTTCCGAAACCCCTTAAATCAGGAATGTACCCTAATACATATTAAGGATCCCTATTCTGAATTGCGGAGTATTCCTTAACCAAGGGGTTTTGGAAGATCTGGGTAGAAGTGAAGTTTCACAACCTCATTCTGCACAGGTTCACACGAGCACAGGTTCACACAGCTCGCTTATGTGACAACGACAGCTGAAACGTATCATACATGGTGATGGGTGATTTCGTGCCAAGTGCTCTCCAGCAACGACGCATTCACATGGAGGAAGGACCTTTTTGTGATATGACTCCCGGCAGACATGTCGTTGTGTTTGTGTGCAGTGTGGACACATCCACGCCTGCGCGCCCAGTGCACATGCCATGCGGAAGGTGCTTGACTCTGACAACATTCAGATTGAAGGATGTGGTCCCTAAACCATGAACTCTAACCCCTGAACCTTAAATCCAAAATCCTAAAACCTAAACCCTAAATCCTGAACCCTAAACCCTCATTCAGGTTTACTTTCAACTCATGGTCCGTTTTTCCGGGTTGGAAGAGTGGTTTAGGGTTTAGGGTTTAGGGTTTAGGGTTTAGGGTTTAGGGTTTAGGGTTTAGGGTTTAACACAGCCCTAAACTGGAATCTGCTTCGGGCCTTCTTGCTGTAGAGCCGTGCTACTTGGTGAAGCCTGTCCTGCAGACCGGGTCTGGCTGAGGCTTCGAGCTTTGCAAACTCAACTGCTACTTGCTTAAGAACCCCCAAAAAACTAAAACATATTATTAATCCCTATATCGCCCTGGGGAGAATAGTTATACTATAGTTATATAGTTATATATATATATATATAATTTTGGGGGGGTTCTTAAGCAAGTAGTAGTCAATGCACTCTGATCTCTCAACACCGCAGCGGTAGGTTGCATAGATAACGGTTTAGGGTTTACCTTACAACCAAGCCTACACTTTGGTAGGCTATTATAACAACATCGCTTACAGAATCCTTAGGCAACCTACAAACGAGTAGCTTGTGGGTTTTAAGTCGGGTTTAGGGCTTTTTCCGGCCAAGGCCATCTGCCAACGGGCGCTCCCAGTAGCTTGAGTCGGAAAGCACCAGTCGGCATCCCAACGTCCCTTTACAGCGTTCTGAGGGGGGGGGGGGTCGCTTAGGGAGTACTGAGGAGTATTTAGGAACCTTGGGTTACATAGCCCGCTTGAACCCCCTCCCTTAAGAACCCTACAAGTCCTGCTGCTCCGCCCTTTCCTTTCCCAAAGCGGCCGCTAAGGAAGATTGCACCTGCAGAGAGTACGGAATAGGGTTTAGGGTTTAGGGTTAGACTCGAAGCCCTAAACCGCAACCCTTCCAGTTCTATGAGCTGCACCACCAACAACAACAAGAGGCAACACTGCACGCGCTCAACCCCTCCCCCTCCCGGGTTCCTTGGGAGGGGCCCGGCAATTGATTCTGAAGGGTGCCGCCCGAACTTTCTCGCGACGCGCGGGAAAGAAAAAAGCAACTTGTCCTTAAGAAGGATCTTGTCGAATACCCCTACCCCCCCCCTCCCCCTCAACACCCTCTCTCCCCCCTCCCCCCCCCCCCGAAAAAAAAAATATGGAAGCTGGGGAAAAATTGCCAAACAACTATGAGGCTAGGGAGGGTGCAACATGAAACCCAAGTCGTAAACCCCCAAAACCCCACTGACCCCACCCCCTAAACCCTATGAACCCGAACAAAAAACCTAAAACCTTTAAATCTGTAAACCATAGAAAACCCTGCAAACCACATAAACCCTATCAACCCTATAAACGTTATAACCCTATAAACCCTATAATCCGTATAATTATAACCCTTGAACCCTGTATGAAACCCTGTAACCTTCTAAGCCCTATAAGCCCCAAAACCCTAAACCCTGGAGGTGCCTCTGGCAGGGTCTTCGTCACCAGCACCTTCTGGGCGCCTTCTTGGGATTTATGTAGGGTTGAGGGCTTGGGGTAATTTAGGGTGTCAGCCACTCAGTCTCGTGAGCTACTGCTGGCAGTATCTGCCTCTCGAACAGGAGCCGGATTGGGGGAAAGGGTTCTGGTGTGCGGTGGGCGCTGGCTTGCCGTGAGTAGGTTTGGAGTTGAAGTGCCACACAACCGGTGGAGGTGAAGCGGTGGGAGCACCCAGAACTGAGACGAGTGCAGCACTCACATCCTGCCCAACCTGAACCCCTACGCTGCAAGCGATCTGGAAACCAGGAAGGCCTTCCAGCTTGCTCATGGACCGGTGGAGATCTGTGAACCTGGGTGCTTAGGGTAGTCTAGGGTTCAGGGATACATGAGAAGTGCCCCCTTCTTTGCTCAAAGGGGTTGGTTGCTAAGGGATTCATGATGATAATAACGATAAGAATGGGAAGAAGAATAAGGGTCCTACGGGGCATCCTAGGTTTACGATATCTCTGTGGGTTGTCCTGTGTTGCTAGAGCCCTTCTTAGGCAAACCTCGTCGTCGACTCTTCCACGACTTGAAGCACTTAAGCCGATTGCCCTAAGTGATGAGTCCTAACCTGAAATCAACCCTTTTCTGGGCTGGCCAGTAACCTGGGATTTCAAAGGGTGCCCTTTCTTGCTTAAAGGGGTTAACAAATGGAACCTAACCCCCCCCCCCCCCGTGGGTGGCTTAAATAGGGTCTGTTTGGAAGCTGGGACTCGGGTTTTCTTATAGCCATACACGTTTCCACGAGGGTACGCTGCTGTCACGTCAGTCGTACTATGGAGGCCTCAGGAACAAGAACCAGGTAGTTCCTCTTTTCTCTTCTCTTTTTCTCCTCAATCCTAAAGTCGAAGGCTCTCGTGAGGAGAAGAGAAGGGAGAGAAGGAGGGAAAGATAAGAGGAACACGATTTTCATGGGAAGAGCCAAGAAAAGAATAGAAGAGAGATAAAACAAGGCGCAAAGAAGATGGTACTCTTCTTTATCTATCCTCTCTCCCTTATCTCTCCGTTCCCTCTGTCTTTTCGAAATGAGAAAAACAAAAAGAAAGATGAAAAGAAGAAGGGTTAGGAAAAGAGCCGAAGAGATAGGCCGAAAAGAGGGGTATGGTGAAGTACGGCAAAGGTCCACGCACAAGGAGTCACCTTCTGCTTACCCTTCCACTGCTTGATTTTACAAGCTCCTTTCTTGTGTTTTATCAGTTAAAATTAAAAGGAAACAGAAGGAGAGAAGGGAAAGGGAAGTGAGAGAGGAGAGACAACAAGGAGGCCATTTTAATTTCCTGTGAGTTATCAAAAGGAATGCAATATTATGGGAAGAGCAATGGAAAAAAAGAGTGGAAGAGAAATTAAGACAGGAGAGGGAGGTGCAAAAATAAGGCAAAGAGAAGATGGTGCCGTTTTCATCTCACCTCTCGTTCTTATCTTCCTCTTCTCTGGTTCTTTTCCCTGTGAAATAAAAAAACAAAAGGAAGGACAATGAACATATAAAGGAACCCGTTTTCGTTTTCCGTTTGGGCACAAGGAAAAAAAACAGAGGCGATAGGGCGAGAGGAGGGGTTTGCTGAAGCATGGGGAGGGTGTACGGGCAAGGGGCCAACTCCGCCCACTTCCCCCATCCATTGAAAGAGGAAAAGGAACAGGGCCTCCATTCCCCTCTTATTCTTCCTTTCTTGCGTTTTTGTCGTTTAGAAGGGAACAGGAGAAGAGGAGGGAGAGAGAAGGAGAGAGGAGACATAAAAAGGGTTGCATTTTTAATGGGAAGAGCAAAGAAAAGACCAGAAGAGAGATGATGGGAGAAGAGGGGGAGACAAAACAAGGCGCACAGAAAATGGGCAGATAAGAAGAGAGGAAAGGGAATGACCAAGTACAATGAGGAGTTCTTCAATTTCCCTCCCTATCTCTTATGTTACTTTTCCTTCTTGTGGGGTGTCCCTTTTTCTCTTGAAGATGCAGAAAACGATTGAAAAGGACACCCGTTCCATCGCCCATATGTAGGGAAAAAGAGAGAGAATCATGAGCATCAGCTGGGCTTGCTGCCAATCCAACATGGGCGTCCCTTTTAATCGCATTCTGTGTCCTTTTTTCTCGCTTGAAGATGCAGAAAACGATCCAAAAGCACATCTGTTGGAGGAAGAGAGAAGGAGAGAGGAGAGATACCAAGGATTGCATATTTAATGGGAAGAGCAAGGAAGAGAATAGAAGACAGATGAATAGAGAAGATGGCGCTCTTCTTTATCTATTCTCTCTCCCTTGTTTCTCCCTTCCCTCTTTCTTTTCGAAATGAGAAAAACAAAAAGGAAGAACTATGAGAAGGAGAAGAGTAAGGAAAGGAACAGAAGAGATAGGCCGAGAGGATGAATATGATGGAGTATTATGGAAAGGCTCACGCGCAAGGAGTCACCCTCTGCTTACCTTTTCACTGCTTTATCATATGAGTTCCTTTCTTGTGTTTTATCAGTTAAAAGGAAGCGGAAGAAGAGAAGGGAAAGGGAAGTGAGAGAGGAAAGATAACAAGGATGCTATGTTTCCCGAAGCGTGCTGCAAGGAATAGAAGAGACAGGAAGCAAGGAGACGGAATCACAAAATAAGGCGCAAAGCTGTACATATCATCTCTCCCTTGTCTCTCCCTATTCCCTTTCGAACTAGAAAAAACCATTCTTGCTTTTCACAGATAGGTTCCCTCTCTCCTCTTCAGGAAATCCCCTTTCCCTTATGTTGCTTTTTGAAGCGAATAAGAAAAATAGCAGATAAGAAGAGAGGAAAGGGTCAATTTCCCTCCCTATCTCTTATGTTGCTTTTCCTTCTTGTGGGGTGTCCCTGTTTCTCTTGAAGATGCAGAAAACGATTGAAAAGGACACCCGTTCCATCGCCCATGTGTAGGGAAAGAGAGAGAATCATGAGCATCAGCTGGGCTTGCTGCCAATCCAACATGGGCGTCCCTTTTAATCGCAGTCTGTGTCCTTTTTTCTCGCTTGAAGATGCAGAAAACGATCCAAAAGCACATCTGTTGGAGGAAGAGAGAAGGAGAGAGGAGAGATACCAAGGATTGCATATTTAATGGGAAGAGCAAGGAAGAGAATAGAAGACAGATGAATAGAGAAGAGGGAGAGACAAAACAAGGCGCAGAGAAGATGGCACTCTTCTTTATCTATTCTCTCTCCCTTGTTTCTCCCTTCCCTCTTTCTTTTCGAAATGAGAAAAACAAAAAGGAAGAACTATGAGAAGGAGAAGAGTAAGGAAAGGAACAGAAGAGATAGGCCGAGAGGATGAATATGATGGAGTATTATGGAAAGGCTCACGCGCAAGGAGTCACCCTCTGCTTACCTTTCCACTGCTTTATCATATGAGTTCCTTTCTTGTGTTTTATCAGCAGAAGAGAAGGGAAAAGCAAAAATTGAGCCCAACATTTTAGGACCAGGGCTTGCGATCTCACTCTTTGGAGCAAAAATCGATTCCAAAATCTTAGGGACCAGGGCTTGCGATGTTACTCTTTGGAGCAAGAAATGAGCCCAAAATCTTAAAGACCGGGGCTTGCGATTTCACCTTTTGGAGCAAATACTGGGCCCAAAATCTTAGGGACCAGGGCTTGCAATTTGACTCCGTGGAGCACAAATCGACCTCGAAATCTTAGGGACCAGGGCTTGCGATTTGACTCTGTGGAGCACAAATCGACCCCGACAACTTAGGGACCAGGGCTTGCGATTTGACTCTTTGGAGCAAAAATCGACCCAAAAATCTAAGGGACCAGGGCTTGCGATTTTACTCTTTGGCGCAAAAACTGGCCCCCAAATCTTAGGGACCAGGGCTTGCGATGTCACTCTTTGGAGCAAAATTGAACCCAAAGTCTTAGGGACCAGGGCTTGCGATTTGACTCTTTGGAGCAAAAACTGTGCCCAAAATCTTAGGGAGCAGGGTTTGCGATTTGACTCTTTGGAGCAAAAACTGGGCCCCAAATCTTAGGGACCAGGGCTTGCGATGTCACTCTTTGGAGCAAAATTGAACCCAAAGTCTTAGGGACCAGGGCTTGCGATTTGACTCTTTGGAGCAAAAACTGGGCCCAAAATCTTAGGGACAAGGGCTTGCGATGTCACTCTTTGGAGCAAAAAATGAACCCAAAATCTTAGGGACCAGGGCTTGCGATTTGACTCTTTGGAGCAAAAACTGGGCCCCAAATCTTAGGGACCAGGGCTTGCGATTTGACTCTTTGGAGCAAAAATTGAACCCAAAATCTTAGGGACCAGGGCTTGCGATTTGACTCTTCGGAGCAAAAACTGGGCCCAAGATCTTAGGGACCAGGGCTTGCGATGTCACTCTTTGGAGCAACAATGAATGCAAAATCTTAGGGACCAGGGCCTGCGATTTGACTCTTTGGAGCAAAAATTGAACCCAAAATCTTAGGGACCAGGGCTTGCGATTTGACTCTTTGGAGCAAAAACTGGGCCCAAGATCTTAGGGACCAGGGCTTGCGATGTCACTCTTTGGAGCAAAAAATGAACCCAAAATCTTAGGGACCAGGGCTTGCGATTTGACTCTTTGGAGCAAAAACTGGGCCCCAAATCTTAGGGCTTGCGATGTCACTCTTTGGAGCAAAAAACGAACCCAAAATCTTAAGGACCAGGGCTTGCGATGTCACTCTTTGGAGCAAAAATTGAACCCAAAATCTTAGGGACCAGGACTTGCGATGTCACTCTTTGGAGCAAAAACTGGGCCCAAAATCTTAGGGACCAGGGCTTGCGATTTGACTCTTTGGAGCAAAAACTGGGCCCAAAATCTTAGGGACCAGGGCTTGCGATGTCACTCTTTGGAGCAAAAAACGAACCCAAAATCTTAAGGACCAGGGCTTGCGATGTCACTCTTTGGAGCAAAAATTGAACCCAAAATCTTAGGGGCCAGGACTTGCGATGTCACTCTTTGGAGCAAAAACTGGGCCCCAAATCTTAGGGACCAGGGCTTGCGATTTGACTCTTTGGAGCAAAAATTGAACCCAAAATCTTAGGGACCAGGGCTTGCGATTTGACTCTTCGGAGCAAAAACTGGGCCCCAAATCTTAGGGACCAGGGCTTGCGATTTGACTCTTCGGAGCAAAAACTGGGCCCCAAATCTTAGGGACCAGGGCTTGCGATGTTACTCTTTGGAGCAAAGATTGAACCCAAAATCTTAGGGACCAGGGCTTGCGATTTGACCCTTTGGAGCAAAAACTGGGCCCAAAATCTTAGGGACCAGGGCTTGCGATTTGACTCTTTGGAGCAACTGGGCCCAAGATCTTAGGGACCAGGGCTTGCGATGTCACTCTTTTGGGCAAGAAATGAGCCCAAAATCTTAGGGAGCAGGGCTTGCGATTTGACCCTTTGGAGCAAAAAACTGTGCCCCAAATCCTAGGGACCAGGGCTTGCGGTTTGACTCTGTGGAGCAAAAATTGAACCCGAAATCTTCGGGACCAGGGCTTGCGATTTGACTCTTCGGAGCAAGAAATGAGCCCAAAATCTTAAGGGCCAGGGCTTGCTTTGGAGCAAAAAACTGAGTCCAAAATCTTAGGGACCAGGGCTTGCGATTTGACTCTTTGGAGCAAAAACGGGGCCCCAAATAATAGGGACCAGGGCTTGCGATGTTACTCTTTGGGGCAAGAAATGAGCCCAAAATCTTAGGGACCAGGGCTTGCGATGTTACTCTTTGGGGCAAGAAATGAGCTCAAAATCTTAGGGACCAGGGCTTGCGATGTCACTTTTTGGAGCAAAAACTGTGCCCTAGTATTGGGGGGGGGAGGGCTCGTGATTTAGTATTGGGAGGAGGCCCGGGCTCGTAAATTAGTATTGGGGGGAGGCCCGGGCTCGTGATTTAGTATTGCGGGAGGCCCGGGCTCGTGATTTAGTATTGGGGGGAGGCCCGGGCTCGTGATTTAGTATTGGGGGGAGGCCCGGCCTCGTAATTTGGAGGCCCGGGCTCGTGATTTAGCCCGGGCTCGTGATTTAGTATTGGGGGGAGGCCCGGGCTCGTGATTTAGTATTGCGGGAAGGCCCGGGCTCGTAATTTAGTATGGAGGCCCGGGCTCGTGATTTAGTATTGGGGGGAGGCCCGGGCTCGTGGTTTAGTATTGGGGGGAGGAGGATGCCCCAGCCCCCACCCCCCATTTGGAAATAAATGAATTACTTGAATTAATTGAATTAATTCAATTATTTCAATTAATTCAAGTAATTCATTTATTTCCAAATGGGGGGGATTCCCCAGCCCCCACCCCCCCCCTTTGGAAATAAATGAATTAATTCAATTAATTGAATTAATTGAATTAATTCAATTAATTCAATTAATTCAATTAATTGATTTATTTCCAAAGGGGAGGTGGAATTAATTGAATTAATTGAATGAATTCAATTTGAATTAATTGAATGAATTCAATTATTTCAATTAATTCAATTAGTTCAATTAATTCATTTATTTCCAAATGGGGGGGATTCCCCAGCCCCCACCCCCCCCCCCTTTGGAAATAAACGAATTAATTGAATTAATTGAATTAATTGAATTAATTGAATTTCAATTAATTCAATTAATTCATTTATTTCCAAAGGGGAGGTGGAATTAATTGAATTAGTTGAATTAATTCAATTATTTCAATTAATTCAATTAATTCAATTAATTCAATTAATTCATTTATTTCCAAAGGGGGGGGAGAGGTGGGGGCTGGGGAATCCCCCCATTTGGAAATAATTGAATTAATTGAATTAATTGAATTAATTGAATTAATTGAATTAATTGAATTAATTGAATTAATTGAATTAATTGAATTAATTGAATTAATTGAATCAATTCAATTAATTCAATTAATTCAATTAATTCCACCCCCCCCCTTTGGAAATAAATGAATTAATTGAATTAATTGAATTAATTGAACTAATTCAATTAATTCAATTATTTCAATTAATTCATTTATTTCCAAAGGGGGGGGGGTGGGGGCTGGGGAATCCCCCCCATTTGGAAATGAATGAACTAATTGAACGAAATTATTTAAACTATCGCGGCTCGATTTGGCCAAATTTTGACGGGCAGCCTGCGGGCAAAATTTGGCCAAATCGGGCTGCTCTTCGTATGCCATGAGAAATGCGCGGCTCGATTTGGCCAAATTTTGCCCGGAGGCTGCCCGGCAAAATTTGGCCAAACCGAGCCGCGCATTTCTCAGCGCGTACGACGAGCAGCCCGATTTGGCCAAATTTTGCCCGCAGACTTCCCGGCAAAATTTGGCCAAACCGAGCCGCGATAGTTTATATAATTTCGGGCCTCCAGAAAGGCGCGGCTCGATTTGGCCAGATTTTGCCGGGCAGTCTGCGGGCAAAATTTGGCCAAATCGGGCTGCTCGTCGAACGCGATGAGAAATGCGCGGCTCGATTTGGCCAAATTTTGCCGGGCAGCCTCCGGGCAAAATTTGGCCAAATCGAGCCGCGCCTTTCTGAAGGCCCGAAATTTTGAAACTATCGCGGCTCGATTTGGCCAAATTTTGCCGGGCAGCTTCCGGGCAAAATTTGGCCAAATCGGGCTGCCCTTCGTATGCGATGAGAAATGCGTGGCTCGATTTGGCCAAATTTTGCCCGGAAGCTGCCCGGCAAAATTTGGCCAAATCGAGCCGCGATAGTTTAAAAATTTCGGGCCTTCAGAAAGGCGCGGCTCGATTTGGCCAAATTTTGCCCGGAGGCTGCCCGGCAAAATTTGGCCAAATCGAGCCGCGCAGTTCTCATCGCGTTCGACCCCCCATTTGGAAATAAATGAATTAATTGAATTAATTGAATTAATTGAATTAATTGAAATAATTGAATTAATTCAATTAATTCAATTAATTCCACCTCCCCTTTGGAAATAAATGAATTAATTGAATTAATTGAATTAATTGAATTAATTCAATTATTTCAATTAATTCAATTAATTCATTTATTTCCAAATGGGGGGTGGGGGCTGGGGAATCCTCCTCCCCCCAATACTAAACCACGAGCCCGGGCCTCCCCCCAATACTAAATCACGAGCCCGGGCCTCCCCCCAATACTAAATTACGAGCCCGGGCCTTCCCGCAATACTAAATCACGAGCCCGGGCCTCCCCCCAATACTAAATCACGAGCCCGGGCTAAATCACGAGCCCGGCCTCCAAATTACGAGGCCGGGCCTCCCCCAATACTAAATCACGAGCCCGGGCCTCCCCGCAATACTAATTTACGAGCCCGGAATGGTGCCCCCCCCCATTTGGAATTAATTGAATTAATTGAATTAATTGAATTAATTGAATTAATTCAATTAATTCACCCCCCATTTGGAATTAATTGAATTAATTGAATTAATTCAATTAATTCCATTAATTCAATTAATTCCATTAATTCATTTAATTCAATTAATTCCAAAAGGGGGGGGGGGTGAATTAATTCAATTAATTCAATTATTTCCAAATGGTGCCCCCCCCCCGCCCCCAGCCCCGAGCCCCCCACCCCCCCATTTGGAATTAATTGAATTAATTGAATTAATTGAATTAATTGAATTAATTGAATTAATTGAATTAATTGAATTACCTGAATTAATTGAATTAATTCAATTAATTCACCCCTCATTGGGAATTAATTGAATTAATTCAATTAATTCAATTAATTCCATTAATTCAATTAATTCCATTAATTCATTTAATTCAATTAATTCCAAAAGGGGGGGGTGAATTAATTCAATTAATTCAATTAATTCAACCTCCCCAAGTGTAAATAAATGAATTAATTGAATTAATTGAATTAAATTCTGTCTTGGCAACCCTACAGAACCTAAAATAGGGTCTATTTGGAAGTTGTCTCTTGTAAATAAGTATACGTTTTGGGGCCTGATTTCCTCTTGAAAACACGAGTCTCAGCTTCCAAATAGACCCTATTTAAGCTGCACACCCCCCCCCCCCCCCCAAAAAAAAAAAAAAAAAAAGAATAAGGGCACTACTGGGCATCTGAGTTTTTGAATGAGGTCTTCTCAAGTGCCTCCAAGCTTGCACGCCAGCACTTCGCAAGCCAGCAAAAGACTACTCTCTTGCTTCCAAGTACCGGCAGAAACAGCAACTGACATGGTCAGGATGAATCTGTAATCCCTGTACATTGGTTTTGATTGGAAACCGCATCCACCACATTGATTTTGATTGGAAACCGCATCCACCACATTGATTTTGAGTTTCAGATTCATGTTGGAACTTTGCGACCCTTTCCACTGGTATATTTATGTTGTGTCATTTTCGATGTGGATGCATTTTGGGGGAGAATTTGTTTTGTTTTTTCAGCGTGGTTTTGTAGATGAATACTTTTCCTTAATTTGAAGTGGAAGGCCTTCTGCTTTTTTCGATGAAGTTTTGGTTGCGTGTGTTTGTGAAAATATCAGCAGGATTCGGATTTGCTCATTCTATGATGTTCCCCCTTATACTAAGAGTCCTGAAGATTATAGTACCCCCTAGTATATGGTACCCCCGATTATAACCCCACTGTTAGTATAAGGGGGAACATCCCAACCTGTACACATCTCAACTTTAATTGGCAGATGCTGAGCAAGACTACTTCATCCACCCTCAAGTGACAACCACGTCGAAGTTGAAAAGCCCCGCAGCATCAGCGCAATGAACCCTAACCCTAAACCCTAAACCCTAAACCCTAAACCCTAAACCCTAAACCCTAAACCCTACAGAAACCCCAAACCCTGACATGCCCTTCAAGCTCACGCACGTCTGGCAGTGGCAGGTCACATCCTTTCCGTCTCCCGCTGCTGCGCAGCGCGCCGCGTCTCCATACAGTCCTTCCGCAAAAAAGGGGCAACCGGGGGGACCAAATGAAGAACCCTAAAGGGTTTAGGCCTTGAAGGGGACATACACCCTAGCAGGAATTCTAGTCTAGGGCTATTTTTCACCAAAATTTGGGGGTGTGGTTGTTTTTCAGGGCATGGCTCGTCGACTTGAAGGCTGCCCCTTTTGAACCAATCAATCGTCCCAAATCGGATCCTCCTCAACCCAACACGAAGAAAAGCTGACAGAACGTATCCCAAGGGCGACTAAACCCAAAAAAAAACTTTTCTTTTTGTTTTAAGCGGGGGGGGGGACATGGGAGGCTCTCGACTAATCCCCTGTGCTCCTGCTTCACCCTCATGAATATGATCTTTATATTGAGCCCTATATGGTCATGTCTCAAAATGTGGTCCCTTTTGGGCTTACTACTATAAGGCGGACCCACGTTTTAGGGTGCCCAAAAAGGGACTCTAATTTTGAGAACTGACCATAGAACTCCATGAACCCGGTTTTTGTTGAACCCAGACTCTTGTCCTCATCGGCTAGCAGGGCACACTATCCGGAACTCCGTACATCGCCCCAAACCACCACTGTTCAGCCCTAACATTCAACAAAAAGGAGCGCCACTCAGGGGTTTCGGCATTCAAGGGAAAAGGCGGCTCCCAGGGGTTTGCACATGGAGCAAGAAGCCCTGAGCTCAACTGGCAGACCTCGAAGTTGTGCATTCGCTGGTCGTACCGGGCCTCCAGGACCTTTGAGAGCGAGTCGGCTCTGGGTGGTGTTCTTGTGGGCAGAGTCTGGAGGACTTCATAAGCCCTCCTATAAGTGCCCCCCAACTCGCTAGAAATGGGCCAGGACAGTGGTGTAAAGGGGAAAGGCCTGTCATCACCGAGATTCTGCCAGAGATTCTGCAGCAATCTCGTCTTTGAGCCTGGCACGTCAACCCCAAACCCTAAACCCTAAACCCTAAACCCTAAACCCTAAACCCTAAACCCTAAACCCTAAACCCTAAACCCTAAACCCTATGCGCAGGCTCACAAATATCCTACGCCGGGCCTCTGTTTGGCTGCTTGGAGCTCCTCCTCCAGCTGCTTCTCCTTTTCCTCCGCTGCGCCGGAAGAAAGCACCGCCCATAGCCCCTTTTGCGGGGTTCTTAAGGGAGGGGGGTTCAAGGGGGGTTTAGGGTTTAGGGTTTAGGTTTAGGGCTTAGGGCTTAGGGCTTAGGGCTTAGGGTTTAGGGTTTAGGGTTTAGGGGTTGGGTATGTAACCCAAGGTTTCCTAGTTCTCCCTACGGCTAAGGTTCTCTGGGTACCTACTCCTCCATGAACCCCCCTTCCTTAAACCCGATAACCTTTGTGCGACCCAGTGGAATCCGCCAGTGGAACAATCTGGCCGCAAATCGATCATGCTTGAATCCTTTGCCTTGCCTCGAAAGCTTACTGTGGCACAGTTGTTAACCCAATGCGTATATGTATATATATATATATCTATATGTATGCAAGTATCGTGGTTGTTGATACATTTTCCTTATATTATATGTCACACAGTGGCGGGTGCCGTGCCCGCGCCTACTTACTGAACTTGCTAAACGAAAGCTGCAGGCAGGCAGCAAGTCGTTCTGTGCCATCACCCAACCTCAGGGAGCTTTGAAGTTTCCGGGGTCTGTGAACTATGCAAGTTTCATAGTGGTCCTAAGACCAATGCAGGAACACCTACAAGAAAGACCTGCAGCTCCTTCAACACAAAAAAGCCAGACACAGAAAGGCTTTTCCCGACTACTACATATGGAAGATGGAAAAAGGCATGTTTTACTTACCCTAAACCCTAAACCCTAAACCCTAAACCCTAACCCCTAAACCCCTAAACCCCTAAACCCTAAACCCTAAACCCTAAACCCTAAACCCTATCTACTTACGGTAGGCTTGCCAGTGCCAGGAGCTGCTTCCGCAAGTCTTCCATGACTTCGAAGCGCTGCTCGGCATTCTCCTGGCTTGACAACTATTGGTTTAGGGTTTAGGGTTTAGGGTTTAGGGTTTAGGGTTTAGGGTTTTAGAAGCCCCAAACATATCCCTAAGGCCCTGACCCGTAAATGAAAGGATGAAATTCCCTTTAGTACCCTCATAAAGGATTCTTTTCTTTTGTTGGGGGCGGGGGGGGGGGGGGGGGGGTGGGCTCTTAAGCAAACAGTAGTTGAAATTCGAGGGCTCGGGGGTCCTTTCGGGCTCGAGCTGCAGATGGTGCGTCCTCTTCGGGCCTTTTTCGGGTTTAGGGTTCAAGTTCAAGCAAAACTACAAGAAGCAAGGCAAACCAAAACTGGGCTTGGAGAGAGAAAGCTTCAGAAAGAGAGAGAGAGAGAGGAAAAACACAAAAAACAACAAAAACAAATAACAACAACATATACTAATAAGGGCCTCTATGGAAGCTTCACGGAGTTGAGGGCTTCTGTCTTAGGGGGGAAACCCCTCCCGATTTTGCTGAGCTCAGGAACACAGGGTTTAGGCGCCCGCCTAGCTGACTCAGTACTCCGCAGAAACACCTCAGGTTTCTCAAGCCCCAGGCCGGCGGCCAGACACATTGACACATCCTGTTTTCGGTGTGTTGTGCCGCCTGGCCTGGCATAATGACGAAAGAAGTTGCGCCTTCGCAGACCCAGAAGGGAAATTGGTGGAGCTCTGCTGCCGACTGGTAACCCCAGATACCCTTTTTGACTCCAGGCTCAGCCGGATCCGAACTTCCTGACAATCTGTGAAAGATGTCTGGACAATCGTTCCGTTGCTCCCCAGTGGGGTCCTGTGGCAAAAATCCGGATTTTTAAGGAAAGGCATCTTAGCTTTTCATCAGTCTCAAAAGACCCCCCCCCCCCTTCTCCAGAACGCTTCCTGCCTGAAACGTCTTTGGCGCTCTTTTCGCTGGATCACTCATTGTGGGTTGGCTGGCCCACAAGACGTCGCAGAGCCCCCACACGGAACGCCACGTGCTTAACAACTGGCTCAGGAACACATGGGGGATTCTCGGAACTATAGGGCTCCTTTTGGGTTACTATGATAAGGCGGCCCCTAATATTTCGGGCACCCACAAAGCGACATAATCCACATGGGCATGCTTTCCAGCCTTTAATGTTTGGGCTGATGCCACTCTGCAAACCCGCATGAAATTGCGGCCTACAGTCTTGAATCAACGCCGTAGCGTCCTAGAACCCTAACCTTGGCTGCACTTTGCAGGGTAGCTATAAATTCAATCTTTAGCTGCCTTGTTAAGAAACCCAATAAACCCAAAAAGGCTAAGGATCTAATGTTACAGTAAAGCACCACAGAGTAACTTTCTGGGGCTGCAAAAAGCTTCTGCCTCCAACTTGGCAACTTGCTGGTCGCAGTGAGCTCGCAAGACCTTGCTCTCGGAGAGTTTCTTGGTTGGGCCCCCTTAAGAACCCAAAACCTAGTTCTTTTGATAGGTCACTCAAAGCTCTATCAAAGGCTTTATAATCCGAACCTACAAAAACAGTAGGTTTTGGGTTCCTAAGGTAAGGACAACCGGAAGACATGTCCATGGAGTTTCGACCCTCACGTGCGAGCAAGCAAGGCTTTTGCAAGGTCTCGGGGGTTTAGAAGAGGGGGGTCTTGTGGCATCTCGAACAGGGTCCAAATCAAGCCAGGAGCATGGCACGATGTCGGTGCCACCTACGTATGGAGCATGAGGGCTCCCTTCTAGCCAAGACACCCGTGTCTGCTCATTGATCTCCTCGCGCACGGCCTCAAGGTCCACGATCATCCTCAATGACTGAGTAGCTTCGGCTTTGGGGAGCACGGTGTAGGGTCTCCGAAGATCCGGATTTCTGAGCACCACGGAATAACAGGCTGCCATGCAAAACCCGACTCAGCAGCCTGCGTGCCACGGCGACATCGCAAAGACACCCCTGAACCTCAAACTCGAACAACCGTGCACTCCCCCTAAACCCTAAACCCTAAACCCTAAACCCTAAACCCTAAACCCTAAACCCTAAACCCTAAACCCTAAGCCCTAAACCCTAAACCCTAAACCCTAAACGAACCCTTTAGAAACCTTCTAGGGATCAGAGTTTCGGGTTTCGGATCTAGGGCTCAGAAACCTCAAAGCTCCTAAACACCGCCAAGCATCCCAAGGACCCTCTAAGACCCCCAACAGAACCGGCAAGCTTCCCTCCTAAACCCTAAACCCTAAACCCTAAACCCTAAGAAACCTGCGGTGCGTGCTCTTCCCTGAACTCTGCCTTTCTTCCTTGTCGTTCCTTTTTCTGTTGCCATATATCGACTAAGGCAATTACCCTGCCTAGTCGTTATAGTGCGTCTTTCATAACATTAAAGTAGGCTATCCCTTGGGATGTTTTCCCTTATACGGATTACAATACTGAGTATAAGGGGGAACATCCCTAAACCCTAAACCCTAAACCCTAAACCCTAAACCTTAAACCCTATCCCCCCCCCCCCCCCCCCCCCCCCCCAACAAAAAAAACGGGAATTACAACTTCCGGGGGCCAGGTAATTAGGTCTCAGCCCCGGGGCTTCGCTTCGAGCTCCGCCACGATGTGGCCTTATGGCTTCAATACCCGGGTTTAGGGTTTAGGGTCTAGGGTTCTTTTTTCGCTCCCGCATAGCTTTAGGGTTTAGGGTTTAGGGTTTAGGGTTTAGGGTTTAGGGTTTAGGGTTTAGGGTTTAGGGTTTAGGGTTTAGGGTTTAGGGTTTTAGGGTTTAAGGTTTAGGGTTTAAGGTTTAGGGTTTTTTTTTAACAAGGGACTCGACTGCCCTTATGCCCAGCTCATCCCCACACCACAGCACTCATGACTGCAGGGGGGTGGATGGAGTAGTGTGGTTTTTGTTCTGCCACCCGTCTAGTCAAGCTCCACGGGGCAACTGCCAAGAGAATGCTGAAGCCCAACTTTGCGATCTAGTCAGAAATCCAGGGTGCTTCAGGATCGTATCTCCAATTCACCCAACAGAGTTTGGGGTTTAGGGTTTATAGGTTTTGAGTTACTGCTCCCAATGGCCAGGGAAAAGCAGTTCAGGGTTGACTTTGGAGGGCTTCAGGTTTTGTCTTTGGTGGGTTTTGGTGGTAGGGCTGATTGTGGAACATCATGGAGCAACGGGCTTCGGCACTTGGTATGCCAACGAGATACGGAAAGCCCACAACAGAGTAAGTTGCATGCACTCGTATACCTACATTTCTATGCAAATCTGTGTGTCCCTTTATCATCTTGGCAGGTAATTCAGTGGCCCACTTCCGGTCAACCCTAAACCCTAAACCCTAAACCCTGAACCCTAAACCCTAAACCCCAAACCCTAAACCCCTAAACCCCTAAACCCCTCAAGCCTCAACGCCCCGAACCCTTTCCATCCTCAATCCTCATCCCCTCTGGGCAGCCAAGTCGCCCATCTCCTCCCTCAGCTCACTTGAGTCGATGACGATCTCCTGCTAGTTTAGGGTTTAGGGGTTTAGGGGTTTAGGGGTTTAGGGTTTAGGGTTTTGGGTCTAGGGCTTAGTGGCTGACTGTTTCCCACCTGCCTAGCCACGCACTGCCGGGGAAAGCTGGAGGAGGAAGAACCTTGAACTTGATGTCCGCTAGGTTACCCATTTAGGGCTCAGGGCTCAGAGGGGAATGTTGAGTCCAGCCACTGTCTGGAGCAGAGATGTCTCAGGACCAGGATAGGCACAACCCAAAAGTCAACCCCTACTTCGCTTACCCAACAAACGAAGTCAAGCTAAGTTCCTATCCGTCAACACTTTCACTGGCCCCATTCGTTCCCCTACTCAGCATCTGCATTTGACACTCGGGACTTAGATAATTGATCCCTAAACCCTAAACCCTCGACCCGCAACCTGGCGGGGGCCAGACTTGGTGGCATCCTATAGGCCCTGACGGACATATTTCTGCTTTGGGTATTAACCGCTCAGACTCGGAAAAGCCAGGGAGGACACCAAATCAAGCAACTTCAGACAGCGTTGTGCTGACAGCTTCAGGTTCCGTTACCCTAACTTCCCCACAAAGCAACCAACTCACTGGCACCCATTCACGTGCAGACTAGTAGACTAACCGATAAGCTTTCAGTGAAATTCCACACCAACGGCGTATCATCCAAATCCTTATTTGCTTAAAAAGCCCCCAGAAGCATAAGAACCCCTCTTCATAAGGAAGAGTCTGTTGATTATTTAGGAGGTAGTAATGTAGTAATATAGTCATATAGTAATATAGTAATATGGTAATATAGCAATATAGTAAGGTTCTTGAGCAATTAGTGGAAAAGAGGGGCTCCTCCACGCTCGAGGTCTGCGACTTCCTCAGCACGCGAAAAGCACATGCTCAAGGCAACAGGAAGGTTCTAGACAGCAAAGGCAGGGTTTAGGGTTTAGGGTTTAGGGTTTAGGGTTTAGGGTTTAGGGTTTAGGGTTTAGGGTTTAGGGTTTAGGGTTGAGGGTTGAGGGTTGAGGGTTTAGGGTTTAGGGTTTAGGGTTAGGGTTTAGGGAAAGTTTAGGGTTTAGGGGTCCCTAATTCCGTACTCATAAAGTATACGTAGTCTTGAAGATGTCCCCCGCCCTCCTTCAACTTCACGTGCTGAAGTATCTGAGGGTTTGAGCACGCTAAGCCCTGGCACTCAACATCGTCACCGACGACCTGACATACTCCAACACAGTTCCCCTTAAAACCACGACCTGAATAATATAGGGGCCTCAAACCTCAACCCTAACCCTCAACTTTATATAGGGACCATAAGGGAACAGTACTAGTAATTAGTCATTACCTGAATAGGCCCCGGCAAGGACAGCACCTCTTCCCGACCAAGCAGCCTATCAGATTGGTCCTGCAGCTTCCTTGGAAGTGGTTTAGGGTTTAGGGTTTAAGGTTTCTTCTGACGCACTTCGTCGGCAGGCTTAAGTAGGTCCGCGAGTAGAGTGTAAAGTTCTTGACAGAAACGATGGTGAAGGCAAATGAAAACATCTCCCACCCCCCCCCCCCCCAAGAAGCAAATAAATCTGCTAGATTCTAAGCATAAGCTAGAACTAAGGACCAGATTTGGTGGAGGTCTCAAACATCGACAGGAATAGAACCGTAAACCCTAAACCCACGGCCCAAGAACACCAAAGTATGAACCCTTCATCTCGTGTGGCGCCAAAGCATCTCTTCCAGCAAGTCAAGGCGACTTTCTAACTTCTCAGCAGATTCGTCGGACCTGCCGCCGGGGGAGGTGGGGTTTAAGGTTTAGGGTTTAGGGTTTTAAGGCTTTAGGGTTCAGGGTTTAGGGTTTAGGGGGTAACCCGAAGAGCTGAAGAATCTTGAATGCTCCAACGGCTACACTAAGGCCACAGTGGCCGAAGCCAGGGAACGCCGCCTTGACTCCTGAACCTTCACGCCCTCTTGCAACAGACTCTTGTTCTGTCAGAACCAGGGATGCTGACGTTGGGGACGATATACACCCTAAAGGGGTTGATGGGTCATGTGCCTGAATATCCTGAATAATTAGGAATTCTGCTGCAGGGTTTCTGACCCCAATTCTAGGGTTTCGCCCTAAACCCTAAACCCTAAACCCTCAACCCTTTGGTCCCCGACCTGGGCGGGTCCATTCCTTTCACTGCCACCTCCTGCGCTTTCGTCGAGGCCTGGCGTGGCAGCAGCATGCCAAGGCGGGGGGGGGAGGGCTTCAGGGTTTAGGGGTTTAGGGGTTTAGGGGTTTAGGGGTTTAGGGTTTAGGGGTTTAGGGTTTAGGGGTTTAGGGGTTTAGGGGTTTAAGGGCTTTAGGGCTTTAGGGTTTAGGGGTTTAGGGGGGTTCGAGGCCTCCCTTGCCTTGCAAATTTTGAGGCCTTTTTCGGCACCTGACCTGCATCTTGGGATGCACAGGTCCCCCAAAACCCCCTGAAGCACACCAAGGCAAGCCACCAGTGTCACAGCAACGCCCTCCTTCGCTTGTCTGCACCCCGCCTCATCCCGAAAACGCCTTGAGCATCCACAAAACCAAGTAAGACTCCCAAAATAAACTACCCCTGTAAACCAACCCTAAACCCTAAACCCTAAACCCTAAACCCTAAACCCAGACGGCATGCCCTCAAACATCCCTCCCCCCGCTCACCGTCCCCCCCCCCCCCCACCACATCGAAATAGCCCCAAACAAGCCTAGACTTTAAACCCGAAGCCCTAAGCCCTAAGCCTAAAAAAAACGTTCACAGTGAGCCTGAACCTCAAACCCGGCACACCGATTATCAGCCTTTCCTATCACCCTATAGCCCTGAAGCCTAAACCCTAATTCCTTTTGCCCTAAACCCTAAACCCTAAACTCCAAACCCTAAAGCCTAAATCCTAAACATCCCGAAGCTTTTTCGGGCAACTGGACTATCATTGACTGCCAGGAAAACAACACACGTGTCTCAGCAACAGCCCAAAACCCTGCTGCGCATCACCGAGCCGAAGCCTAAACCCGAGACCCGAGACCCCGAGACCCTAAACCCTAAACCCTAAACCCTAAACCCTAAACCCTAAACCCTAAACCTCAACCTAAAGTCCTAAACCTCCCAAGCAAAGAAAGGCCTGGAGTTGCCCTTGCAGCTCCAAACAGCGCTCTTCCAGCGCCTCCTGACGCGAGGCGTGCGGGCGTTTGGGGGCTTCACAGCGTTTAGGGGTTTAGGGTTTTAGGGTTTAGGGTTTAGGGTTTAGGGGTTTTAGGTTTTAGGGTTTAGGGTTTAGGGTTTAGGGTGTAGGGTTTAGGGTTTAAGGTTTGGGCTTAGGGTTTAGGGTTTAGGTTGAGGGTTTTAGTTTGCTGCCGCATAGCTGGCTTAACCGCAGGCAGGGTTTGGGTCTGTCTTTAGGGTTTAGGGTTAAGGGCTTCGGGCATAGGATGTGTGTGTTTTTGCCATCCGCACTGCACAGGCCAAAGCACCCACTCGGCAGGGGCAAGTGCAGGATTTGGTTTAGGGTTGAGGGTTTACGGTTTGGGTAGGTTTAGTCGCTCTGAGTCTAGGACAGGCCGCCCGGCGGCTATAATTTGGATTCGGAGCTTGGGTTGGGGAGGAGAGGGGGGGGGGGGGGCTCATATTGCGTGACACGTGGAAATTGGGGAGGCCTATCCTGATTTCAGATCTATGTGTGTGTGGTGTTAATTAGATGGTTGGGGCGTTTTGCGCGACTTTATTCGTTCCCGAAGAGGCATCGCGTCTTTGACTTCAGGTTTTGGAGGGCTGAGTTGAGTGGGGCTGGAGATCCTATGCAAGCTTGCATGACGCGCATGAATTCCAGACGTTGCAAGCCTCTGCAACCTGAAAGGAACATCGTCGAAAGGGACTCAGAAGAAGAAGAAGACGAAGAAGAAGCCATGCGGGTAGCAAGCCCAACCGGCTGAGTGCATCACTGCATCACTTAGAAGCCTCTCAGCTGAACTCACACCGAAAAAAGCAAGCAGCGGAAAGAACAAACAGAACGGGAGAGACAGAGAGAGAAACAAATGCAACATTGCATATGTAGAGCAACCTGGCAAGTGCAAACCGCAACTTCCCAACAACACGTCAACACCCGAGTGAGGCAAAATAGAGATGCTCCAAGTGCCATAAGCCAACGCCAGCTCCATAAGCAAACATCTCTAAGCCCTAAACCCTAAACCCTAAACCCTAAACCCTAAACCCTAAACCCTAAACCCTGAGCAAACATATGGTTGCCAACAGCATGAACAAGCTGCTGGACTAATGCAACCGGACTTGGGGCCGCCGAAATTGCAAGAAAAACCAGTTGACGACCAAACTAACTCACTGGAGGAACCAAACACAAATCAACCCAGGAAACAAATAAGGACCGTCACATCCGCCCAAGTAGCACCCTAAACATTAAACCCTAAACCCTAAACCCGAAACCTAAACACTAAACCCTAAACCCAGAAGCCTAAACTCCCTAAACAGAACACCACCTCTCTCGTTCTGTTTTTTGCCTCACAGGGGGTGCGAGCACCAAAAGCCCCATAAGCTTCTAAACCCATATCCCATGCCCATAGCCCTATATCTAACCAGGATGGACAATGTCATAATCAACCTAACGAGGGCCTTTATCAGGGGTTATGATACCAATGCTTTCTGGCTCGGCCTTGTTCTCTAGCTTAGGATCACGGTTACTGAGGCTGGAGTTTGTTCACCTTGATTTTGCACGAAGTGGAGGTATCAGTCTTTGATGGGACACTGGGACACTTTACAGGGAATCAGCGCCCATACTTGAAACCCGATATGGGGCTTTCCCCAGACAGGGGTACCCCTTTCAAACCCCAAAAGAAACAGAATCCCCCTTAAAGGGACCCCCCCAAAAGGGCACCCCTAAACCCTAAACACTAAACCCTAAACCCTAAACCCTAAACCCTACACCCTAAACCCTAAACCCTGAACCCTAAACCCTAAATCCTACACCCTCAACCCTAAACCCTAACCCTAAACCCTAAACCCTAAGGCCCTAAACCCTAAACCCCCATATCTCTCGAGCTTCCCGCGCCTGATGGAGGGCCAGCTGCTGCTCCATCGAACTACCGAGACTCATCTCAGCCTTCGAGCAGGCCGACGCCACACTGGGGGCCCTCAACCCTAGGCCCTGTAGAGCCTCCCTAAACCCTTAACCCTTAACCCTAAACCCTAAACCCTAAACCCCGGTTCAACTTCGCTACGGAAGTTTTGGGGGTGAAGGGTTTCGCAGAGCCGCTCAGGATTTGGGACGTTTAGAGTTTAGGGCTTCAGGTTTAGGGTTCAGGGTTTAGGGTTTAGGGCTTCAGGGTTAAGAGGGTTTCGGGGTTCAGGGTTGAACTATCGGGTTAAGGAGACAAGCCCAGGTCATCGAAGCCGACGGATGGACATGCTCGCGTCGGGTGCGCGGTTTCGGGTTTGGGGTTGTGGTTCAAGGCTTACCTGGGACCCTCTTTACCTACAGATGTATGGGTTATACCTACTAATTAAGGGTTTCTACTACTAAACTGTAGGTAAAGAGAGGCCCAGGCAAGGCTTAGGAATTTAGACTTAGGGGTGTTATTGGGCACAGGGCAATACTTGGGTCCCTCCACACAAGAAAAGGCAAGAACAGATTTCACGGAGTCCAGACCGCAAGCCATAAGCCGAACATGGGGCCTGAAGGATTGGCCTAAACCCTAAACCCTAAACCCTAAACCCTAAACCCTAAGCCCTAAGCCCTAAGCCCTAAGCCCTAAGCCCTAAGCCCTAAGCCCTAAGCCCTAAGCCCTAAGCCCTAAGCCCTAAGCCCTAAGCCCTAAGCCCTAAGCCCTAAGCCCCTAAGCCCTAAGCCCTAAGCCCAAACCTAAAAAACCTAAAGTCCCCTAAAACGGCGTCTTGGGGGGGGAGGAGGGGTGGGGGCTTCTTGAAACTCAACCCTAAACCATAAACAACCTTAGACCCTAAAGTCCGTGGGGTGGGGGGGGGGGCCTTCTTGAACTGCTCGAGTAGGTCGGACTGCGTCTCCTCAATCCGCTCGAGTTGGCCCTGCAACGCTCTGACCTGTGTGCCAGGGGCTTAGGGGGGTTTAGGGTTTGGGGTTTGGGGTTTGGGAGGCTTCTCTTGGTATGTGCCTCAGAACCTCAGTTTGGAAATTTAGGGATTATAGGAGGGTTTAGGGTTCAAGGAGGCTTATACCCTATGAACCCCCCAAACCCTCAACCCGATATCCCTAAACATGAGACCTGAGCCGAGAGCTTTGGGACGGCCGTGCCCAAACCCCTTTAAGAAAGAATGTCTATGACGCCAGACTTCATCTACGCCTGTCGAAAGGCCAAGTGAAAGCTGCAGGCCCAAAGCCGAGATGGGGGGGGTACGGATATACTGTAACCAGACACCCACATTCAAAAGAGCCCATGCCTATGGATGAACCAAAACTGCTCCCTAAACCCTGAACCCTGAACCCTAAACCCCAAACCCGAAACCCTAAACCCTAAACCCTACAAGCGAAAGCGGGGGGGGTCCAAGGCCTCCGATCCCAGCGCCCCCGCAGCGTCCCTGGAGGCGCCACGTTGGAGCAACTCAGCCTGGGGGGGCTCCTATCCTAAACCCTAAACCCTAAACCCTAAACCCAAAACCCTAAACCCTATACAATTTGGGTATAGGGTACAGGTTGCAGAAAGGTCATGGGTTTGGGGTTGTGGGCTTGGCCACCCTCGGGCCGCCCTAGTGCCCAGTTTTTGTCTTCCTACACCCTTCTTTTGGCACCCGGGAGGTTTGTTTAGGGTTTAGGGTTTAGGGTTGAGGGCTTTGCTTTTGTCGCAAAGTTGAGTGGGTTTGGGGTTGAGGTATGTAGGACGGTGAACGAAACACATCAGCAGCTCTACTGCAGCCCCGTCCAACAACCCGGAACCCTTGTGTCAAGGGAAGGAAGGAGGGTTTGGGGGCTAGGGGCTAAGGGGCTTAGGGTTTAGGGTTTAGGAGTTTAGGGGTTTATATAGGGTTTAGGGGTTCAAGGGTTTAGGGGTTGAGGGGTTTAGGGTCTAGGAGCTTAGGGGTTAGGGGTTAAGGGGTTTAAGGACCCCTGATCATGGACCCTTACAGGTAAATTGTCGGGGCTATGCATGGGTATCTGGGGACTATTTTGAGGTATATATGTTGGCTATAGGGGAATAAGAGTAAGTGTCCCTTCTAGGGGTCCGTTCTTGCATCTCATTGCCTCGTTACACTTAACCCCTCCCAGGCGCATCAGGAAGCCTGTTGAACCACCGGCTGAGCTGCACTAAACCATGTCCCCCGAAGCCCGATAACCAAAAACCCCTGTTTGGGAGAAAAAAAGAGACACAACAAAACAAAAACGCAAAAAACCCAAACCCCAAACTACGGAGCAAACACCAAAAAAAGAACACAAACCCTAAAATGTAAAAGCCAAAAATATATATATATATATATATATATATATAACTAGACGCCTATCACCCTAAACCCTAAACCCTAAACCCTAAACCCTAAACCCTAAACGCCTAATCACCCTAAACCCTAAACCCTAAACCCTAAACCCTAAACGCCCACAAGCCGCATGCAAGGCTGCGAGCCGGCCCTCCAGGAGAGTGTCCAATGCTTCGGCGAGGCTGGCCTGCAGAAAGCACAAGGGGTGGGTTTAGGGTTTAGGGTTTAGGGTTTAGGGTTTAGGGTTTAGGGTTTAGGGTTTAGGGTTTAGGGTTTAGGGTTTAGGGTTTAGGGTTTAGGGTTTAGGGTTTAGGGTTACCACAAGAGGATAAACCCTACATTTCATTGCCCTGAACAGAAAATGCCTTTAGATTGGTTTGGGAGGGTTCTTAAGCAAATCGTAGTTCAGGGTGTAGGGCTCAGGCTTTACCTGGGACTGTCTTTACCTAGAGTTTTATGGTTAGACCTACCAATTAAGGGCTAGTTGCGACTAGTAAACTGTAGGTAAATAGAGTCCCAGGTCTTCGGGTTTTGGGGTTAAGTGGTTTCAGGGGTTCAGGGGCTGGGGGTGTGTTGGGGTTCTTTAGGCATTCTTGTTATGGGGTTCCGAGTTCGGGACCTTGAGGGAGGGCTTCGGGGCTTGGATTTTCCGTGCTTTTCTGGGCTTTCCTTCTCGCGACTTGCGAGATCTTTGCGGGGCTTTGTCTCCCCGACATACAAGGGCAAAATCATGGGGGCTCGTCAAGCCTCACCCAAACGGTACCCCCAAAGAATCTAAGTCCTGAAGTCGAGAGGAATCTTTCGGTGAGAGGCCCTGGTGCCCCGATGACAAGAACCTGAAAAGGTTCAACTCCGTAAGACATCACTTCTATCGAACTGACGGGACGGGCTATTAGGCCTTATAATCCTCGGAATCAACCCTGCACAGGGCCCTTGTAAGCTGCAGGAGCAGCGCCGCAAACAGATTCCCCGACCACCGGAAACGTTGATGGGCCTGACAAAATCTTGAGATCCTGGGCACGTACCCTACGCCCTGGGCCATGGGGACCAATACTTGAACGGAGAAGTTGGAAGCTGAGTAGGGTCACTGCTGTTGATCTCGGAGTATACGAAAATAAGGGAGTCCTAATATACACCCCCCTCAAATAGTAGGATCCCCTTATTAAAAAAACAACCCCAACAAGGTACCCCCATTATCAGATACACCCCCCAAATAGTAGGATCCCCTTATTTGAACACAGGACCCCATTATTGTAAACCGAGATCTCGCAAACGAAAGTCAAGCATTCTTCCGAAGGAGACCGGCCACACCAGCTTTCGTGCCTGCACCCTGGCGAGCTCTTTGCCCTGCGCTTCTTGCCTCGGCTTAGCAGGGCTGCAGGACTTTGAGGCATAGAGTTTCAGGGTTGAGCCCTAAAAGGGTTTGGGGCTTTGGGAAGCTTAGGGTGAATCAGTGCTTATTTTTTTCAATCTGACACGCGCACGTACAAGGACGTGCACTAACCCTAAACCCTCAACCCTGAGCCCTAAACGCGAAACCCGATGCTGCAACTTTGGTAACGAGCCGTGCCCTAAACCCTAAACCCTAGACCCTACCTGCGACTCTTTACCTACAGTTTTATGGGTTGCACCTACTCATTAGAGGGGTAGTTAGGACTAAGCTGCAGGTATATGGAGTCCCAGGTAAACCCTGAGCCCTAAACACCCGAAGAGGCGCTGGTCTCAGAAGTGCTTGCAGGCTCCAATGTAGTTCCTTTATCTGCTAGATACAGGGGATTCTACAAGGAGGGGCCCCCGTACTATACTAACTGTAGTTCAGGGACTTCTAACTTCATTTAGGATCCTTATAACCCAATTTTGGGTCCTTATAACTCTACTTATAACTTGGGGACTCTAGGATACTCCCCCAAGAAGGTACTACACAGGAGTCGCTGGAGAGGTGACCAGCTGACTCCCTGAACCCTACCGCTGCGCGCTGCCCCCTCAAACTGCCCTAAACCCTAAACCCTAAGCCCTAAACCCTAAACCCTATAAGCCCTAAACCTGAAAACCCTAAACCCTAAACCCTAAACCCTGAACACACCGAAGGCATGCCATTGCCGGCCCCGGGGCAATGTCTGCTGCAGGCTGGCTCGCCACGCACCTTCGCTCTGCAGCGATTCCTCACCTTGGGGGGAGGGGGGGAGGGGGTTTAGGGTTTAGGGTTTAGGGTTAAGGTTTAGGGTTTAGGGTTTAGGGTTTAGGGTTTTGCACTCGCACACTGCAGGCAGGGCAACTGTCCAGAGGTCTGCCAAGACTACTTGGGACTCGCTTTGGGATATACCTGCTGACTAAGGGGTAGCTACGACTCCACTGTAGGTACATAGAGTCCCAAGTAGGCCTGTTGCAAGTTGTATGGGTTTAGGGGCTTGAGGATCAAGTCCTTAGCCTTTTTTCCCGGGGGTGCTTGATGTGTTTGAGGCTTGGGAAGAGGGTAGGAGAGATACTCATGTGCGCTTATCGCCGGATTCCAACCCTAAATCCTAAGCCCTAAACCCTAAACCCTACCAGCCCAAGTAGCGGAAGGCAGCTAAGTGCTGCTGGATCAGCTCCTGGTGCGAGGCGCCCCTTGAACCTATTCCCTACTAAGGCTCTGCCAGGATGGTGTAGGGTTTAGGGTTTAGGGTTTAGGCCTTAGAATCCCAGAATCAACCCACCGAAAAGGGCCTCCTTAAGGGATCATGGGCTACGGTATCTTCTCATGGGTTCCCCTTGTACCCCCCCTCTGTACTGGTTTAGGGTTTAGGGTTTAGGGCTTAGGGTTTAGGGTTTAGGGTTAGGGTTTAGGGTTTAGGGTTTAGGGTTTCGACCCTCACACTCGCACAAGGCCGGCAAGGCTTCGGTTGGGGTCCTCTCTGGTGATACAGCCCACAAGATTCTGCAGACTTCATGACTTCAAGACTTGTCCTCAAGACAACTCAACTAACAAATGGTAGGATTGCGCCGGAATGTCGGTTTGAGATGCCACACCACTTACATATTCAAGTGCCGCCGCAAGGGCCCAAGATCGAAAAAGCGTCAGGCATGGCCCTTCTCCATCCGCGGCGTCGAAGATCCTCGCGGTGAACCTTGCCGTTGAGCCCCTGACTCCCGCCCGTTCCTTTCTGCGATCGCCGACGCTGGAGGGCACACCACAGATCCATTGAGAACTCCAGGGTTTAAGGTTTCGGGTTTAGGGTTAGGGTTTAGGGTTTAGGGTTTAGGGTTTAGGGTTGAGGGTTGAGGGTTGAGGGTTGAGGGTTGAGGGTTGAAAGTTGAGGGTTGAGGGTTTAGGGTTTAGGGTTTAGGGAACCCAACCCCAAGCTTTCCTTCATAACCAAAGCAACCGCCAGCCCCTCTGCCCATCACCAGAAGTTCGAAGGAAGGAGGTTTAGGGTTTAGGGTTTAGGGTTTTGGGTTCCCAACAAGCAAGGCAGCTCCTCGACGGAAGCCGAGTCGGTGTCGCTCGGTGGGTGGTCGCGACTGCGTGGCACAGGTGCATTGTGCTTCGGGGTGGTTTACTTGGGACTCCTTTACCTACAGCTTTTATGGGCTATACCTACTAATCAAGGGGTCGGGTAGTTACTACCAAACTGTAGAGTAGAGGTACATAGAGGCCCGTAAGGTTCTTGTGCTTTTCTTTTGGGAAGGTGGACTCTGCAAGGCTCTGAAAACCCTGCTCCAAAAAATCGAGCCTAACACCCGCCCATACCCTCTCTTCGCAACCAACGAATAGAAAACAGAATACCACAAACCCTTCACACGAAACCCTTCGCCCCAGACCCTTACAACCCTACAACCCTATAACCCTAAACCCTAAGACCCTTATGACTTATAACCCTAGGCCCTTAGTGCCGTTGAGGTGCTCGTGTCGGGGAAGCTCAGACGCCAGTGACGGCTCGGGATCCAGCTTGATACCTCAGCTCGCCGGCTTCGTAGAGTATTTGGGACTAGGGTTGCAGGGAGACTAGGGGGGATTTCTTGGAGCCGTCATGTGGTCTCTTCAGTTCTCTTCTGCTCCCGAGTTCTTGGGAAATTGGGGTGCCCTGTTTCCTGAATCCCTTCAAGGAGATGTAAGATACCCCTCAACCCTAAACCCTTTTTTGAGCAACGGACTAAACCCTAAACCCTTTTTGCAACCAGGACTGCGCCAAACCCTAAACCCTAAACCCCAACCGGATGTCCCTTGCGTGTTCGCAGGCCTGCGGAGCTCTGTAGGCTTCAGGCAGTTTAGTAGTAACTACCCCCTTAACGGTAGCTATTTGCTTAAGAACCCCTTAAAAATATGAATACTAATCCCTATATTACCCTCGTAAGGAAGAATCTTTTTAAGTTTGTTGGGGGGGGGGTTCTTAAGCAATTGGTAGGTAAAGAGAGTCCCTAGTACTCGCTCACACTTGGGCAAGACCGGTGAGGCACATTAGTCTGTCATCAAGCGGAGACCCTCTTGATAGTGTTTGAGGTTTTAGCTTAACAACCCAGAACCTACATGTTTGTAGCACATGTATAGCAGTACCCTTATAGGATACTTGTAGGTAAACTAGAAACAAGTAGATGTTGGGTTCTTAAAGTAATAGCTTTGGGGTATCCGACAGTGCATTTTCAGGAAAGCGACAGGTTGGTGAGACGGTGGCAGCAGTGGCGCCAGGTGAAGATGGCGCCTGGCGGGGAACCCGGGGGCCAAACGAACCCTAAACCCTAAACCCTAAACCCTAAACCCTAAACCCTAAACCCTAAACCCTAAACCGCGCCCAGCCCTTACGGGGTCCATGGGATCAGGGCTGGCCAACGTTCGACCTGAGAAGCTGGCAAAGGCGCGCCTCTGTGGTAGGCGTGGCCCGCTTCCGCAGGGCGGCAAGCTCCTTTGCCCCAAAGCTTAAAGCTTAAGCTATACTGAACCTGGAAACCTGGCAAAAATTCTAATTTTGCTGTTTCTTAAACAAAACGAAAGTACCTAAAAACAATTCCCAATTCTCAAGAATCCCTCAGCAAGATCTAATGGAGCTCCAGGTCTGATTTAAGGAAGTTTATTTAATATGTATATATATATGTATATATATATATATATATATTTTTTTTTTTTTTTTTTTTTTTTTTGGGGGGGGGGGCCTTATAGCGAGTGAGCTTCTGTTGCTTGCTGCCGGGGGGAGGGGGTTTTCTGTTGCTTGCTAGGGCACAACTTTGGTGGCCAAGGTAGAATCTCACGAGCTGACAAATGCCCTAAGGTGAGGCGAAGCCCAGCAACCTACCCGACCGCAGCGTGACAACTCCAAGAAATTTCTTGGAACAGGGTGGGAAGCTCCTCCTTAGTTTGAGCGCCCGGCACAAACTCCAAAGCCTAAAACCTCACACTTGGGATGTTCCCCCTTATGCTAACAGTCCCTAATCGGGATTTGAGTACCCCCCAAGAAAGGTCCCTATTAAGGATTGCTAGTATAAGGGGGGACATCCCAACCTCAAACCCTCAAGCCAAAAGTTACCGAAGCAACGAACCCTGAAACCCAACCATCATACACCCTGAAACCCGGCTTTACCTCAGCGGCTCTTGGGTGCTCGGTTTAGGGTTTAGGGTTTAGGGTTTAGGGTTTAGGGTTTAGGGATTCAACAAGTTACATGTACTGTGGAACCCTTTGAAACAAGCTCAGCCGCAGTCTACTTAAGCCCTCCAGGCGTTGTGCAGAGTGCAGGAGCCTTTTGCAATAGACCTATACATCACTGTGTTACAAATACCCATTCAAGTTGGCCCCTGCATTACCCGCCCAAATCCCAAGCCTCAACACATGGGCTCGTAATACGATACTCCCCTACATTGCCTCCCAAATCCAACATGACCACCGAATTCAACCTAAGACTAAACCCGCAACCCTTTTTGAGCTCCGAATTACAAACCCAATTCCCAAAACCCTAACCAAACCCCAGCGAGAGTCCTTGAGCTGCCCACTGCTGGCGGCCTCCCCAAGGGCTTGACTCCTTGGCACCGGTTGGACCCTAAACCCGGTAACCCTAAGCTCGCACACTCGCATGAGGCAGGCAAGGCTTCAGTCAGGGTCTCTGCAGGGCTCCTGGGCCTGGCTTCAGCCCTTCAGCCCCAGTTTAGGGTTTAGGGTTTATAGGGTACTACCAAATATCCCAAAAGCCAACTTAGCAGACCACCTGAGCAGTTTTCACTTAGACTGCCCTACTCCCCCCGACCCCTCCCCCTCCCCCAATGCGGAAAACTTCTCCCTAAGACCATGAGGGCCAGGGCACAGCACCCAGCCCAGTTCAAGGTCGGAACGCCGGCTGAGGCCCATCGGTATCTGCGAGTCCTCACCCGGCGCCGGCTCCAGGCGTCAAGATTTAAGGTTTTCCGGGCTTGGGGTTTAGAACTTAGGATTTCAGGCTCAGGGTTTAGGATTCAGGGTAAGTTTAGGGTTTGCGGCATTACGACCTTCTGCTCCCTAGTGTGGCTTCGGGTTTTGACGTAGAGTGGTAGGCCGGAAGGAGTCCGTAGTCCCGTAGCACGTGCAGGCTACAGTGCGCAGCATGTGATCATGGTGGAGTTTAGACATCCGGGCCCATGGCAGAAGCAGGAAGCTACCCATGATTCTACGCATTGCATTCCGAAAAATGCCAACCTGCAAGGCCTCAAATGTTAAAGCTCTGCAGCCCTCAGCCCCTAAACCCTAAACCCTATGGCCCTAAACCCTAAACCCTAAACCCTAAACCCTAAACCCTAAACCCTAAACCCTAAACCCTAAACCCTAAACCCTATGGCCCTAAACCCTAAGCCCCTAAGCCCCTGCACGGGATTCTTGGGCCCCGTCCTTAAAGCGGAAGATGTTCGCCAAGCCTCGGCATGTCAAATTGTCAGGAGCCACCGAGCATCCCTAAACCCTAAACCCTAAACCCTAAATCCTAAACCCTAAACCCTAAGCCCTTTTTTGACAAGTTTTTGAGGTCTTCACATTAACTCGGAGAAGGAGCTGCGAAGTTTTAAGCCTCAGGTTCTGGGTCTACTTGGGACGAAGACGCCTGGGACAATCTCACGCGGGCCTTCGAAAATAGAGCAGAGTAGGTGTGTGCGCACAAGGGTGGTTTGGGGACACGTAAGCACTTCACTCACAGGCTCTGGAAGGTTTGGGCCATGGGGCCTCGACCCACAGTTAGAAGCCACGGAACACCCAAAAGCACAATTCACGATATCCACAAAAAGCCAACACCCGTCAACCTGAGAAGAGCTGAGCTCCTGAAGAGCCGGCCACGAACACATGATCTTCACGCCTGCGAAACTGTCAACACAACGGGAGTTTCCACCGTGCTAGACTATAAACCAACCCGGCTGCACACCTTCCACACCCTAGATTTTTGACACAAAATCAGCCAAACAAAAACTCCTGCAAACCCCAAAGCCAGCTCCTGAGCTTCCCTTCGCCGTCGAGAAGCTTTGTCGAGGGGAGCGGTGGGTCTTGGCACTGGCGGCCGTGCCTTTGGAGGCTTTAGTGTTTAGGGTTTAGTGCTGAGGTGCTTCTGGGTGTCTGCGGCATGGCATGGTTCAGGGTCGTAGAGGTTATAGGGTTTCGAAATTTTGGGGGCTATGCGAAGGCTATGACTTTCTAGCACCTGGGACTCTCTGTACGTACAGTTTTCTGGGTTTTATCTACTAATTCAAGGGTAGGTACTACTAAACAGTATAGATAAATAGAGCCCCTGGAAGACTGTGTCCGAGAAGACTTTGGGGAGGCCCCCAACCACCCTGTGCTTTGGGCCTAGATGGGTTGCATACAGCAATCGAGAAAAGGGCACAGGAGAGGTTGAAGAAATTGGACTTGGGGTTTAGGGTTTGGGGTTTGGGGTTTAGGGCATGGACTGCTTCAAAGGAACCTCCTGGGCTCAAATCCGACTACACGGATCCCCAAAATGGCAACGTTGGCTTCTTACCTGGGACTCTCTTTACCTACAGTTTTTCATGGGTGGAAGTCCGCAGCCTGCCAAGCATCAAAGCGCTGTTCTCTAGCACTCTAAAAACACCATCTACACCAGTTTAAGTCAGACAAAAACACAGTGAATTACAGATTCAGGGCCGGGTAGTATCCCAAGTGCCCAAGGCGCCCGGCTAACGCTGGCAAACTCTGACCAAAGCCCAAACCCTAAACCCTAAACCCTAAACCCTAAACTTAGGCTCTAAACAACCTCGAGACCCTGCTTCAAAAAAAAGGGGGATGGGCCCAGATGCTCGATCGGGGCGAGGCAGACACACCCGTGGCGGTTGAGTCCGATACCTTTCGGCCAGTGGGTCGAGATGAATTGGGGGCTGACATGTGCATCCCTAGGCGTCTGGCACCTACTAGGCCTGGCAGATGGTCCCCCTCCCTCCCTCCCTCCCTCCCTCCCTCCCTCCCCTCTCTTCCTCCCCTCTCTTCCTCCCCTCTCTTGCTCTCTCTCTCTCACCCCCTTTTTGTTTTTTGCTGTCTCTCTCTGACATGCGGTCAGCTGTGACAGGCAGTGAACTGTGCAATCTGCACAGGCGAGACCACGGAAGCTGCCTCTTTCTGAGTCAGAGCGATTGTCAGAAGGAGTGCGTGGTTCCACGAAACATTTTACATCAGTGCGCCCTGGTTTCCCGCGTTGGCAAGGGCTGCTTCTTGCAATGATCCTCGTGATGCAATTTGGGTTGACTGCCATTTTGGTAAAACTGTGACGACTGCTATGATTGAATATCTCAGTGCAACTGGCAGTCACCGGGCGTCTCCACCTGATGCCCAGAAGAGCCTTTAGGAGGACTAACGGACTAGCTGACTAACTCAATGCCGCCCGAGCCACGACGGAGTGTGACATCGAATGCTTCGGTAGCTTCAGAGGCAACGGGCTACTTTCCTCGAGTGCGGGAAGGGTTTAGGCGGTTTGGGGTTTAGGGTTTCGGGTTTAGGGTGTTTTTTTACAAACCCACATGACCTCGTTTAGATTACGTTTAGGGTTTAGGGTTTAGGGTTTAGGGTTTAGGGTTTAGGGTTTAGGGTTTAGGGTTTAGGGTTTAATTAGGGCTTCTCAGGGTTTTTTGGGGTTCAGGGTTTTAGGGTTTAGGCCTTGTCCGGGGTTCGTGTTTGAGGCCCAAGTCTCAATGGAGCAGCTTGCGAGATTAAGAGCTTGACTGCCACCGGTATCGATGTATCACATCGTTGAGCATCTCTGCGCATGTACGTACGAAAAAAACATACGTGCCCCCCCCCCCCCCCGGACGAACCTACCCTTTTTCTGTCTTGATACAACTCGCCGAAGATGCAAGGTACGAAAATCTTCAGTTGTATGTCATTCAACCTTGTGCGGAGTGCGTTTTGTGCCAACCCCCGAGCTTTAAAACCCACCCACCGGAGATTGAAGATTGAAGGTTCCTCAGTACCCCTTCTGGGAATCTTCAAACGTCAGTCTTCGGTGGGGTGGGTTTGAAAACCACACCGAGTTTGTAAAACCCACCCAGCCGAATATTGAAGACTGAAGGTTTTCCAGGACTCTTTCGGGAAGTCTTTAACCTTCAATTCATTTGGGAAGGGGGGGGGGTTTAAACGCATCTTCCCCCCAACCGAAGATTGAACAAATGAAGAGTCCCCCTTCCTCTTTCTGCAGTAACACCCCAAGATTCCTCCTGAAGAGTCCCAGCCCTTAATAGGGATTATCATAAGGGGGTACTCCAATCTGTTAGTATAACGGGGAACATCCATACCGGCATCATGCAGCGACAGGATTGCAGAATAATCTCTACACTACATGGTGGGCTTTTGCAGGTGTAGGGAGATCCGTATATACGATGACAGGACTTAAGCTGGGCGTTTAACATATCGAGTACCATATTGCAGTCTTGAAACATTTCGGTGTTCAACACACATCTCTGAGTACAAGTGGAATTTACGGCAGAATTTTCATAGAAGCTCCAAAGACTTGCATGCTTGAGCGCGCATAAGGCAGTTTCAAAAGCTGTCCACGTGGAGACATAGTTGTGGGACAACCTTTGCCTCCGGTAGGAATCCGCTTCAAAAGTAGGTTTCGTATGTGGATAGGCATAAGGCCGGTAGGACTTCAGCACCTGCTAAGAAGGGCCATAACTGGTTGATCATTGACGGGGGCGGGCATGCAGCTGATGTACCAGATACAGATCTCATGAAGCGAGAACACTGTGAACAGAGATCTCTTCTTCATTGTCGTCGCTCGTCTGAATTTTGGAAGCGTGACATGGCGTGACTAGCATATTTTTGCATGGCTATGGTGGCACTACTTGCTTTGGGGTTCAGTAGGGTTCGGGAAATGTAATCTCTCAGCTCTGAGCCCTACAACTTCGCCGCCCGACTTGACCGGCATCTGAGTCGCAAGAGCAGGGAGTAAATTATTCTTAATATATATATATATAATAAATTAGTATTTAGAAACTTTATAATAATATAATAATAATATGAACAGTATTTATTGGAGATCAAGAGGGTGCGGCACCAAACCCAATTGCAAAGCTGCCGCCCCTTCAGCAGTGGCTGAACTACCGGACCCTGAACGCCGAATCCTGCAAGTCAGTGCCCTAAACCCTAAACCCTAAACCCTAAACCCTAAACCCCCCGCAGCCCTGAACCTCAACTCCCGACAGATCCAAGCCACAGGAAACTCAAGGAGCTCCTCCTGAGAGCGCGGAGATCATAGGGTAGTTACATGGTCCCTTAGTATGCTTAGTCATTAGTTGTCCAGTAACCTGGGGGAATTTAAAGGTTCACCTTTGGGATTGTTATAGGGATTCGACTACCCCAAAAAGGTTAAAGGGTACCTATCTCTACTACTAAGTAGTTACATTGCCCCTTCCTTGGGGGCCAAATGAACCCTGAAAGGGTTTAGGGTTCATATCCTAAACCCTAAACCCTAAACCCTAAACCCTAAACCCTAAACCTGTAAGGGTATACGACCCCAAGTTTGGGATTCATCTGGTCCCCAAGGTTAATCTGGGCCCTTGAAAGGGGACCCCCTTGGGATGTTTCCCCTTTTTCTAACAGTCCTCGATAGGGATTTATAGTAGCCCCTATTATAATCCCGATTAAGGGCCCCTTATATACCCCTCATGTACCCTATATAACCCAAGGGCCCTCACTTCAGAACCCTGTAAGGGACCATACTAAGGGGCCTTATAACTGCCCTTAGACGAAGGAACAAAGTAAGGCCTTATGTTGTTGCTTTGCTCTCTCTCTCTCTCTCTCCCTTTCTTTCTTTCTTTCTGCGCACCTAACCCCCCTCTATTGAGGAGGGCCGCCCGAAGGCGTGCGTTACAGGATCCGGCGGACTAACCGATGTTGTGGGGTTTCCGGGGTGAGTTACTAAAGATAGATTGCTGAGGGAACTCCCTTCGACCCCCTGTCCAACATGGTTGTCCCTTCGCCCCTCCACAGTGCTTATTTGGCTCCCTCTCCACCCCTTCGAACACTACTTCACTATGAACCCATGGTAGGAACTCTTTCGCGGGGAGCCATACTGTGGGCTGGTCACTCTCTCTCTCTCTCTCTCTCTCTCTCTCTCGCTCGCTGTCTCTCTCCCCTAAACCCCAAACCTTTCTCAACCCAGGAAGGCAGGCCGCCGTCTCGGCAATGGAGACGGCGGAGCTCCGAGGCTTCAGGGGAAGCCGCGGAAGCATCTGGGCCCTGGTTTAGGGTTTAGGGTTTGGGGGCTTGGGGTTTAGGATTGAGGGTTCCGGGTTGGGGGTTTAAAAGTCTAGGGCTTGAGGGCTTCAGTGTTCTTTTGGGGGCGTTTTGGGGTTTAGGGCTTGAAAGTTTAAAGCCTCTTATGTTGTTTTTTTGGGGGGAGGGGTTGAATTTAGGGTTTTGGGCTTAGGGTTTTAGAGGGTTTGAGGGTTTTAGGGCTGCAAAGTTGAGTTTTACTGAACGTTTGAATGGAGGGGACCTTGCTGCAGGACTTGGAACAGCTTGAGGCAAATAAGCCCCGACCAAACGTCTTGAAGCAGGGCACTACCTTCAACAGCTTGCCGAATTTGGCATTGAACATCCAACCCTAAATCCTAAACCCTAAAGCCTAAACCCTAAACCGTAAACCCTAAACCCTTCCCAGCAGGTGAACTCAAAAGTCCTACATCCAAACAGCCTTCGCGCAGGCTACAAAGAACGAAGGCTGATGTGTTGTGGCCCGAAGGCCCCAAACCCTAAGAGCAAATGCTTTTACAACTCGTGCGCCAAGATTTCGCGTGCGTGAGAGTTCCCTAATTAAACCCTAAACTCTAAACCCCAGACCCTAAAGAAAGAAACACTAAGGAACTTCTGAACCCCCCAAAAGGAAACATCCTCGGCAGCAAGAGGCCCCAAGAGTCACCCAAAAGCCTTGGGGCTGAGAACTTGCAGTTTAGGGTTTAGGGTTTATAAGGTTTATAGGGTTTATAGGGTTTAGGGTTTAGGGTTTAGGGTTTAGGGAGTAGAGTTATACGGACCCTAAAAAACTGGCTTCTAAGGATCCTAAATTAGGTTATACCCCTTAACTACGGTTAGTCTAGTAAGGGGGCCCTCCTTCTACCCCTTAAGACCGCTAGACTGAGTTTATGGTTGGAGGCAGCCTGAACCCCTAAATCCTAAACCGCGGTTTAGGGTTTAGGGTTGGGCTTAGGGTTCCTGAACCCTTTTCAATAAGCACAGACTAAGGAAGCTGCCGGCAACTATAAGCCCTGAACCCTGAACCCTGAACCCTAAACCCTACCCCCTTGAACCCTCAACCACGAGCCCCAAACCCCGCGTCTCGCACCTGGGGGTGGCCCCTGGGGAGGAAGGATTCGATGGGTGAGAGTCTCGAGGCGTCTGCGTTGGGGACATGCCGCTCTCCTTGGTGAGGGTTTAGGGTTTGGGGTTTGGGGTTTAGGGTTGAGCCTTTGTGGGTCTCGGTCTTCGTTGATGTGCTGTTGCGTGCGCGGTGTATACTCCGACATGTGTCGAACCTTCGGGACCAAACGAAGCCAAGCAGAATTTATGATTCATATGAAGTAGGGTTTATATTTCTTGTATCCCCGAAAGGACACCAGTATATACACTCACCAATATTAAAAAGGAACCTTAGATACACTCACCAAGAACAGTAATATGTACCCTGCTTCATATACCTTAACAGGTAGACAGTTTTAGGGTTCACCATATATGATACTCTAGTACAGGAACTCCCCAACAAATCAAAAAGGCAGCCCCATGCTTTGGAAAAAAACACCTTTGTACACCCTTAGCACTGGCGTCTGAAACCCCAGGCCCCAACCAAAAACCCCAAACCCTAAACCCTAAACTTAGCTCAGTAGCTGCCTCCCTTGGGAAGGTGTAGCCTCCGAAGGCAGTGGCGGCGGTGGTGGATGTGATCGGAAGCTCCACCGCCTGGCGTTGGCGGATCTCGGTCACTCGGGGGCTATACTTTCGAAGGCGATAGAGCCCGAAGCAGATAGCGCATTGACATCCTCAGGGTCAGAGAGTGTGCCCTATAAACCCTATAAACCCTATAAACCCTATAAACCCTATAAACCCTATAAACCCTATAAACCCTATAAACCCTATAAACCCTATAAACCCTATAAACCCTATAAACCCTATAAACCCTATAAACCCTATAAACCCTATAAACCCTAAAGGTCAGAACGATCTGCCTCAGAGACCGTAATCTGTGGCGGGGTCGTGAAGGAGGTCGTCCGTAGAATGCCTGTCGACATGGACATGGGAGTCAAGGTCAGGGTACCTACGTATTGTGGGAGGTCGGTTTAGGGTTTAGGGTTTAAGCTTTGGCATTCGGCATAAAGAGGCATAATCTGTACATATCTATACACAGACACAGGTATGCAGACGTTTGCTCGACCTAGGACAGTCGATTGCTGAACAACACCAATCGGCGTTGTAGCGCCACGCCTTTGGTTCAAGTTCAAGAAACCAATGGCCCAGTCTAAGCCCAGGGAGCCTAGTAGAATTCAGAAATCGCTTTTGACAACTACACAAGAGTCTGTCTTATGAGCTGATGTATATCACCGATGCCGATGGAAGGGGTCTTGGGCTCTTTGGGAACATGGAGACGCGCGGATCCTGCACATGAGGGTCACAGAAGCTGTCGAAGCATGCAGCTAGCAAACATCAACAAGCAGAAGTGATCGAAACGCTGCGGCTCACGACAAGGGACCGCAAATACGCATCTGTTCGCAATCCTAGAGATCCTGTGTAAGTGAGGCAAATTGTTGGGCTTTTTGCTACCCTAAAGACAGAATTCTCCCCCCCCCCCCCCCCCATCCTCAGTCGCCCCGGAGGTGCCTTTTCGTCGGCCCATTACGGGGCTACTCGGCTGCAAGTCCTCCGGTTGGCTCAGCTGATACTCTGCCCGGTTACCTTGGCACTCGGAGAAATGCTGGACTTCAGAGTGAGTTTAGGGTTTTGGGGTTTTGGGTTTAGGGATGGTGGAGAGTGAGTCAAGGTTAAACCCGTGCTGAGCCCCTTTTGTCTGGTTTAGGGCTATGTGGCTTGGAGTTTGGGGATTCGACTCTCTCAGCTTGGACGTTTGTCCGGGACAGCAGGAAGTCAGGTTCCTGCGACTTGTCACCACATCCCCTTGCATCACGTGAGCCGGGCCCGAGAGTAATAGAAGAGCCGAGAAAAGGCAAAACCCTAAACCCTAAACCCTAACCCTAAACCCTAAACCCTAAACCCTAAAGCCTTAGACACGGACGGCAGGATGGAAGTCTGACATCAGACTCCTCCGCCCCCTTTCAGGGCCCACATGCTGACTGCCATTTGGGAGCGTTACTGACTGAATGGCAATTTGGGAGTTTCCCTACATATGGCGATGTACGCTTTACTATTTTGCAGAGTGAGGGCGGGGGGGTCTCTTATCATCGGGATTTTATCGTAGTTTGGGAGGGGGAGAGGGGGGGGGGCGAAACCCTTTCTTGCATCCGGGCTATGATGTCCTGGTCGGAAAGTCTTAGGAACACTCTCAGACCCTAGCGCTCGTGGCTACGACTGAAAGCCTGGCGAATCCATGAGTCAGGGACTTCCTCGTACAAAATCCTCCCCCTAAACCCTAAACCCTGAACCCTAAACCCTAAACCCTAAACCTGTGTTTTGGGAAATACCCATTACGATCTGATTTGCTTTGCTCTGCTGGCAAGCCACGGTTCTCCATGAGGGAGGCTCGTGGGGCCTTCTCTTCCTTGGTAGCCCAGTCGGTAACCATATTATAGCAAGGGTTTAGGGTTTAGGGTTTAGGGTTTAGGGTTTGGGGTTTGGGTTTGGGGTTTGGGGTTTGGGGTTTGGGGTTTGGGGTTTGGGGTTTGGGGTTTGGGGTTTGGGGTTGGGGGTTTGGGGTTGGGGTTTGGGGTTTGGGGTTTGGGGTTTGGGGTTTGGGGTTTGGGGTTTGGGGTTTGGGGTTTGGGGTTTGGGGTTTGGGGTTTGGGGTTTGGGGTAACTATATTTTAACAAGGGTGCCCTTTTTGGGGTGGGTTACTTGAAATAAGCCCCCAAGAAAAGTAAAGGGTAGTTGCCCAGTAACCATATTGGGGTTTGGGTTTTTTTGCAAGAGGGTTGAGGGGCAGCCACTAAGAAGGGCACCGTTTACTTTAGAAGGGAAACCCTAAACCCTATAAACCCTATAAACCCTAGAAACCCCACAAACCCTATAAACCCGAAAAAACCCAATAAACCCTATAAACCCCCTAAACCCCCTAAACCCCCTAAACCGCCTAAACCCCCTAAACCCCGTAAACCCTAAACCAAAACCGAAAAAAGGGGCAAAGGGGTACCACTGGGTGCCAAGCTTCTTTCCGTCGGTTCAACTCGACCTGCACCCGGCGCAGCCTTGGTGTAGGATCGCCACTGGCGACAAGAGGAGAGTTCAGGGCCTTTCTGAACCCTAAACCCCAAACCCCAAACCCAAAACCCTATTATAAACCCTAAACCCTGAACCCTGAACCGAGAACCCTAAACCCTAAACCCGAAACCCTGCTCACCCTAAACTCCCAAGTTTCACACCCAGTGTCTCAAAAACTGGGACTTGGGGCAGGCTGAGGCAATTCTGTTGCTTCACGCGACGGAGATGAGTAAAAGCCAAGCAGCTTCGCCCGCTCCGGCTCCTTAGCTGCTCAGTTTAAGGCCCTGCTCAGACCCCGCTCTCTCTCTCTCTCTCTCTCTCTCTCCCTCTCTCCCCCTCTCTCAGGCACACACATACATACATACATACATACATACATGCATACATTCATACATACATGCATGCATGCATACATACATACATAGCGTACACGCACGTATATCTAAACCCTAAACCCTCCTAAGGGCTTGGCAAGACCAAGCATCAAGCGCGTTCGCCAAGCGCTCCTGCAGGCGCTTCACCGCCCGAGCGATGATCGCCTTCTCCTCGTCATCTGGGACCCATTCCTGGTAGTGGGATCATTGTTATAAGCCGCGGTTGAGGGTTTAGGGTTTACAGGGTTTACAGGGTTTACAGGGTTTACAGGGTTTAGGGTTTAGGGCTGAGCCGCCAAACCCTGGCTAAACCACAGCCCCATACTCCGAGATACAACGCCCTGGGCCATGAGATGCCCCATTCAGGAGCCCTGCAGCCTAAACCCTAAACATCCCTAAACCCTAAACCCTTTTTGCAGCAGTCCTCGGGAAGCGACTGGCCCCAGCTCCCAGCACAATACTGGCCCCAGCTCCCAGCACAATCACTGCTGAAAGCAGGGCATATAATGAGGCCGAGATCTCTGGAGAGACTATCCTAGACCTGGGAGTAACCTAGGAATAAGAGCGGTGCCCTTTTTGGTTTTGGGGAGATTGGCATTATAAGGGAACCCCAACCCTAAAAAAAGGAAATAAGGGCATGCTCCCGGTCCTGGTATCTGCAGGGATACAATCTTGGCACACTCACGAAATGCTCGAGAATCGAACTGAGTGTGCTCAGATATGGACGCCTCATAGTCCCAGTCTGTGAGGAAGATCTCGATACTGATACTAAAAAAGAACTCAAACCCTAAACCCTAATACCTAATCCCTAAACCCTAAACCTCTCGACCTCCAAGCACCTTAGGGCCCTAGAGCCCTGGAAGCGGCACTGAAAGCGCCTTGGGACTTGGGAGGGATGATGGGGCTTTCTGAATGGGGCCTGGTTTAGGGTTTAGGGTTTAGGGTTTAGGGTTAGGGTTTAGGGTTTAGGGTTTAGGGTTTAGGGCTAATTACACAGGGGGGGGGGGGGGGTATGTTGTTTTTTTTCAGGGCGCTTGCAGCTGCCAGTGTTTACAGGTCTTGCAGAGGGCCTTGTAAGGCTTAGGGGGCTTTACAGGGTTTCTAGGACTTGCAGGGTTTATAGGGCTTTTGGGGCTTTTAGTAGAGGAATCATAGGGTTTATAGGATTTACAGGGTTTAGAGGGTTGCTCGAGGGCTCATAGAGGGCTTATGCGGCAGAGGGTCGGACACTTCGTCTCGAACCGCCCGCCTTGCGAGCGAGACCAGCCGAGTGAGGCCAGGAGTGGTCCTTCCCTCTTCAGCCTGGAGAAGGACACCCCGGTTTAGGGTTTAGGGTTTAGGGTTTGGGGTTTAGGGTTTAGGGTGGGGGGGGGTTTTGGGGGCTTAGGGTTTAGGGTAGTTAGGGTTGATTATAAGGGTTTAGGGTTCAGGGGTTTTAGGAGTTTTGGGTTTGAAAGGGGGCTTGAGGGCCGAAGGGGGTTTAGGGGGTTTAGGGTTTTGAGGGCTTTGCAATGGCCCATGGAGCACTCGCTGCAACTCCGCGCAAATGCTCCGTGCGGCCCTCAAGCCTGAAGCCTAACGCCCGTAAATCTCTCTGCACCGTGGTGCGGTCCATGGCCAAGCAGCTTCCTCCTCTTTGGAGACGCTTGTGTCAAGCAGCGTCAGCTCTAGGCTAGGTCGGCGACTCGATCCTGATCTGGTTTCGTTGAATTTTGATTGTAGTTTCCAAGGGCCCTTAGTATGGTCCCTCACCTCCTTTAAGGTGATGTATGGGCCCTTCACTTGCTTAGGATATATAAGGGGTATATAACGGGTAATACCCTTTTCAGGGCCCATATGCCAAGGGACTGTGGAACTACCCTTAGATGAATGAGGTCATTGCGGCCCTAAGGGTCGAGGATCAGATTTAAATCTCGCAGCCGGACACCCCTTCCGCTTCCAAACCCTCCGGTTTAGGGTTTAGGCTTTATAGGGTTTAGGGTTTAGGGTTTAGGGTTTAGGGTTTAGGGTTTAGGGCTTCTCCACACAGCACCACCCCTGCCCGACAACAAACGGGGCAAGCCTCTTCAACCCGGACCCTAACAACTCCGGAAACCGCACCCCAGATTCTTCCTTCAGAGCAGGTTACCTGAGAATCCTAGATGGCGTCGTACCCTCAAGGGTCCGTCGTACCTATCTATACCTTAAACATGGTTCCCGTATATAGTAGTCTTTGGGCCCAGGTCTTGTAGCTGTAGGGCCCAAGTATGTGGGTAGTTGTCTAAATCGGGTTCCTTTCTTATAAGATATAGGCGGCTTATAAACGGACTCAAAATCTCAGAACTACCCATGTGCAGTACATGGACATGTAGGGGACGCATTCGGAGGCTCCAGGGAAATCATGCCCAGATGCTACTGCTGGCTTCTGATCCTCGCGGCACCGCAAGGTCCGCGGTCGGGCCAGCTGCTGCTCCGTCTGCAACCTCAAGACATGGCAGAGGGTTTAGGGTTTAGGGTTTAGGGTTTAGGGCTTGGGGTTTAGGGCTTCAGGTTTAGGGTTTTAGGGCTCAGGGTTCAGGCGGGGAGGTGGGGGTGGCTGGGATCATCCCAAGGTTGATCTGAATTCTAGGCCCTTTTCGGGGATCTGTTCTTCTGATCTAAGGCTAGGCTGCCCAGTAACCTAGGCTTAAAAAGGGTGCCCTTTCTTGCTTAAAGGGGTTTATAAGGGAACCCAAAGCCCCCCAAAAAGGGAACAAGAGTACTACTGGGCATCCAAGAAGGGCCATGGTATTTCCCTACACCCTAAAACCCCTCTGCAAAGTTGAAGTTTGCAGCGTCCTGCTTTCGGATGACTGGGTTCAGTCTCGAACTTCTGACTCCTACAAAGTACGGGAGCCAAACAATTGTCAAGCTCAAGCCTTAGCTAAGTAAGACTTGGGGGGGCTTCTTCCTTTGTTCGGAAGGTGAAAGTAAGATTGCCGCCTACAACCCTAAACCCTAAACCCTAAACCCTTTTTTTGCCACTGGACTGAGGGTCCTAAACCCTGAACCCTAAACCCTAAATAAACCCTAAACCCTAAACCCTATACCCTAAACTGAAGGCATGGCCCGTCCAAGAAGCTGATGGGTCTGCTTGAGTTTCGGCTGCCTTGGGCAGGCCATTTTCGTGGAGGTAAGCCGCCGCGCTTCCTTCAGACCTGCTAGGGTTTAGGGTTTAGGGTTTAGGGTTTGGGGTTTAGGGTTTAGGGTTTAGGGTTTGCGGTTTGGGGTTTGGGGTTTAGAGGTTTCGGGCCCACTTGGAGGTTCACGGTACTTCATCACCAATTCTAACTGTATTTAAAACCGACTTATGAGCCCAAATAGGGTTATAATTTGGTTAGAAGTGCAGCTACTATTTGGTTAGTAGTGTGGTAGTTCTTAGACTGTCTACAAGGTAGGCGGACCCCTGATTCTACTATTTACCTACGAACCCCCCCCCCCAAAAAAAAAAAAAAAAACGAAACATAAGTAAATCAGTAACATGAAAAGACATAATCTTCCTTCTAAGGGCAATCTGCGGATCATTCTGCTAGATTTTGTTAAGGGCTCTTACCTGGGACTCTATCTACCTACAGTTTAGTAGCAACTAACCCTCAATTAGCAGGTAGAACCCCCCTAAATCTGTAGGCAAAGAGGTCCCAGGCAGCCCTAAACCCTCAACCCCTGAAAACCCTTTAAACCCCAAAATCTGAACCCTCAACCCTAAATCCTACCTGGGACTCGCTTTACCGACAGCTTTATGGGTTCTACCTGCTAATAAAGGAGTAGTTGATAGTAAAGTGTAGGTAAATAGAGTCGCTGGCAAGCCCTAGACCCTAGACCTAAACCCTAAACGCTAAACCCTAAAACCCTAAAACCCTAAAACCCTAGAACCCTGAAACCCTTAAACCCTAAAACCCTAATACCCTAAAAACCCTAAAAACCCTAAAAACCCTAAAACCCGAAAACCCGAAAACCCTAAAACCCTAAAACCCCTAAAAACCCCTAAAAACCCCAAAAACCCTAAAAACCCTAAACCCTAAACCCCTAAAACCCTAAAACCCTAAAACCCTAAACCCCTAAAACCCTAAAACCCTAAAACCCTAAAACCCTAAAACCCTAAAACCCTAAACCCGACATCCGTGCAGAAACCTCCAGCCCTAGACCCTAGACCTAAAACCCTAAACGCTAAACCCCAAAACCCTAAAACCCTAAAACCCCAAAACCCCAAAACCCCAAAACCCTAAAACCCTAAAACCCTAAAACCCCTAAAAAACCTAAAACCCTATAAAACCCTAAAACCCTATAAAACCCTAAAACCCTAAAACCCTATAAAACCCTAAAACCCCAAAACCCTAAAAACCTTAAAAACCCTAAAAACCCAAAAAACCCTAAAACCCTAAAACCCTAAAACCCTAAAACCCTAATTTAAAACCCTGAAACCCTAAAACCCTAAAACCCTAAAACCCGAAACCCAAAACCCCAAAACCCCAAAACCCCAAAACCCCAAAACCCCAAAACCCTAAAACCCTGAAAACCCTAAAAACCCTAAAAACCCTAAAACCCCTAAACCCTAAAACCCTAAAAACCCTAAAAACCCTAAAAACCCCAAAAACCCCAAAACCCTAAAACCCTAAAACCCTAAAACCCTATAAAACCCTAAAAAACCCTAAAATACCCTAAAATACCCTAAAACCCTATAAAAGACCCTAAAACCCTAAAGTCCGTGCAGAAACCTCCAGTTCTGAAGGGCAAGGCTGCAGCCAATGCCGGACTGGACCTTTGGCTCATTCAGGGCTTCTGGGTGCTGGAATTGGGGTTTAGGGTTTAGGGTTTAGGGTTTAGGGTTTCGGGTTTAGGGTTTAGGGTTTAGGGTTTAGGGTTTAGGGTTTAGGGTTTAGGGCTTAGGGCTTAGGGTTTAGGATGTTTAGGGTTTGGGGTTTAGGGTTTTTGGATTCAGGGTTTAGGGTTACTGTGGGGTTTAGAAGCCCTCACGTTCGGAGAGGCTAGGCGAGGCACCCAGGAGGGCTTCGACTCTCATGCTAGCAGGCGCGGGCGAGGAGCTGAGTGGGATTGGAGACTATATCTTGGCTGACTCCTGAACCCCTCCCTAAAAGTTTAACTTTTAGGCTCCTTATTGTAGTTTCTACAAAAACCAAAAAGTTATAGTCCTAAGAGCCAGCCAGAAGAAAGCCAAGATATGTCGGGACATTGGGTAGCACAGGCCAACATTACACCCAGTAGCAAGCCAAGATCTGCACATCCCCTACAACCCGAGCCTAAGGTTCCAGGTTCCTATACAGTAGCTGTAGTTCTCATGTACATACTACACAGGTACATGGACCCTTAAGGCAACAGCCTGCAAGACCACATGTCACAGTCTTTTCATGTCTGGGCCTTTTTGGAGCACCTTGATCGGGAAAACGTGGGCTTAAACTGCAAGTTAAAAGTATGTTGCCAGTACAAGCTGTAGCACAAGCTGAGTTCAGCTGCACCCAAAAGAATCAAAAGAGCTGTGCCTTCAGTACGCAGATGCGAGTCGCACTGAATGTGTCGTCACTGCCACGGACTTCTCACCGCCTCCCATAGATTTTCCACAGGGGCCGTTGGACTCCGCCTGGAAAGACTGCAGAGCTGGGATTGGGGGCTCATGAACTGAGTCATGCAGTCCTCAACGAAGTCTTGCATTTGTGCTGTGGGCCGTATTGCGTCTCGAAGCGGGCCAAGGCCCAGAGAGGAAACACGTTCCGGAACGCGGTGTACGTGATGCCGATGGATCTGTTGAACACCCCGGCTATGTTTTCTTGGGCCCAGTCACCCGAAGCAAGCTGGCGTTTCAGCAACAACTCCACTCCGTGCTGGATGGCGGAGGCTTCCTCGCAGTTTGCGGCCATGAGTGCGAGGAGGGCCCAGGAAGTTTGAACCACCGTGCTACCTGAATCGCATCCATAGAGCTTGTCCCGTGCGGCATACTCTCTGTTGAAGCAGCTGGCAAAGTCCTCGCCCCAGCCGCCATCGGAATTCTGCTTGCCCAGCAGGAATTTCACACACTTCCGGATAGCGTCGCAGGATGTTTTCCGCCCCGCAATGAGGAGCCCTTCAATGCCAAACCAGCAGCCATACGTGAAGCAGTTGCCCCAGCATCCAAACCAGCTGCCATCATCACGCTGCCTTGGTAGCCCAGCAACCATGTTACAATAAGTGCACCCTTTTTGGCGTTGGCTATTTTATTAAGGGAACCCAGAACCCCTCCGAACCCCTCCCCCCCCCCCCCCCCCCCAAAAAAAAACAAAAAACACCATAGGGGACCTCTGGGCTACCAAGCTGCATAGCTTCGATGAAGCGCGCACCGCGCTTGATGGAGCGCCGAATCTCGGCAGCCCGGTGATCCGGAAACTGTTCGGAGAAGAAGGCTAAGGCCTGCATGGCAGAGGAGCTGCATTCCACGTAGGAGTAGTCGATCATGATGTCCCCAAACCTCGGACTCTCTTTACCCTACAGTGTTTATGGCTTATACCTACTAATTAAGGGGTAGTTACTACTCATCTGTCCATAAACCCTAAACCCTAAACCCTAAACCCCAAACTGAGTCCCAGGAACACCTCGGAGGGATTCAAGAGCTCGTACCATTTCCAGCCTCGGTTATTTTCGTAGGTCGCCCAGCCACCGTCGTTGTTCCTTGTTGCTAAGCTTGGAGTTGGAACCCTAGCAAAAACTACACAATGTTTAGCTGTTTCTTAGGAATTACAGTACCCAAAAACTTAAATAAAAACAAACAAGTATCCCTATAAGGTTCTAAATACAGTACCCAACAATTAGAAAACAAAAGTATTCCCCCAGGATCCCCAAGGTTCTGGTAGGAGAGCAAGAAGCGGACGGTGTCGCACAAGTGCTGGTCGGGCATGGCCCGCCCGGTCGATCTGATGCTGGAGACTTTCCTTACAAGGAGGGGCCCCCTAGAAATATGCATTTCTCTCCTAAACCCACAAAAGGGTATCCCTATTCTCGGAAACTCCAAGCTGACCCTGGGTTCCCCTACTACCCCCCCTCTATACTACCTCTCCTACAAGGAGGCCCCCCTCCTAGTTATAAGTAGAGTTATGAGGACCCTAAAATGGGTTGTAAGGATCCTGAATTAGGTTATAAGTCCCTTAACTACAGTTACATATAGTAAGGGGGCCCCTCCTTGTACTTCTTCAAGAACCAAGGGTGATAAAAAGGTTAAACTATTGACTATTCCTACGAAATATAAGGAAACCCCACAAATAAGTGTTCCGAAACCCAAAAATCTTAAAGTTCTCAAGTAAGTGTCCGGAGCAAAAGGACCGCTTTGAAAGCTTCCGCTGTGGTGTCGGACACGGGCCAAGCCTTGGCTGACTTCTGAAGCCCTCCTAAAAGTTTAGCTTTTAGGCTGTTTAGGTTTTAGGGTTTATATAGGGTTTCGGGTTGTAGTAGTGTCCACAAAAACCCGACAGGTGGAATCCTAAGAGGCGGCCAGAAGAAAGCCAAGAAGCCTGCTCAGCGGTACTGAAGCCCCAGCCACCCTGAATCGGCTGCCGAAAGTGGCGCCAGTCCCCATGAGGCAGGCTCCTCACCTGCAGGGTTTCCCAACTATGCGGGATTCAGATAGACCCCAAATAGTAGGAGCCCCTTAAACACAACGACCCAAATATGAGGTACCTCCGAATTTTCGGAAACCCCCCCACCTGCTCCTTGACAAGCCAGTTCCAGGCTCTCCTACTCATGTCCTGGTTCATAGTTGGGATAGTAATAACAATCTAAAAATCTTTACTCCTATTGAGTTTAAGTACCCTTAAACATGTAAAATGTTATCTTATTGAGTTGAAGTACCCTTAAAAATGTAAAATGTTATCTTATTGAGTTTAAGTACCCTTAAAAATGTAAAATGTTATCTTATTGAGTTTAAGTACCCTTAAAAATGTAAAATGTTATCTTATTGAGTTTAAGTACCCTTAAAAATGTAAAATGTTACATCCCACTATGGCAAAGTGTCCTGGTAGGAGTCCACCATGCCCGCCTCCACCAGGGCCTGCACCGCGAAGGCCGTGTCCCAAGCCATGCTGCCGTTGTAGCCCTGGATCTTCATGCCTCAGCTTTGGAGTAGACCCTGGAAAACAAAGGTATATACTTTTTAGGCATAAGTAGCTATTATAGAAACCCAGAACCAAAAAAAGTATTAAAGTGGTAGTACTCCAAAACCCAGATGCCATCCTCCGCGACCCAGGTGTATGCTGGGACCCGGGCCACGTGGGCTTGAAATGGCCCGCTTTCTGCGGCTTCCCTGGGCTTCGTCTCCCCCCCCGCCGCGACCCAGGAAACGAGGATATGGAAGGCTTTGGAGACCGGGCCTATGGTCAAGTAGTTGGTTTCAAGGTCCTCGGCATGCATGTACTCCATCGCAAAGTCGCAGCTGACTTTTCGCAACCACTGCCATGGACCCAGGCGCTCGTAGACGAGCAGCACGTCCTGGAGCAGCCTCATGACGGGATGGATCGGGCTGTAGTTGTCGATGTCCGCCACACTGTGAACGTGACTCCTCCATGGGATCTCGCTGTACTTCTGCCCTCCGTACCTTGGTACCCCCAGTAACCATATTAAAAATAAGGGCACCCCTTTCTGGGTTGGTTACTTCATAAGGGAACCCATAACCAAAAAAAGAGTGAAGGGTACCACGGGGCTACCAGACCCCCCTAAACCCTAAACCCTAAACCCCGAAACCCTAAATCCTTTCTTAGAGCTGGACTTGCTGACTGCCAGGCGCCCGCCTATCCTGGAAACCCTAAACCCTAAACCCTCAACCCTAAACCCTAAACCCACTGGACTACCAAGGCACAGCTCAGACCTCAACGATGCAGCCACTGGATCCTGCGACGCGTTGAAGGTGAAGCGTCGGGCATAGAGCCAACACATGGGTAGGTAGACCATCCTGGGCATCGTTCAGTTTAGGGTTTAGGGCTTAGGGCGCGGCAGAAAAGAGAAGCACTCTAGGCTTTTGTCACTTCAGATCAGCTTAGGACCAAGATACACAAACTTTAGCCAAAACAACACGAAGAAGCCTAAACCCTAAACCCTAAACCCCAAACCCTCAACCGTCTAAGAAAGATCTAGCAGCCTGCAGTGGCACCAGAACCTGCCGGGATGAAGGGGGAACCAGCTTGGCAGAAGCCACATTTCGGGCGGAACGGGCGCAATGCCATCCCAATCCTAGACACCAGTGTTGCTTGTGCTATTAAAAATCATCGCTCTGGTTCCTTATTGGTTCTATAAGTACTCATAAAATGTTAAAATTTTCAATAAAGACCCAGACTCGTAGACACCGAGGCATGCCAACCAGAACTTGGCCCAGGAGGGTGCGTAGAGGGCGCCCCCATGCCTTTCATGAACTTGGGAACCCTAGCAAAACTCATAATGGGGTTTAGGGCTTAGGGCTTAGGGTTTAGGGCTGTTTCTTAGGAATTAGATTAAGGTGCCCAAAAATTTAAAACGCCATTTCCACGATATCCCTAAGATGCTGGTCGAGGAAGGCACGGCCCTGCTTGCACGCGGGGTCTTCAGAGTCCACGCCCACCAGGCCTTGGTAGCCCAGCAACCATCTTATAAAGATGCATAATATAAGGCTTATATATATATATATATATTTATTTATTTATATTTATAATGTTACATATATATATATATATAGGGCACCCTTTTTTTGGGGTTGGTTACAAAAACAGGGGGCCTTTGAACCAATTTTAGGGAAAGGGGTGACCACTGGGCCACCAAGAGGCGCAAGGCAACGTAGTTCAGCACGGTCCCGAACATCGTGCTGGGAGACTCGATGTGTGAACCCCAGCCGCCGTCCTGCTGCTGGTGGTTCAGCAAGTATGCCTGGATGGCTCGGAGATGGGCGTCTGGGAAAATGGTCTTCAGGTGGCCTGTGATGTATGCCGCAATCACGAAGCCGGGCAGCAGAAAATGCGGACCACCATAGTCGCCGGCCCAGTGACCATCCTCGCACTGGAGCATCCGATAGAACTCGAAGCCTTTGTGGAGAGCCGCGTTGACATCTGCTGGCCGTGCTGCGTCCGGCTTCGGGCCCGTCCATTCCTAGGATGGCCCATGAATTAAAACCCCCTGAAAGATAGTCCTGAATATGATCCCCTTAAACCCTAAACCCTAAACCCTAAACCCTAAACCCTAAACTTTAAACCCTAACAAGGGAAAATAAAGGATGTTCCCAAGACCCCCACCTAGAGTCGCTCAGCTTGGCCTGGCGAAAGATGCAGTCCGCACTGTTCGGGTTCGCCTCAGGATGGAACGCGTCCACGTCGGTCTTCTGAGAGCTGGAGGACGCCGAGAACTCCCAGACTTGTTGCCCAGACACCTCCTTAGTAGCCCAGCGAGCATATCATCATCAGGGCACCCTTTTTTTGGGTTGGTTACTTTTATAAGGGAAACCAGAAACGAAAAAAGGGAAAAGGGGTACCACTGGGCTGCCAAGCCTCATGGGGCAACAGCCCCTCCTTTGCTTGCACCTCGTTGCGTGGCCGCCAGCCGCCTTCCACAACTCGGCTGGCGACTGGCTTCCTTGGTCGCCCCAGTAATCATATCAATACTAATAGTAGAAATAATAATGACAGTAGTAGTAATAATTATAGTAGTAAAAGTAGTAATAATAATAATGATTTTGCCCTTTTTTGGTGGTTGGCTTTCTTCTATGAGGGAACCTTTGAACCAACAAAAAAGGGGGCAAAAGGGCACCCTAAACCCTAAACCCTAAACCCTAAACCCTAAACCCCATCGAGGCCACCAAGCTTCAACTTCGCATCACCTCGAAGCCTGCTGCTTTCTGGAACTGCATCACCTGGGTAGGAGGCCGGCTTGCCGCGACGCAAGAACCTGGGTAGCCCAATGGGTTTAGGGTTTAGGGTTTAGGGTTTAGGGTTTAGGGTTTAGGGTCTAGGGTTTAGGGTTTTACAAGGAGGGGCCCCCTAGTTACAAGTAGAGTTAGAAGGACCCTGAAATTGGTTCTAAGGATCCTAAGTTAGGTTTTTGGTCCCTGAACTACAGTTAGTAGAGTAAGGGGGCCCCTCCTTGTATTGCAAAAAGGGCGCCCTTTTTGGGGTTGGTTGCTTTATAAGGGAACCCACAACCAGAAAAAATGGGTCAAGGGTACCACTGGGCTACCAAGGAACCATATCGAAACCACAGCAGCTCCTGCAACGGCAGCGCATTCAACCGCCCCAGGTAGCTTGTCCATGGGACAGAAGTGGGCTGGTAGGCCCTCCCGAAGGCTACTCAGGAAGCAAGCGTTGAATACGAGCTGCTCATGCTGCTAGTTCGCTGCTTGCTGGAGATTTTTACATAATCGCAAAAGCGATTGTGCACCTGGATACTCGGAAACGGCTTGAGCCTACGAGCAGCGCACAGGAGGGTTTATGGGGCTTCGACTCTCACTCGCGCACCGGCAATATGGTTCGTTGTTGAATGGGCATTCTGGGTTGTACTCGGATACGTAGGGACGAAAATTTGGCCGATGAATTAGCTGCTGATTTCACCAATTTCGTTGTGCTGCGATCGGTATATGGAGCAGCAGTTCACTGTATTTTTCTTTCTCTCTCTCTCTCTCTTCGCTTTGGTCTTGTCCGTCTTTTCTCAGCAAGCTTGAGGGTTCTTTCCTTCTCTATACTCTTTCTCTCCCTGGTCGTCAACCTTTTGGGGTACCCTAAATATTAGGTGCCGTCTTATAGGAGGGATCCAAAAGGGGACCATAATTTTGACAACCACCCATATGGCTTAGGTTGTAGGTTTGGTCGGCGGCCGTGGAGGTGTGGCTCAACTGCCTCCAAGCACTTGCCGAGAAATCTTGGCAATTCGCGGGTTGCAAAAGCAGCATCTTCAGACCCTAAACCCTAAGCCGCTACGCTGGATTTAGGGTTTAGGGTTTAGGATTTAGGGTTTAGGGTTCAGGGTGTAGGGTTTAGGGTTACCCTTCACTCCATCTGCGTCTAAGTGGCTCCCAATATGCTCCTTTCCGGGTCCGCTGGGGCAGCTGCAGCATCCATGGCCAGCGTCGTGCACTTGCTTGCGAACAAACGTAAGCTCTCAACATTCAAAGTCGACTATAGTGACAAGTTGAGGGTTTAGGGTTTAGGGTTTAGGGTGTAGGGTTGAAGATAGCACTAGCGGGTCTAAGCGGGCTTCAGCATATGGCTTATCTCCGAGCCTTGCGTGGGTTCTCTCCGCCGCGAGCCGCAACGCAGGGAGGGCACTTGGGTACAAGTGCCCGGCCTGCGCCACGGCAAGCAGAAAGCGGGGAGACTTAAACCCTACAAACCCTAAAGTTTAGGGTTTACGGTTTAGGGTTTAGGGTAAACCCTAAACCCTGTTCAGACAAGGGAACTCTCGGGGCGCACCAGTTCTGGCTCTACACCCCTACAAAGGCCTAACTAAACAGGTCAGGTCACGTGGAAGTTGGCCACCCTACTTGCAAGAGCAGAGCCGGATCTGTCGGCACACAAACTTCCGGTTTCGGGAGTGCGTGCGGTTTGATTCATAGCTTCACCTGAACCCTGCCCCAAAAAGTACCCACGATAGTGGCCTCAGCACCCTGAACCCTAAACCCTGAACCCTGACCCCTCAACCCGGTACATATGGTAACCCTAAAGGGAGGCCTTGAGGCTTGTGGCTAGGGATTCGGAGGGATTTGTGGAGGTTTGGAGGTTTGGACTTGCGGAAACTTCACGATCCGGGCGAGTATGTCATGACTATCAAAACCTCCCTAAACCCTAAACCCTAAACCCTTGCGAGCTCCACATGCCCCCGAAAGAGCCCTGCTTCCATGGACCTTGCTTTTGCAGGCGTGTGGGGGCTGAGGGCTGTGTAATCCCATATTGCAGTAAGGGTACCCCTTCTAGTGGTTGGTTGCTTAGTAAGGCAACCTTAAACAAAACAAGTGCAAAAAAGGGGTGTGGCTGGGCTACCAAGATAGATACCCGCAAAGCCCTTCTGGCGAACCTCCGAGTCGAGTCGAAAGGAGAAAGCAACCTGTACCCCAACGATACCGCCTGAAGTCTGTACTCCCACGGCACGAGGTTTACACGGTTTAGGGTGGATGCATGAACCCCAAACCCAAAACCCTAAAACCTAAATCCCTAACTCCCAAAAAACCTCGAATACCAGAAGAACTCACGCCGAGTTTATGGCTTGGAGGTGCGTCTCGGGGGTGCCTGGCCGCATGGTTGTGTTGTGCTGTGCATTTTCTGGGCTTAGGGCATAGGGTTTGCGGATTTAACCACCTGGCTCCCTTTGGACGAATCGCTCCACGACCCTAACCCTAAAGCCTAAACCCTAAACCCAAGATGCGGGTTGCATGGTCCGAAGCTGTCGCTGCAGGACTTCAGCACTCGCTTCCGGAACTCCCTCTCGCGTATTTAAGGCGCATCCCTGACTTTTTTGCCACCTGCCTAGCAGCCTCGCAACCACACTGCAGGGATGCATCCCTTGCTTTAGGGTCTAATGGTCTAAAGGTTTAGGGTTTATAGGGTTTGGGGTCCTACTACATGGTTGCACTAGTCTGGGTAGTCTTACTCATACTCGTTTAACATCTCAACCCTAAAGCCCTAAACCCTAAAGCCCTAAGGGGCACCGGTGCCTCCAATGTGCGCGATCGAACCCGAAGGGCATTAGGCTCTGGGACCATGTTGCTTTTGCTTTGATGTGGTTTAGGCTACCCCAAGGATGTCCATGTGCATGTATAATATATCCTTGTGCCTCAAAAAGGGGTTCCCATATCTACTATTTGCTAAGAAATGCCCCAAACGACAGAACATCATCCCTATATTGCCCTGGGGCTGAAAACCCCAGCCCCAAAAAGGTGCACCTTGTATATATATATATATGTAAATATATATATATATATATATGTTGTAGGAGTCTATGTAACCAAAAAGGTTAAAGGTTACCTAACCTGTCCCTAAGTAGATATCGTATGCACTGTGCACGGGGATCCCCAGTATGGGCCCTTCATTTGGGCCCCTTGCTCAAAAACCTTGATATACACTACATATAATAAGGGCCCAAACTCTAAACCCTAAACCCTAAACCCAAAACCCTAAACCCTAAACCCTAAACCCTAAACCCTAACCCTAAACCCTAAACCCAAACCCTAAACTCTAAACCCTAAACCCTAAAACTTCGGATCCCTAGAAAGAAGGGTAAGGGACCCACACTAAGGGGCCCATGGTTTCCAACCTTAGAAGGATCCTTGGGATTTTTTTTTGAAGTCCTGAGGGCTGCAGGTCGAAGGGAGCTTTGGATTCTGGGTTTAGGGTTTAGGGCTAGGGTTTAGGGTTTAGGGTTTAGGGTTTAGGGTTTAGGGTCTAGGATGTAGCAGCATGCATTCTGAAGACAGTGGACCTCCGAACCATAAACCTTCTCTCTCTCTCTGTCTCGCTCTCTCTCCCTTCCTTCCTTCCTTCCACAGCCGAAGATGCCCCCCTTGCGGGGAAGGACTCTCTCTCTCTTTCTCTCACTCTCTCTCTCGCTCTCTCCCCCTGTCTCACAGGCATCCCTGCCATCAACCATAAACCTTAAATCCAAAACCCTAAACCCTAAACCCTAAATCCTAAACCCATAAACCCTAAACCCTAAAGCCTAAAGCCTGAAGCCTAAACCCATAAACCCATAACCCTAAAGCCTAAAGCCTAAACCCGTCCGTCGGCCTGTCGGCCGGGTAGCCAGCGGTGCTCTGCGGGTCTCGGCAAAGAGGCGCGCCGGTCTCTGTCGCGCACTGCCCGTGCCAAAACCCCACGCCCCTGAATTAAGGAATAGGTCCCTTAACACCCTAAACCCAAACCCTAAACCCTAAGCCCTAAACCCTACACCCTAAACCCTAAACCCTAAGCCCTAAACCCTAAACCCCAAACCCCAAACCCTAAACCCCAACCCTAAACCCTCCTACAGAGTTCTCGGAACCCACTATGTGAACTAAGTGGGCTCTCTGGGGAGCCCTCGAAACTCCAAAAGCTGGGCGTGCTCATTGAGGGGCTTGAATGCTGGTGTGCAGTGCCCGGTTTGGGGTTCACGGTAGTTTCGGGTTTAGGGTTGAGGGTTTAGTGATGATGCCCGAAGGCTGCGGCTGTTCTCTGGGCACCCGGCTGCAAGTCGCAAACGCTTGCGGTGAAGGAGAAGCTGGACCTGTAACTGGATAAGAGGCCATACAGACTACTATAGACCCAAGAGGAACCTAGCAATACGAAGGGTGCCCGTTTTGGTGTAAAGGGGCTTAGGGAACCCTAACCCTAAAAAAGGGGAATAAGGGCCTACTCCGGGGCCTAGCCAGGATGTACACATATAGATAAACAAATAAACGTAAACATATATACAGTACATGCACACGCATTTTCATGTATACACATGTTGTCCTACCAGTGCGATTTCGGCGGATTGCATCAAGGCACGAATTGATGCTCCCAGGGGCCCAATGCCAAGGAATAGACCTGACATAATGCTTGGGGGATGTTCTAGACCCGGGAGTAACCTAGGAATTCAAAAGGGTGCCCGTTTTAGTTTTAAGATGTTTTTAAGGGGATTACAAGGGAACCCCAGCCCGCTCTCAAAAAAAAACCTACTCCAGGTCCTAGAGTTGTATTGGCAGGGAAGTTGACACATATGCTCAGCCCCCTGTCATGTCAACTTGGAGCACTCCGTTCTCCAAGTGCGAGGAACTCCCAGGACGGGCTGTCATACCCCTAGTTATAAGTAGAGCTAGAAGGACCCTAACTTGGGTTATAAGGATCCTAAATTAGGTTCTAAGTCCCTTAACTACAGTTGGTAGAGTAGGGGGGGCCCCTCCTTGTAGCTCTATCTGCCCCCATCTTAGTTGCTGAGTTCACATAAGCCCCAAAAAAGTGTACACTTTCAGTTCTAAAGGGGATTATAATATCCCAAAGAGTGTAAAGTGTACTCACTCGGCTACTAAGCCATTAAAACGCCCTTTATGGGGTTGGTTATGGGGATTATAAGGCCCAAGAACCCACCTTGGTCCTAGTTTACACGCTCGCCCTTGGCTTTCCCTCACTCCTGGATACTCGCTGAAAACAACAGACTGCCCGGAACCCTGAGATCAATCTAAGCCCTATAAACCCCTACATCTCTCTATTTAGGGTTTAGGGATTCGGGGTAATTATGTCCAAATAACCCCAAGACCCCAAACCCCTTCAACCTGCGAGCCCGTCCTCAAGCCACACTTCTGCCAGAAGGCTTCCCACGCTGCTGACTCCTGGGTCAGACGAGAACATCCAGGCAACGAAGCCAGCTTGGGTTTCTGCTGCATGATCTGAGGGCATCGCGCGAGACCCATGCACAAGCCAGTTAGGGTTTAGGGTTTAGGGTTTAGGGTTTAGGGTTTAGGGTTTAGGGTTTAGGGTAGATAGTATACAAGGGTTAGTCTTCATTATTTCAGTATGTTAGCAGCGTCTGCGACATGCTCCCACTATGGAGGCCCACTTAAGGCGGGCAAACCCGAAATCCAAAACCCTTTAGCCAAGGACACCCTACTCACTAAAGTTTAGGGTTTAGGGTTAAGGGTGGTCTTAAACCCGCAAACCCCAAGCCATAAACCCAAAAAAGGCCCTAAACACTGCAAACCCTTTAAGACTCTCAAGGTTTCCGGCGTCCTGCGGGGCCGCAGCAGTGTAGAGCATGCTCACCTCAGTCGCTGAGCTGTTTCGAAGTTGGCCCCCCAAAACCCTCCAACTTCGACACCGGAACGCAAATTCAACATGTCTCCTAAACGCTCAATGGTTTAGGGTTTAGGGTTTATAGGGTTTAGGGCTTAGGGCTTAGGGTTGTCAACACACCCCAACCCAAAAAAAACTCTGAATCTGAAACCTACGGCAAGTCTGTAAGTAGGAGCTCAGGCGTTAGGACCGTTAGGATCTTGAAGAAGGGTTTAAACTTCTTGCATCCCCAAAAGGACACCCAATATATACACTCACCAATGTTTGAAAGGAGCCTCATATATACACACTCACCAAGAACAGTAATATAAACCCTGCATCAAATGAGAGTGAGAGCCTTGGTGAGGGTGGGAGCGAGCGTATCGCTGGGCGCGCGTGGCCGGAGGTGTCCGGAATATGCGTAAACCGCCCACAACCGCCCACAGAATGAAAATGGAACCTCTTCACTGTTTTAATCTCAGAAGTGCAGTGACTGGATGAGGACCGCGAACCCCCCGAATCTCCAAGAAAAACAGGCGCATGGCATAGGACAGCTTGACGCCAGTGAGCTTCTCCAAGTTCGCCATGTCCTTCACCAAGTGGATGCTAAACCCTAGACCCTAAACCCTAAACGGTTGGGGCAGGCAGAGCATCCCTGCCCTCGGGTTGTGTTGCGTCTGGGTTCTTCAACGCCAGCGATGGCTCCCATGCAGCCTTGTGCCTTCCTGAACCCGGGAAGTGGGCGTAGGGTTTGGGTTTAGGGTCCATTCCTCGCATTTTAGTCGACGGGGCGAATCCCTAGGTGCCATCACTGAATGGAATTGTGAACCACAACCCTAAACCCTAAACCCCTAAACCCTAAGCCCTAAACCCTAAACCCTAACCCTAAACCCTAAACCCTAAACCCTAAACTCTAAACCCTAAACCCTAAACCCTAAACCCTAAACAAGCCTTTCAGGATTCATGCAATCCACCAAGGAAGTTGCAGAGCGTCCTGATGTTGTCGAACCTACTCTATTGTTCGCTTAAGAACCCCCCAAAGAACACACAAAATATTCTTCCCCATAAAGGCAGTAGGAGGATTATCTTTTCTAAAAGAATTATACCGGCGTAGACCCCAAAACAGTGCGGAGGGCCAGAAGAGGCCAAAGGAGGCGACAATCTAAGTGGCCCCCCCCAGAAGAGGCCAGAAGAGGCAGGAATTCGCGCGAGAGCACAACGGGAGCGTCGAAGTCGAAACGCAACGGAAATCGCGCGAAACCACAGCGGGAGCATCGAAACGCAACGGAATTCGCGCGAAACCACAGCGGGAGCGTCGAAACGAAGTACCCGCCCCACCACGTGGGCCGTTGCGGCCCGCAACCTATCAGTGGCCCTTTCAGAAGAGGCCAGAACAGGCCAGAAGAGGCGGAATTCGCGCGAATGCGCCCCGCAACCAATTCCTTTACCCTTATTAACGTAAGGACCCCATTGTGCAAGCACTGTTTGGGGAATTTTTGGGGGTCTTAAGCAAACAGTAGTACTGGAGCGGATCATGACTTTGGAGCTTGTGAGCTTACCTGAACCCATGGCCTCGCTTCGAATCTGCACATCCGCCAAGGGCAGCATGCGAGGTTTGGTGTCCCCGGCCATGGCGTGCGTAATGACCTGAGCTTCTTGAAAAATCACGAATGGGATCTGAGGATATGGTCACTTCTAAACCCTAAACCCTAATTGTGAATTACTATCATGAGGCGGCCCGCCCAGAACTGACCCTTTCGTAGCAAGACGGAGAAAGAAGATTTGGAAAAGGTGGTCGACACTTGCCGCGCCATGAAGCCTCAAAGCCAACTGGCACGCCTTTATAAACGCTAAACCCTAAACCCTAAACCCCAAACCCTAAACCCTGAACCCAACCCTAAACCCTAAACCCTTTTGCATCCAGGCCTCGTAACGACTGCCCTAAACCTCCAAACCTAAACCAACTGGCACGCCCGTCTGACAGATCTGCAAACGCAGTAGGTCAGGGGCTGCAGGGCGGCGTTCAAGGTCCAATGCACGGCGGTTTCTACGAGTTGTAACTCGCAAGGGATTAGTGGGGGTTTAGGGTTTAGGGTTTAGGCTTTAGGGTTTAGGGGATGCTATTGATAGTCACTTAGGCTGTCAAACTGCAAAAAGCAGTTCACAACACGGAAAGCCCAAGGTTGGCGCGCTCCAGTTGCTGGTGTCCATGGCCCACTTGGTCAGCGTCACCACCTCTCTTCTGGGGTGCATCTAAGGGGGGCCTAAACCCTAAACCCTAAACGCTAAGCCCAACATTGCTATCGGTTATAAACAGGCAGATAAGGAGCCGGGCCCACAAATCGGCCCCCAAATTTTGGAGTGGAGACTTGTTTACACCATTCCGACCATTCCCGCCCCCCTGCCCCCCCCCCCCCCCCTTCAGCGCCGCGTTTCGCACAAGGAGTAGACGCCGGATATACACTACGCCCCAAAAGAACACCTGTGTCGCTCCGATACCTTTGCCTCTGGAAGATCGCGCTGAAGTAGCTGTTCGGTTTGCCCCAGCCACTGAGACTGGGTTTCTTCACTGCGTTTGGTGTCCTGGGCACTGTCTAGATGAGGGCCTAAATCGCTAAGTCTTGTAGATCACAAGCGCCAATCCCATCCAGCGCTCCAGCCACCCGGTGAGACTCACGGCTCAATGCGTCTTGAGGCTTGTGCTCATTGGCGCAGTCCGCCGCACTCGTTGAAATTAGGGCTTTGCGTCCTTGGGACTTCAGGGTTGAACTTGTAGGTCACCCTTTTTTTTTTTTTTTTTGGGGGGGGGGGGGGAAGGGCCAGAAAGAAGCTCCACAACCCGGGATCTCTCTTCTAGGGTCCCCGGGATCTCCGAAAACCTTAAACACTAAACCCGGACTTGTCCGAGACATTGGATGGCACGCGGGCAATCAACCCATTGTCGACTGCCGCCTCAAAAATCTCTGCTGTCAGCTGAGGGGTATTCGTAGGTGTCACATCAGACATGAAGGACGTTTGGCGAGACATGTCTTCAATCTCTTGGATTGCACCTGCGGCTTCTTGGTTTGTCAAGTGCCGTAGCAGGCATGAACCCAGGAGCAGCGTTACCATGAACACGATGGTTGGAGGCCAAGCATCAGCTGCCATGTGTAAATACGCGAAAAAGGTACCCACAAGAACTGTTGCCGGCGCGGCGCACGCCGTGAGAACCAGCAGCCCAAGCCAAACGTCACGGACGTTTGGAAACCTACGGGCAAGAACAGTTGCCAAAGTCACTGCTTGTAGCCCTAATGTGATGACCAGTGTGACCACAAAGGCCCACTCGAGGAGGACAAAGCGACCGAGAAATTCCTGAAAATGGAGTCCGTCTTCTTTAACGAACAACACGCGCCAAAGCAGCCTTTCCATTATGTCTGCCAGCCATGGCATGGTGGCTGCACTCAGCATGTAGAGGAGAGGCGCGGTGGGGACGGCGTAGGGCATTTGTCTGAGCACGGAGCGCCTCAACCTGATTCTGTGGCACTGAGAGGAGTGAAAGCAGGGCTAAGCAGGAGTCTTTGGGGTTTCCGGCCCTTATACCCCCAATACCCCCCATCCCAAGCCAAAGCTAAAGTCCCCTAAACCCTAAACCCTAAACCCTAAACCCTAAACCCTAAACCCTAAACCCTAAACCCTAAACCCTAAACCCTAAACCCTAGACGTGCCGGCCTGTGATGAACCAGGGAGTTGAATCGGCGCAGGTACTCTTCGCTAATGTCCGTAGGGCGGCCATACCTGGGACTCTCTTAATCTAAAACCATTATTAAAACCCTAAAGCCCTTAAACCCCTAAACCCCTAAACCCCTAAAACCCAAACCCCTAAACCCTAAATCCCTAAAACCCTAACCCCTAAGCCGCAGGCAAAAAATCTTGGCTGCACTTAGCAGGGTAGCTAGCTGCCTTATTAAGAAACCAAATAAACCCAAAAAGGCTAAGGATCTAAAGTTACAGTAAAGCACCCCTTAAGACCCTAAACCCTAAAACCCCTAGGCCCTAAATCCCTAAAACCCTGAACCCGATACCCCGAAACCCCTAAGCTGTAGGTACAAAGAGAGCTCCCAGGCACCAGTCTTTCAACTTCCGGTAGACCAGCTCCCGGTCACATGGGATGTCGGCGCCTGTCTTGTTTGAACTTTCCGGAGTTTAGGGTTTAGGGTTTAGGGTTTAGGGTTTCTGCAAGCACTCTCTGCAGCAGCAGGCTTTAAGTGCAAGCAAACCACCACCGGAGTTTAGGATTTATAGGGGTTTAGGGGTACCTAGGTGGCAGAGGGCTGACCCAGACCCCCCCCCCCCTCCCCCCGTTTTGGCGTGAGAGGGAGAGGGAAGGAGGGTCTGAGAATATTGCAAACCCTAAACCCAAACCCCAAACCCCAAACCCTAAACCCTAAACCCTAAACCCTACTGAGACAGCAGGGAGGGAGGGCGCGGGCAGGGGACCGCTTGAAGCATCGGATTTGCAGGCCTCTTTTACAGCCGAATCCTACGATCTTCTACTAATTGCTTAAGAAAAAGCAAAAGCATATTCTTCCTTATAAGGGAAATATTGGGATTATTATGTTGAATCTTCTGGGGTTCTTAAGCAAATAGTAGTCTTGGTAGCCCAGCTTATTTTATAAGTGAGCAGTTAGGCAAGGCGGAATCTTTTCTGGACACACACATCAAAGCACAACTATGTTTAGTAACTATGTTTAGCAACAAAAGAAGAACTTCCCCTGCAGATTCTTCGGCAAGCGGACTGTTCTTCAACTTTCCAGCCATCAAAAGAAACTTCCCTTGCATATTTCTCCTAGAAAAACTGCCAATTTTCTCTCTCTACATACTTTCCCCTATAAAACAGAAACCATACGGAAGAGACCACCAACCCATATAACCTCTACTTCATTGCAAAGAAACGGAAGGCTCCCCAGGTGAGACCATGGCGGGGGAATTTAGGATCCTTACAACCCAAGTTAGGGTCCTTCTAACTCTACTTCTAACTAGGGGGCCCCTCCTCGTAGAACTTTGGGGATCTGGCTTATCCCCGTTTCAGATCAATACAGCTCAGAGTCCTGTGTCCGGGTGCTTGTGGCCGTTCTGACAACCTTAGTAGCCCAGCAACCCTATTTTGATAAGGGCACCCTTTTTGGGGTTGGCTATATCATAAGGGAACCCATACCCCCCCCCTCCCCCCCAAAAAAAGGGTAAAGGGTACCACTGGGCTACCAAGCAACAGAAACACGCAGCTCTTTGGACATCAAAGGTCTTCATCTGCTCTGGCGCGCGATGCAGGTGCTTGGCCATTCGTACGGCGAAGACTGCAACGGGTGTTCCGAGTAAGGCTACCTTGCTCGCCCAGCAATCGAAGTATAATGAGGGTACCCTTTTTGGACTTGGTTGCTTTAGAAAGGGAACCTTGAACCCCAAAAAGGGGGAAAAGGGTACCACTGAGCTTCCAAGTTGCAGCACCAAGTATCCAGGCCGCAGCCCCTGCAACGACAGTCCATAGATCTTGGCCAAGTTGAACTCCAAGAGTACCATGCGGGAGCATCCCAAAAAAGATGAGCAACGTGGACGTCACCCAGCTGAAGAAGAAGAAAGCCAGGAGGATGGTGATGCCGGCATGAACCGGCATAATACGTATGTGTTTGTGCTGGTTGTGATCCGTCAGAAATGCGGCGATCTCATATGCACACCATAATCCTGGGCTGTTCTTGCAAACTGTGGTTTAGGGTTTAGGGCTTAGGGTTTAGGGTGACCTTACTTTTCTGTTCACAGTGAACCGATGCCAGATTCGAGAGTCACATATAGTATGGCCTTTGAGCACACAGGCCTTAAACAAACATGAGGGCTTGCAGCGTTGGGGCACCCAAAAGCCATAAAATCATACTCAGGAGCAGCGTAGAGTCTGCTGAAGTACCTCAGAAGTGTGTGCAGAAGTAAGTGTGTGTGTGTGTGTGTGTATGTGTGTGTGTGTGTGTGTGTGTGTGTGTGTGTGTGTGTGTGTGTGTGTGTGTGTGTGTGTGTGTGTGTGTGTGTGTGTGTGTGTGTGTGGGGCTGTCTCTCTCTCTCTCTCTCTCTGCACGACTTCGCCTACACCCGAAGCCCTAAGATCATAAGATCATAGGGGGTTTTAAGGTCCAGGGGGTTCGGGGGATGGTCACCCTGACAAACTCAGGACCTGCCACCCCCTGCCAAACGAAGCAAGCGACCCCTTGAACATGAGGCTTGACAGTTTAGGGTTTAGGGTTTAGGATTTAGGGTTTAGGGTTTAGGGTTTAGGGTTTAGGGCTTAGGGGTTTAGGGGTTGGGGCAACTATAGCTCACAACGCCTGCTATGAGAAGAACCGACTGCTCTGAAGTGCTCGGGACTATATGAGGAGGGGCCCCCTAGTTACAAGTAGAGTTTGAAGGACCCTAAATTTGGTTTTAAGGATCCTAAATTAGGTCATACCTTAACTACAGTTAAACAGTTAGTATAGTAAGGCGGCCCCTCCTTGTATACTCTGAAAGAGTCAAGCGTCCAAGAACCACTACTTGCTTGAGAACCCAAAAACATTCAATATGATCATCCCTATCTTCCCCAATATGTGTCTTTTTTGGAGGAGGGGGGGGGGGGGGGGGGGGGGGGGGGGGGGGGGGGAGGAGGAGGAGGGGGGGGGGGGAGGGGGGGGCGGGGGAAGGATGGGGGGGGGGGAGGGAGGGGGGGGGGGGGGGGGGGGGGGGGGGGATTGCCCTACCAAAATACCATCCGAAAGTGCGACTAAACCCTAAACCCTAAACCCTAAATTTGGCCAAAGCACCTGGGCGACCACAGAACCAGCAGCCGCTTGGAGTGGTTGAGGAAGGCAGCCTTGCTACAACCATCTTTTATGATGAGGGCACCCTTTTCTGGGTTGGTTTAGGGTTTAGGGTTTAGGGTTTAGGGTTTAGGGTTTAGGGTTTAGGGTTTAGGGTTTAGGGTTTAGGGTTTAGGGTTTAGGGTTTAGGTTTAGGGTTAGGGTTTAGGGTTTAGGGTTTAGGGTTTAGGGTTTAGGGTTTAGGGTTTAGGGTTTAGGGTTTAGGGTTACTCATACAAGGGAAGGCATAACCCAAAAAAGGGTGAAGGGTAACACTGGGCTACTAAGCAGCGAGTCCAAGAATGCCTTTCTTCTTCAGCTCAGCTTGTTCGGGGCTCTGCGCAATGCAGAGCTTGTCCAGGAAGACCATGATTGGTGGAAGCAGGGAGCAGCGGAGTCGCTGCCAGAAGCATAAGAAAAACAAGTGAACGACGTAGACAAAGCATGAGCTCGCCCGGTAGTTTGGCAGCACGCCGACAACGCGCACTCCAGCGATCAGAGGGCAAGCCAGAAAGGTCGCCAGAAGCGCAGCTCGTGAGTTGTACACAACGAGGAGAGTGCAAAGCTTGATCCATCGGGATGTTTGCCAATCGTGACTGAGGAAATCGTCGAAGTACTCGGCTTGTCGGCTCAGCGCATAGTTGGCATCATCCACCTTGAACATCCCAGGATCGGGTGGCCTCCAATGCTTAGCCCACCCTCCCAGGCAAACGTGCAATGGCACTCCGCGTAGCAGCTCGGGCTCGAGTGTGGTTAGCAGCTCCGATGCCATGGCGCCACGCTTCAAGACCAACGAGTGCAGCGCCGGAGAATGGGGGGGGGGGGGGGTACACGCGGCTTCTGTTTATATATTGCAGGAGCCTCAATAATTAGAACAGCGTGTTGGGGGCTATGATAGTACAATTGTACAGGAACCATAAGGGAAATTAGAACAGCGCTTTGGGGTTATGATAGTACAACCATAAAGGAACCATAAGGGAATACTATTAGCGATTGTTCCGACCCCAATAAGAGAAGGTAGTCACCTGCAACTACTTCTCCTGCTGCCACTGCTGCGAACGACTGGAGCGGCTGCGGCTGCTACTTAATCACCGCCAGAAGGCTGATGTATAAGTTTAAGTGTAGCTGCGCGACCTTAATAGAAAAAAGAACAATAATCGTAATGATACTAGTAATAATCATTGAAATAATAATTATTAAGGAATTACTACTAATAATATAAAAAACATTATAAGAATATAATAATAATCATAATAATAACAATAATAACAATAATCATATAAGAATCTTAATAAGAATCATAATAATAATAATGTAAGAATAATCATAATTTAAAAAATCACAACAATAATGAGTTCTGAGTTCTAGCAGGCAACTTCGACCAGTCTCCTCTGGTCGAAGCAACCTGCGCAAGTGTAGAGTACGGCAACCCGGCCCCCCTTTCATTTGGCGTTTTGGGGGGTTAGGGTTTAGGGTTTAGGGTTTAGGGTTTAGGGTTTAGGGTTTAGGGTTTAGGGTTTAGGGTTTAGGGCTTGTAGAGTTTAGTGTGGTTTAGGGCTTGTAGAGTTTAGTGTGGTTTAGGGCTTGTAGAGTTTAGGGTTTGGGTGCTTTTTTGGGGGGCCAGAGTTGCTATCGGTTCCAGAAAAGTCTGGCCCACAAATCAGCCCAAATTTGGGGGTGGGGACTTCCTTTTACACCATTCCGACCACTCCCCCAAACACCCCCCCCCCCCCCCCCCCCCCCCCACCTGCTCCCTTCCCCCACGACTGGCACTAGGGACTGACAAGGACAAACCTGACCGACTCTTGTCTATCTCAGGTCAGCGCTTGAGGCTGCAAAAACACCCTGCCACAGTGCGATGTGTACCACTGCGCAAGAAGCCCTCGACTCCACGCCAACAAAACACCTGTGCCGCACCTTTGCCTTATGAAGCTCGCGCTGACGTTTAGCGCCAGCCATTGACACTGGGTTTCTGTGTATTGGGTGTCCTGAGCACTGTCTCGATGGGGGGCCGAAATCGCTAAGTCTTGGAGATCACAAGCGCCAATCCCATCCAGCGCTCAGGCCAAAAGGTGAGGACTCATGGCTCAATCCCTCTTGATGTTTGTGCCGCGCAGTCCGCCTAACCCTAAACCCCTAAACCCTAAACCCTAAACCCTAAACCCTAAACCCTAAACCCTGAAGAAATCTCCTCCCCTTGGTTGATGGCCACGACTGCCACCCGAGGGCTTTTAAGGTCGGAGATACAGGGAGCAACGAAAACCCTTGAAGCTGCCCTCGTTTCAAGTCTTCACAGCCGGAGAAGACAGAGATTACACAAACGAAGCTTCCCTTCCCAACTCTAAATATTACTACCCAGAGGGATCCGTCTTCACGAGTCCACTTCAAGGATCCTATAAATCAGCATTCCACAAAAATCTAAGACAGGCTAGCATGGACTTAGCTGCTGTAAGTCCATACGTCCACGTGCGGCCTTGTTGTTCCAACCTCGTGAAGCCAAAACCACCGCTTTACAGCCATCCACACAATCCCAAAACCAAACAAGACATAACCGTAATTGTACCGAAAGTGGGGATTTCCGACAATGGGGGGGGGGGGGGGGGCATGTTGTTGGGGCCCCTTATAACTGAGGACTCCCACTATTTGGGGTCTATATTAGGGGGTCCCTTGTTTGCGTACACCCCCAAATCGAGGAACCCGAAACTCAAGGCCTCACGCCCGTGTGCGAGAAGTGAGATGGATGCGGACACCAAATTGGTTTAGGGTTTTAGGGGGTTTAGGGGTTTAGGGTTTTAGGGTTTTAGGGTTTTAGGGTTTAGGGTTTAGGGGTTTTGGGACTTGGGGTTTAGACGGGACCGACCCCTTCACCACAAGCCATCTCCATTCAGGCATCCGGACTGCGCAAAAAGGCTGTACCAGTGACCTAGTTAGCTGGCAAGGGCCGGGCAGAATAGCGAGAGGTCCACTCTCTGTCGGCGCCACTAATTACGACTTCAGGGTTCAAGGTTGAGGTTGTAGGGTTTCAGGGCCAGAAATAAGTCCCAGGAGCAACTTCGGAATCTCCCCTAAACGCCTACACGCTAAAACTTACTTCGGACCTGTCCGAGACATTAGATGGCGCGCGGGCAATCAACCCATTGTCGACTGCCGCCTCAAAAATCTCTGCTGTCAGCTGAGGGGTATTCGTAGGTGTCACATCAGACATGAAGGACATTTGGCGCGACATGTCTTCAATCTCTTCGATTGCACCTGTTGCTTGTTGGTTTGTCAAGTGCCGTAGAAGGCATGAACCCAGGAGCAGCGTCACCAAGAACACGATGGTTGAAGGCCAAGCGTCAGCTGCGGTGTGCAACCAAACCCAGAAGGCACAGGCAACAACCGCTGCTGGCGCAGCGCACACTGTGAGAAGCAGCAGCCCAAGCCAAACGTCACGGACGTTTGGAAACATACGGGCAAGAACAGTTGACAATGTCACCGCCAGTAGCCCGATTGCGATGACCCCTGTGACCACAAAGGCCCACTCGAGGACGACAAAGCGCCAAAGATATTCCTGAAGATTCTGTTGGTCTGTTCTCAACACGCTCCAAAGTATCCTCTCTACTATGTCTGCCAGCCATGGCATGGTGGCTGCACTCAGCATGTAGAGGAGAGGCGCGGTGGGGACGGCGTAGGGCATTTGTCTGAGCACGGAGCGTCTCAACCTGGAGTTATGTGGGGTTCCAACTCCTGAACCCTGAACCCTGAACCCTGAACCCTGAACCCTAAACCCTAAACCCTAAACCCTAAACCCTAAACCCTAAGCCCTAAACCCTAAACCCTAAACCCTCCCCGGATCCCCCACAATCCCCAAGCCAAAGTTCCAGGAATCCTCGAATTTGACATCCCTAGACGTGCAATGGCCTGTGATGCACGAGGGAGTTGAATCGCCGCAGGTGCTCTTCGGCAATGTCCGTTGGGCGGCCATACCTGGGACTCTCTTTCTCTAAAACCTTAAGACCCTAAACCCTAAAACCCCTAGGCCCTAAATCCCTAAAACCCTAAACCCTATACCCCGAAACCCCTAAGCTGTAGGTACAAAGAGAAAAAAGAGCTCCCAGGCACCAGTCTTTCAACTTCCTGTATACCAGCTCCCGGTCACATGGGATGTCGGCTCCTGGGTTTAGGGTTTAGGGTTTAGGGTTTAGGGTTTAGGGTTCAGGGTTCAGGGTTTAGGGTTTAGGGTGCAGTTTCTTGCACGTAGCCTTACAAGCAACAAAAGGTATATTCATGTTGGCGAAACGTAAAGACAGATGACCGACCCAGACCCCGCAGTCTTGGCGTGGGAAGGAGAGGGAAGGAGGGTCTGAGAATATTGAATGTGGCGCGATCGGGCGCAGGGCTGCAAATTGCTGTCGCACAGCCGAATCTAGAGTCTAGAGTGTCTGATTCGGGGCTATGACAGGGTATGGACTCCGCTTGCCAGATCCAGCCAGAACTTGTCCGGCGAGCCCACACCGGAACAGTGGGTGACCTCGCATACCCCTAAAGCCTACATCCTGTAAACCCTAAACCCTAAACCCTAAACCCTGAACCCTGCACCCTAAACCCTAAAAACCCTAAACCCTAAATAACCCTAAACCCTAACCCCCCCCCCCCACAACGGGCATAACCTGCGGATGAGACCGCAGACACTCCGGCCAGCCGCTAGCGGCACGCATCTCCCCCCTACCCGTATACTCTTGAGCTGCAGGACGTACACCCGCTCCTGTTGAACGCGACCTACCTCAACTACACGAAGTCTAAGAGGGTTAAGGGTTCCTTGACCTGAATCTCATTGGGATTATAGTAGTTTAGGGCTATATGACTCTTATATGACCCCCAATTTTACGGTTCAATTGGTCCACAAGGTTCACGTGGTCCACAAGGTACCATGACCCCAAGTCGAGCAGGTCGAGCCCATCGCATTGAAGACGAGACAACAACACTTTTCTGGACAAAAAACAGTCGTTTAGGGCAGGGTTTAGGGGTTAGGGTTTAGGGTTTAGGGTTGAGGGTTTAAACATGAAAGTACAACTCTTGTAAATGAACGAAGAACTTTCCCCATACGATATATCGGAAAGCGCACTGCTCTTCAACAAGGAACCGAAAGCCCCCAAGAAAGGATTCAGTAACCCTAAACCCTAGACCCTAAACCCTAAACTGCTCTGAATCCTCAGCCTTGTAGCCCAGTAACCATATAATAATAAGGGGGCCCTTTTGGGTTGGCTGTTTTATAAGGGAAACCAGAACCCCCCCCCCCCCCCCCCAAAAAAAAAAGGGTAAAGGGTACCACTGGGCTACCAAGTTAGGTTCAGATTGGGTTTTGCTGCCAGGTGGGCCGAGGCGCAAAGCAGTAAACCCTAAACCCTAAACCCTAAACCCAAAACCCTAAACCCTAAACCCTAAACCCCCCGATCCAACCTTACCAAGAACTCCATGTGTCCTGCAGAGCCTCTACCCCCCCCCCCCCCCCCCCGGCCCAAATCCTGTGGCGTTTAGGCTGCACGTTTCACTTCGGGGATCTGGCTTGTAGTGTGAGTTTCACTGAGCTCTAGCAACCCCGAACGCCCCAAAGCAATCCCTGTTCCAGATGCTGCTCGGGATCCTGTGTCCGGGTGCTTGTGGCCGCTCTGACAACCTTGGTAGCCCAGAAACCATCTCACAATAAGGGCACCCCTTTTCTGGGGTGGTTACTTTATAAGAGGAACCCAGAACCAAAAAAAGGGTAAAGGGTACCACTGGGCTACCAAGCAGCAGAAACACGCAGCTCCTTGGACCTCAAAGGTCTTCAACTGCTCCGGTGCGCGACGAAGTTGCTTGGCCATTTGCACGACCAAGGTGGCAGCGGGTGCTCCGAGTAAGATTACAGGAACAAGTATCGCGCCCAAAGCAACTGGAAAGACAGTCCATAGGTCCTGGCCGTGTTGAACCCCAAGAGTACCATGGTTTAGCATCCCCAGGACGATGAGCGCAGAGGACGCCACCCAGCTGAAGAAGAAGTAGCACAGGAGGATGGTGATGCCGGCATGAACCGGCATGATAACTATGCGTTTGTTCTTGTTGTGATCCGTCAGGAATGCGGCAATCTCATATGCACACCACAATCCTGAGCTTTGCAAACTGAAGACTTTACCTGCCTGTTCACACGAAGCCGATGCTGTCACTGCCGTCCCCAGATTCAAGAGTCCTACATCGTATAGGTCTTTGAGCACACAGGGCTCAAATAAACATGAAGGCTTACAGCGTTGGGGCAACCAACAACCGAAAAGTCATACTCCGGAGCAGCCCAGTGTCTGCTGAAGTACCTCAGAAGTGCGTCTCTCTCTCTCTCTCTCTCTCTGTGCACAGCTTACCCTGCCACCTTAAACCCTAAACGCTGGATCATAGGATTCGACCCTGAACACCAAACCCTAAACCCAAGGATGGTTTTAAGGTCCAGGTGTTCTACCTTGGTTGGGCTTTGGGGACCCTTTTTCAAGATCCCTAGAAGAATCTCAGGGCGACATGAGGAGTAGATTAAGGGGAACCTTTGTGGATACAACCTTCCGGCATCATCCATCAAAGGGCCCTATGGTCCTAAAGCGAGAGCGCTGGGACCCTTCGGGAAATTTGGCCAAAGGTAGGATTAGGGGACCCTTGGGGATAGAGACCCTCTCAATAAGGTCCCTCCTTAATAGCACCAGAAGAGGGTTGAGAAGAGGTCCCTTTTGCAGTGTCTCCCTAACCCCACCTAGAAATTCGGCCAAAGTACCTTGGCGACCACAGAACCAACAGTCGCTTGGAATGGTTGAGGAAGGCAGCTAGTCCAAGAATGCCTTTCTTCTTCAGCTCAGCTTGTTCGGGGCTCTGCGCAATGCAGAGCTTGTCCAGGAAGACCATGATTGGTGGAAGCAGGGAGCAGCGGAGTCGCTGCCAGAAGCATAAGAAAAACAAGTGAACGACATAGACAAAGCATGAGCTCGGCCGGTAGTTTGGCAGCACGCCGACAACGCGGACTCCAGCGATCAGTGGGCAAGCCAGAAAGGTTGCCAGAAGTGCTGCTCGTGAGTTGTACACAACGAGGAGAGTGCAAAGCTTGATCCATCGGGATGTTTGCCAATCGTGACTGAGGAAATCGTCGAAGTACTCGGCTTGTCGGCTCAGCGCATAGTTGGCATCATCCACCTTGAACATCCCAGGATCGGGTGGCCTCCAATGCTTAGCCCACCCTCCCAGGCAAACATGCAATGGCACTCCGCGTAGCAGCTCTGGCTCGAGTGTGGTTAGCAGCTCCGATGCCATCGCAACACTTGAAGGCCAACGAGTGCAGTGCCGGAGGCAAAAGAGGCTTCTGTCTATGTAAATATAGTCACCTGCAACTACTTCTCCTGCTGCCGCTGCTGCGGACGACTGTAGCAGCTGCGACTTAGCTGCGCAACCTTAATAACAAGTTCTACCTATCCCTCCCCCACTGCTCACCCTTGAACCACAAATAGCGAATAAAGCTGATTCAGGTCTTAGGGTTTACCTGGGGGTCTCTTTACCTACAGTTTAATGGGGTACACCTACTAGTTAAGGGGTCGCTACTACTAAATTGTAGGTAAAGAGAGTCCCAGGCGGGGTTTAGGGTTATTCTAAACCCTATAAACCCTGCAAACCCTAAACCCTAAACCCTAAACCCTACCCGCACTCCCTCCCGGTCTTCCTGCTGCGCCGTGGCCGGTGGCAAGCCCTGGACCTAGTGCACAGTGGCTCTGCCGCGTGGGGTTGGGGTCTAGCCCGCAACCCTAAACCCTAAACCCTAGAAAAAATAGGGTGTAGGGAGTCAAGGATCTGGAGCACCAAGAGGAACTTTTATGCGGAAATAAGAACGGAAATTGCACCTTGGTCCGGGGGTGCCTGTACCCTTTAGGTACCGGGTTCAGGGTTTTAGGGTTTAGGGTTTAGGGTCACTCGCGCCAGCTTGCTCTTCGGGTTTGGGGTGTTAGGGAGGCGTGGTTGAGAGTCTACAGGCTTCAGGGTTCGAGTGTTCATACAGCTTGTGTTGAATTTGTTATTTTAATTTTCTAAGCATGATGAAGATTTTGAATATTTAAATGATGATATTACTGGTAATAATGTTGATAATGTTAATGGTCCACCTGTTCCTGATAATAACGATCCATTTTTCATATTAAAATTTATTTCAAATATAATAATTTTTTCAATTCTTTTTTAATATAAATATTTTTTTCATTAATTAATTCAATATATCTTGTTTTATTTCAAAACCCAGCTCTGCTTTAACTTTATTTTCTGCTGCATCTTTGACGCGTTGTCCAAAATTAATTTTACCACCATTAACATGCCATTTATTTGCATTTGGTTCATTTTCTCATAAAATTAAAGATATTCCTTTACTTAAAATAGAAATGCCAAATCAGAAACAACAACCTTCTAAAAAATTTTTTAACGTTAAGAGATTTAACAGGTTATACACCTACAACATTTTATCGTGAAAAAATAAAATTAAATGGATATCCATTAAAAAACTTACTAGACCCACGACTTAAAGGGGCTTCTAAGGGAACCTACACCCCAAAAATGGGGATAAGGGCCTACTCTGGGACCTAGATTATATTCGAAGAAAGGGTGCCGTTTTTGGCTTCAAGGGGCTTACAAGGGAATGTAAAGACCTAAACCCTACAAAAAATGAGGAACACGGGCCTACCCTGGTACCTAGATGACATACCAACGCTAAAAGCAAGGCTACACGGTTGCTGGCCAATGATAATCATCCCTATATTGACCCTATAAGCAAGAACATGATATATATATATATACATATATATATATATAATTTTCAATCCATAATATTTTCCTATTGTTTTGTAAATGCATTTTTGTTTTTTAAGTTTTTTTTTTTTTTGGGGGGGGGGGGGGGGGGGGGGGGGGGGGGGGTAAGGGTTTAGGGTTTAGGGTTTAGGGTTTAGGGTCTAGGGTTTAGGGTTTAGGGTTTCTGGTTTAGGGTTTAGGGTTTAGGGTTTACTTCAGGCAGCTCTACTGCGGGTCTAGGGCTTTGACCCTCACACTCGCACCCGGCAGGCACACGGCCTCCGTCCGATGTCTGGTATAGAAGTGGTTTAGGGTGTAGGGTTTAGGGTTTAGGGTATAGGGTTTAGGGTTTAGGGTTTAGGGTTACATGGTCCCTTGCCCTTAAAAGGGTATCCCCTTATACAAATTAAGGGCCCATACATCAGAACCCTTTAAAGGCCTTAAGGGACCATGTTCGGGACCCATGAAACTACCCTCAGGGGTCCCATATGGGCCCATGAAAGTACCCTTAGATGGTATCTGGGAAAGTTCTCTAAGTTAGGTTCCCTTTCGGGGTCACATTTGCGATCCTTTCCCGTGGGTTTAGAGTTTGGGGTTTCTCGGGTCCATGTCTGAAGTACACATGCCCCTCAATTGAGGATTGTACGTCGAACTCCTTTAGAAAACGGCATGATGCGCGTATACCGCATGTTACTAGATGCCACTCCGTACGCTCACACATTCACGTCTTTGTGTTTCTTTACACATTCCTCTGAATCATGAACGAGCGTGCAGAATTTAGGCTCCGCCTATGAGGAAACACGATTTCAGGACTGGCATCTGCTTTGTTCATTGCGGCTATGCGGGGTTTGGGGCGGGCCCCGGGGGGGGGGGGGGGGGGGGCTTCTATGACTCACTTGGTTAGGGTTTAGGGCGGAGAGGCTCTATGGACTCAACGCGAACGCCTCATCATTGAAAGCCGCCAGAAACCCTAAACCAAAACCCCTACACCCTAAATCCTAAACCCTAAACCGCTGGGTAGTTATGGCAGACCTCGCGCCCGGTCGCAGGTGTCGCCGCAGCCTTGGCTGTCTTTCCGGAGGCCTGGCAGGTTGCTTGGGCAGTGCTCCCCTGGGAGCCCGCAATTTACCCCTGAGTTAAGGGTTGGGGTCAAGAAAGAGTTTAACGTTTAGGGTATAAACCATAAACCCATACACCCCGAACCCAGAGCACTAAGAAGGCCTATAGTCTTTAGTGAAGAGATATTGACTTGGCAGCCCAGTAACCTTGTTCTAGTAAGGGCTAAAGAGTGCCACTAACATTCGACTCACAACTCGGACATGTCAGGTGAGGTTCATGATGGTAGGGCTTAGTCGTGTTTCTGTCGCCTCAAGCGCTCTAGTTTAGGTTTGCAAAAGGCCCGAGGTAAACCCTAGACCCCAAACTGTAGAGGAGAAAGCTAGGGAACCCTTTGTGCAGCCGGACTAGCGGACTGAGAGCCACGCCGCTTGGCGATCCTAAACGCTACCTTTCAACACTTCAAAACAGGGCTCCAAGTTTAGGAACCCCATAAAGCAGAAGCCTCAGAAATTGCTAATAGTTGTAAGACGAACTACCCACAAGATTCAACATAGCTTTATGATATGCTACGCAAAACAACGCCTAAACCCTAAACCCTAAACCCTAAACCCTAAACGCTAAACCCTAAGCCCTAAACCCTAAACCCTACAGGAGTGTTTTGCTCCCTGCTTACAGGCTTTGCAGAAACCGCGAACCTGCGGCCCGGCATTCCATGAGCTGGACCTGCGACGCTGTCCCCCCTCCCCTGCACACCCCAACTACCTGAGACTCTCTTTACCTGCAGTTTAGGGTTTAGGGTTTAGGGTTCGGGGTTTAGGGTTTGGGGTTCAGGCTAGTCACATGGTCCCTTGGTATGGGCCCTGAAAACGGGACTCCTTATATACCCCTCATATACCAGGGTTTAGGGTTTAGGGTTTGTATACCCTAGAATACCTTTAAAAGGGCCCTTTATAGGGTTCATGATGGGGATGGTAAGGCCTAATAGCCATCCTGGTAGGGCTTCCCCGGATTATGGTATCTGTGCACAGTGTCTAGTGGCATGATCTTGGGGTCCAAGGAAGTGTGTACTTTAGAGGACGCCCCTAAAGACCCCAGAATGCGCGCAAGAGCCCAACAATAATCAACCCTAAACCCTAACCCTAAACCCTAAACCCTAAACCCTAAACCCTAAACCCTAAACCCTAAACCCTAAACCCTAGCCAAAGCAAACCTCTCTCTTCGAAGCTGCTTGGTCTCAAGCCAAGAAAAAGGCGGCCTGTGCATGGCCGAGCTCGTCGCCACGCCCATACACTCGCTTGGGCTGGCCTGCAGGATGTATGTATATACAGACATACATACAGACATACAGACATACATGTATATATATATATATACGTGTGTGTGTGCGCATGTATATATATATATATACAAATATCGGGTATGTGTAAAGGTTCAGGCCTTATAGGGTTTAATGATGGCCTGTTCTCTGCCTTTTGGATTACCCTGCAGGACCATAGGGAGCTCTCGGGGCCATCCATGTATAGGAAAAACTATATCGCCCCTGTATTAAGAGGGCATACGCGGGCTCCCTAATTATGCTGAGACATGCCCTTGCACGTACTATTGATTCCATCTGCTGACATGCGATACCCTCCATGGCCCTCGAGCACACTCCGCATCAAAATCCAATCGTTTTTGGAGTGGCATCAGGGTGTGAAGCTGCACATGAAAAGGGAGCCACACTCCACCGCCGAAGCCTCCCGTGTCTCGGCCGACACCATTTTTGGCCAATTTAGCCCACATCATCATTCTCCGCTTCGGTTGCCTCTTCGGGGTCCTCTTCTGGGTCCTCTTGGCAGCTCTCCATGTCGTCGTCGCCCTCTGCATCCTCCTCTCCATCATCATCCTCATCGTTGCTGTGATGGCTGTCAGAAGCAACTGAAGCCCCGTCCAAGCCAGCAAGCTCCGGCTCTGTCCATGGGAGCAAAGCTTTGATTTCGTCAATCAGCTCATGATCTTTGGAGGTTGCGAAGAAGGGCAGCAACTTGACACTAATTTCGAGCACGATCATGGCGCCGCTGTCAGGTCGGAACACCAGTTCATACCTACCAGACAGCTGGGACGCCCCAAGGCGTGCCCTCCCATCTTTGTCTCTGCTATGGCAGAGGCAATGCCGAAATCTGCATGGCTCGTCAGCTTCGCGGGGTAGTTCATAACCGGAACTCCAAGACCGCCTGACCTGCACCATTGTGGGGTACATTCTAAAAATGATCATGTTTGTTCCTTATTGGGCTTAAGTATTCGTAAACATGTGAAATGATTTTCCACAATAGCCCAGTGACTGATGCCAGTATGAGGCCTGCATCTTCCAATGGTTGTACGGCGTTGCTTGCAGGAGGAAGTAACTGCAGGCCATTGGGCAAGAAGAGCTGCATGTGTCCTTCATCGTCGGCACCCACGAGAACAGACGCTCCCGGCCTGTCTGCGCGGCAGAAATCTAGCAGGTCACGCGTTGCAAATCTGCGGCCATCTCCAGTGCTGCGGCGTCCGCACCAGCCGTGCTGCATCTTCCAGGGCAGGGGCACGTCATGCAGCAGCTGCCGTGCGGCGCGTGTGAAAACCTCTGCGTGCTTATCGATGCGGGCAGCTGTCGGGCCGTCAATGAAATCATCTTCTGTGGCCTGCAGCATCTAAATATAAGTATCAATATAAAAAATGAATATATACATATAGATATACATGTATACTCATACATGTTGTTTATCGAACTTTGATTTTCCATTTAGCTCAAAGCTTTTGAACAAATATTTTGGGTGTAGGGTTTTAGGGGCATCCCAAATCAGTTTCTCTTCAGGCATGTTCAACGGCTCTTGGCGCGTAGAAACCTTTCAGACGACGCGAATTCTAGTTTGAAATGCTGAGCTGGAAGTTTTTTTCTCGAAACGCGGAGCCCTGTTTTACCGAAGCCCACATATGACCAGCCCGACCATGAACGAATGGAACCCTAAACCCTAAACTCTAAACCCGAAACCCTAAACCCTCTACAGAGCCCCACTGACATGTTGGTCAGGCATGAAATGAAAAGCTGAAAGCTCGGAGGATCTCGGTAACATCTTGGCAGCCTCATTCCCGAAAGCCTCAAGTCTGAAAAGGTTTCCCATTTTTTATAAATATAAATGGTTAATACACGCTCCATAGGATCCCTATGGAGGCATGTACAGACCCTAACTTGGCTGCACTCAGGAGGGTAGCTAAAAATCAAACTTTTAGCTGCCTTATTAAGAAACCCAATTAACCCAAAAAGGGTAAGGATCTAAAGTTACAGTAAAGTACCACAAAGCTAAATGCAGCTTCATATACTGTAGCAAGGTATGGTCGTGCTAGAACATACTCTGCTGCTCTATACTTTAAGTGTCTATATGCTCTGACGCCCCACGGCGTGCTGCTTCGTGTGGGAGTTTCTTCAAACGAGGGTCCCATGCACAAAAAAAAGTACGGGAACTTTCCGGTGATACATCCCCTTACTAGCCCTTGCGTGAACTCCACATCTTATCGGTAACCCCTATACAATCCATGATTTTGATTTATCCCCTGTTATTTTGAACAAAACAACATTGCTCGGCAAGGCGACCGGCGTGTACAGACACCAACCATGGGATGCCCCCTCCCCTCCCCCGCCCCCCCTCCACACACGGTTTAGGGTTTAGGGTTTAGGGTTTAGGGTTTAGGGTTTAGGGTTTAGGGTTTAGGGTTTAGGGTTTCATCCCAGCCAAGGGCAACCCAACCAGGCCTCGTTTCGCTTAACCATTGCCCTCCTTTCGCTTCAAGAATCAGGCTTGTTCGTATGTCCCTAAACCCAAAATTTTGGTAGGAAGAGGAAGAGGCAACCCTAAACAGATCCATGGGCAAAACGTCACTTTTAATACGCGTTATATATATGTATACTACACACGTGCATATCCATATTACATCCGCCAAGTTGGGCTAGCATAACTCCTCGCGAAGCACTTTGTGTAAACCTTTCAGCAGTTGGGAGGATGGACCGAATGCAAGCGTGTCTGACGCTCGGACAGACGCATGCTCGCGCTAATCCAGCTTCTCATTGTTGCCAAGTTCTTTACTGTGCGTGAGCCAGGCTAGCGGGGGCCACAATGCGCCACAAAAAAAGAGTTCCAATGCTGGCGCTAGCGGCATCCAGCTCACTTGAAAGCTCCACATCCACGACTTGAGCAGGCCAACGACGCTCCTGAAACAGCTTGAAGCGGGTCACGGACAGACCATGCCTCCACATCCTTCCGTGGAACATGATGGCACGGATGGCCTCTCGAATGGTCGGCAGTGCAACTTCCGAGACACGTAGGTCATGTGGTATTTGCAGGGCATGATCACAAATCTGAACCAAGTTGTGGAAAGGCTTCAAACTTGCCTGCCAGGAGTGACACACGGCCGAGCATGCGCAAAGGCCTCGCCAGAGACTCAAAGCAAGATGTATGGCTTCCATTGCGCTGAAACCCCAGACATGCCCCTGCAGCCCACCCCGCCAATCTGCAGCAGTGAAGTTGAACAGCAGGTCCAGAACTCCCGACCCGACACTTGGATGCAGCAGCAAAGATGGTTGCATTGAGACAGTTTGCAAGACAGCCAGCTCGTTGTGCGCCCTGATGGAGGGTCCGGGCCCCGGGCCAATCACAGGTTCCCAACGACCTGCCGGATTCGGATCTTGGCGCACGTACAACAGTTGAGGACCATCCCAATCCTTGAGGCCCAAGTAGGAGCGCTGCCTCTCCAAAGAGTAGACTGCCACCACATCAGCAAGCAAGCACCACATGCCAAGTTCCTCACTGTATAGCATTGAGACAAGCGGGCCGAGACTGTAGTGCATGTGGCCGCTGTAGCTATAAACGCCTGCACAATAACTCCATCCGCAGTGAGCTACATGCAACGTGCGTGCATCCGGCAGAACCGGTTGCTGAACACGCGGCAAATCCTTCAAGATGTACTTTTGTCGTGCTGCGCGTATTGCAGCCTGCCAGTCTTGTAAGCATGCTTCCTGGGACTTGGGCAGCTGACAGACCAGGAATGCCAAGCCCGATCCTGTGCACTGGGACTGAGGCACAATCACCTCGCAATGTTTGCGGGAAATTCGTCCGTTGACCAAGTTTCCGCAAAGTTTTGCCGGAATGCTCGCCCTCTTGACCTCGCAGTACGACTCCAAGCGCAAGCTGTACTCGTCTACAATTTCCCCCACCATGTAGTGGACCCCGACAGGGGCCTGCAGGTCGTTGTCGAAGCCGTGCAAAAACACTGACTTGTGCGTGTTCGGGATCTGGTGGGGAGTCTTTGTGTGCACCATGGCACTGGCTGTGTCAATGCTCGCAACATCTACGCAAACATTGCGGTCAATCGAAAATGTATCGCGGTCAGGCAGGAAGCCCACAAAAAAGACCTCGGCGGAAAGGGCGTCATAACCCTCCACCCGGACTTGGGCACCTGGGGGGAAGCCGTGACCTGGAGCTGTGAAGGTTGTTGTGAACTCGCCGCACTCCACCCTGACAACGCGGACAGATGTAGCCATGGCGCTGGCAAAACTGCCGAATAAAGGGGCCTGAAGAATTAGAATAGGGTTTTGGGGAGTTATTCTAACTATTCTAGTATGATTGCAAAGGGACCATCTGAAACATATCGTTGGTAATTATTCCGACCCTTACATTATGTCATCTTGTCTTAGCTTCAGATGTCCACCACCGAAGAACGGCTTCTTTCTGTCCTAGACTGGGCTGCGCTGAGCAGGGTAGCTATAGATTTACTTTTAAGCTGCTTGATTAAGAAACACAATAAGCCCAAAAAGGCTAAATATCTAAAGTTACAGTAGAGTGCCACAGAGTAGAGAGCTACTCCTGGTAACCCCTCTTAAGTGGGTGGTGCAGTGGCACGAATATTCTTCCACTAGCTACACGGCTAGTGCTTATGAGGTAGTCTGGTGGTCCTTCACGTCTGTGGGCGAAAAACATTGAGACAGCGCACGTTTCCTAAAAAATCGTCTTAGCCCCAAGGACGGTGTAGGGCTTAGAGGGAAAAGCAGAATTCCACCTAACCCCTTTTCCCCTGCAACCCTAAACCCTCCAAACTCCCTGACAGGCCCAGAGCTGTAAACATCTCAATCCTCAAGACCCTTTCGTGCAACTTGGCAAACCCTAAACCCTAAACCCTAAACCCTAAACCCTAAACCCTAAACCCTAAACCCTAAACCCTAAAGAAGAAGAAGAAGCCCTGCCGACCCAGAGGCCCAAAGCCGCGAGGAGCTGCACTGCAGTCGCCGCGGGTTGCGGCCGGCGCGCGAGCGCGGCCTGGTTTGGGGTTTAGGGTTTAGGGTATATATGGTTTAGGGTGTAGGGTTTAAGCTTTAGGGTTAGGGGAAAATGCCAATGGATTTCAAGAATGGTCTCGTGAGCCGGGAAAGTACCGACCCCCCTTGCTTAAAGCGTTTGGAAAGTTTGAAACGCTTCAGGAATGCTTGGCGGGCCCCATGGCTGTGTGATGACTTAAGTCCGTCTGTCTTCTGCCGATTGGCAGGTGAAAATCGTTCCGCATGTCCTGATGTTGCGAGCGTACTCTCTTTCAAAAACTGATTACGAATAACCTTAGAAAAATCCTAGATCGCATCCCCCTTGGCATGAGGAGAAAATGAAACTCAGGACCCCGGTTGGGGTGTCGAGCTTGGGCTTCGAATTCCGCCTTAATTAACCCTAACCCTAAACCCCAAAGCAAAGCCCTCTAAACCCTACAGTGCGCTCTATGTCCGAACCAAGACAGCAAGATCTTGCGTCAGCCTCAAGAGCCCGCCGCCGATGGTCCAAAAGCCGCGCGTCAATCTGACCTGCAGTTTATGGGCTGGCAGGGTTTAATCGCTCGGATTTAGGGCCCAGGGTTTTGGAGCTGGGGCTTTCGAAAAAAGGATGTGAGTCGGCGTCAAAATTAAGTGTTTAAGTCTTGCTTGCTTTTGAATTAGCGCTTCCGCTTTCGTTTTCCATGTTCTTTCACCTACCGCACTGTTATCCTATCGTATCAAATCACCCTGTCATTTTAGCGCGTGCCCTATCGATCCTCGGCGTTTTGCTGCAGCAACGACCCGCTCTACTAAAATGAGCAAGCGGTATTGTTGACCACGTCTCATATGTTTTTTGGTTTTGACCGTTTCACTTCAGCATCGGCAGCCCTTCCACAAGTAAGGGCCCAAACAACCACACAAACATAAGGATTCTACAAACAGGGTTTTCCGGAATTCCCCTTATACCCCAATGGTAGGATCCTTATGTTTACGTGGTTGCTTGAGCCCCCAAGCAGGGTCCACTCGCACCGCGCACAGGCAAGCGCTGATGTGGAAATATCAGGAGGTTCACAGTTTGCGATCCATACATTTCTGTTGGCAAACTCGGAGCCTTAGGGTAAGCCCTAGACCCGAAGCTTCCAACCCTAAACTGAAACCCTAAACCCTAAACCCTAAACCCTAAACCCTAAACCCTAAACCCCGAACTACACCTCAACTCCCAACCTAGCGCCAAGTTGATTCAGGGCCCCGGGCGCAGCGATTGCCAAAGAGGAAGCCTGAAGACTTACTCGCGCCCACTTTTGGGCCCTCAAGGTGTAGGGTATAGGGTTTGGGGTATAGGGTTTGGGGTTTGGGGTTTAGGGTTTAGGGTTTAGGGTACCGAAACCCTAAACCTTGCAAACCTAGAAACCCTACAGCTTATAAACCTTATAAACCTCATACACCCCAAACCTTACAAACGACTAGGGTGTAACAGGGCTTAGGGATTAGCGGTTTAGGGTTTCGGGTTTAGGTTTAGGGTTATTCGCTTTTGCTCATTCTATTTTGGGTTTTGCCCATGAAGTCGGCCAGGAAAAGCTGAAGTCTAGTCCCAGATCGAGTCATAAGCACCGAACACAAGTCTTTTTCATTCTCTTCCCGGAGCTCTAAACCCTAAACCCTAAACCCCAAACTTCCCCAAACCCTGAACCCGAAACCCTACACCCTAATCTGAGCTTAGCAGTCCGAGTCACCAAGCAGCATCCTTGAGATGCGCTGAAGCCAAGGGCGCGTAGCCAAGCCACGCCCTGGTGCTTCTGAGATGGGGTTTAGGGTTTAGGGTTTAGGGTTTAAGGTTTAGGGTTTAGGGTTTAGGGTTTAGGGTTTTTGGTTTGGGGTTTGGGGTTTGGGGTTTGGGGTTTGGGGTTTGGGGTTTGGGGTTTGGGGTTTGGGGTTTAGGGTTTAGGGCACGCGCACGCAGGGCGTCAGATGTCTCAAGCGTCGTGAAGACTCTGACTCATTGGGGGCTTTGGCAGCTGCTGCTCAGGCTTTGAGGGTATTCAGGGTGTCGGGACTCAGGAGGGTAGCTAAAAACTAAACTTTGAGCGGCCTTATTAAGAAACCCAATTAACCCAAAAAGGGTAAGGATCTAAAGTTACAGTAAAGTACCACAAAGTTAACTCAGGACTGCTGCGCGAGAGGGGTCGTAGGGGCCTTGGACATCGATAGGGCTCAGGTTTGTAGGGTAAACCCTAACCCCTAAGCCCCTAAACCCTAAACCACGCTGGGTATCTGCTCCGCAGAGTTTTCAGGTTTAGGGCTTTGTCATCCCTAAGACATGAAGCTTTGGCCTGAAGCAGGAAGCTGCAAGGATTATACCCCAAACAAAACGGCCGCATGCAGTACACTAGTTTGCCAGGCAGGCTCGAACCCAAGTTTCTGCAAGCTTGATGGTCGAAAGCCCAACCCCCAAGCCTACAAGAGCAATGGGGGATAGGATTAGGGGGGGCCTTTGGGGATATAGACCCTCTGAACAAGGTCCCTGTTTAAGAGAGCCAGAAGAGGGTTAAGAAGGGGTACCCTTTGAAGGGTCCCCCTTATCCTACCTAGAAACAGCAAGGCACCCACGTAACTACCGTAAGGTTCCGGCACCAGAAAATCTGCAGGCAAGATCTCCACAAACGATGGAGGCAGCCATCTCGGCAGGACAAGAACGACCGATATCCTAACTAGCTGAGGTACAGGGTTTAGGGAATTGGGTTTAGGGCTTAGGGCCTTAGGGGAAGGAACCACCCACGGGGTCTAGGTAGTGTTTGTCATCATTCGGAGTTGTAGACGTAACTCTGAAGCAGACAAGGCTTGGGACATTAGCCTGAACACCCAACGGCGCAGACTTGGTTTATGCAGGACCATTTCGGGTGATTGCCCACTTGACATCCGAAGCACGATCTGAAGGACTACCAACTTTCTACACTCCTCCTCCGGGAACCCTGACTTAGTGGTAGGGAATGAGGGAATTAGGTACCTCATAGATATATACCCTTCACGGGATGCTCTAGGGTACACCCATGTCCTCATTCCTTACAACAAGTACCAGGAACCTGATCAAGATATGATCATCAACATGGTTTTTCCCTTGGGCGCTATACGCTAAACCCTAAACCCCAAACCCTTTTAACCCTAAACCCCAAACCCTAAACCCTAAACCCCAAACGACATAAAGGAGGTTCGAGTCAGTGGAAGTTCGCACTTAGGGCTGTCTGTAGGAGAGTCACTATGCACCCGAGGCCCGCGCACCACCTCCTGCAAGGCAACAAAGACATGGGGTTTAGGGTTTAGGGTTTATGGTTTGAGGTTGAGGGCGCTTTGGGGCTGGGGATTTACCCTTAACCCTGGTGCTTCTGACATGGGGTTTCGGGTTGGGGGCGTTTAGGATGGTTTAGGGTTTTGGGGTTTTGGGGTTTGGGGTTTTGGGATATTTAAGATTTAGGGTTTTGGGGTTTAGGGTTTGCGGTGATAGGGTTTAGAAAAGTCCAATACATCCGCCGTGCTGAGGGTGTGGAGTTGCGGGTTTGAGAACTACACGGAGCTTCTTTGCGGAACATGCCCTACGGTGCCAACGTAAAACGAAACCGGCAGTCACTGCAAGCCCCACGAGGCACCGGAAATCCGGAAGTCCCCCTCGAAACCCCACGTGCAAAACCCTATAAGCCTTATAAACCCTGAACGCTGAACCAGACTCGCAACCCTATAAACCTTAACCCTAACAAGGTTTCCAACTTTTTGGGGTTTATTGTAGCCTCCAAATTCCTCAAACCTCCACAAGCCAGGATTCCTGAAGCCTAAACCCTAAACCCTAAACCCCAAACCCCAAACCCTAAACCCTAAACCCTAAACCCTGCAGCCCAGCCGGCCCAGCCTGCGCTCGGAGGAACTGGAGAGTCCCATTGGCTTGGAGAGCCGGGACTAAAGGCTCTGCCTCCCAGCAGCCCTAAACCCTAAACCCTAAAGCCTAAACCCTAAACCCTAAACCCTAGCCCTCTTTT